TTTGTTTTTATTCTTTGTCATAGATTGTAGAACAGATGCATGTAAACACTGTAGGTTAAGAGACTGTGCTAACATCTTCTCTAACCACATAGTTAATGTTTCCCTTATAAATTTTGCAGCACAATTTATCTTGAGGAAATGCAAGTTCAGCTGTGTGGCATATGTAACTAAACACATACTGTCTGTCACTGGAACACAGAAAATTGTTGGGTTTGCTTGCCTATGAGTCAGATTAGTCATCTCCTGTGAGAGTCTGAAGTGCAGCCAGATGACTCATACAGGAGCAGTACCAGTAATTGCAGGTTCTACTGGTGTGGCTAACTGACAGCCCTGCTGCAGAGACCACTTAGTAACATAGGAGCTTTCAATAAGCAAACCAGGAGCTTGCGGTGCTTGCATCCACCTTAGACAACAACGTCAAAAAAAAGATACAGTTCAACATATGGTCCCATTCCAGTTCCAAGTGGAATTAGACTGTTTGTTTTAGTTTCTGGAATATAACCCAGAGTGGACACACATGGATTATTCATCACTCCTCAGTGATGCAGTAGAAAGTGGGTTTGGGGGTCTTTTTATCAATAATTTTCTTGGGAGTTGCTTTTTAGTGAATTATGTGTTTCCTACCTGGATGGACTGATATGCAAGTTTTGGGTCTATGGTCTTTTACAGATGTAAAACAATATGATGTCCCCTCTTCCTATATGCACTTGCATTTGAGTGGATTTCTTGATGTGCCTAAGCACAGAGCCTCCAGGCATCTTTCTTTTGATTGTTTCATTAATGTGAATGTTGAGTTAGAAATGGTTCCTACATATTTTATTCTTTTTTCTTATGCATGATGTCACTGTTTTTTTCCCCTCTATTTGGCCTCAATGTCATCACTAAAAACTCTAGCTAGTGGCATTCCAAAAGGGCTGTCTAAGCTTCATGCCACTTCCCCATGGGGATCAGGCTTAGGTGAGCTCAATCATTACTGTCTGGCACTAACAGGAAACATTATTCCAAACAGCATCTTTTTTGTCTTAGAGAATTGTTATTTTATGAAATAAGAGGCTTAATTGGTACTTTATTTTCAGATCAGGTCAAAAATTATCTTGTATGTATTTGGGTGAAGACAAGGGAAGTTGTTTTGTCCCTCTTCCCCTCCCCTTGTGAGAAGCATGCACTTTTACAGAATTCTTACATAAGGAACTCTTGCAAACCCTTTAGGAGAGTCTGGTTCAGGAAAGAACCACCACAAGTAGATTTTTATATTCCTTGTATCTGCTGTTTCTACATGGGTTTTTGTTCCAGCTCTTACTAATGTGCAAAAGGCAAAGCATGCTCAGGTGGGAAAAATACCTATCATTTATACTTCCTAATGTCGGAGTGCTACATAGGTAAATTAGAAAAATACAACTTCATTATTCCCCTCCCACAAAACAAACACCCACAAGACCACACCACCAAGGGGAAATCCTTTATGGTGTCTAGGTAAGACCTTGGCTGTGTTTCCCTCTTACCTTCTCCCCATATTCACACACACAACCCATGACTTCTCTCTTACTTGAGTGTGAAAGGAACAGAAGTAGGTATGAACAGTATATCTAATTAAGCACATTTCCTTTGAGCTCTCAGCAGTGTTTCACAGCACTTGCATTTTCTGTTTATGGCAGAGGATAGACTGTCTTTCTTGCTTACTTAATTTTCTCTTCCCATGCTGCAAGACTTAGTTCATTAGTTTAAAAGACTGTTACACTTCTGGAGAAGAGAGTATGTTTGGTGGGGGATCATAATTATCTAAAAATCCAATCAAGCCATTTTCCTGATTGATTTTGGAATGAGATAGACAGGCTTCAGTGGAATTAATTGCACCTCTATTTTCTTAATTTGTATTTTAAGTGTCTGACTGCCCCACCACTCCCACTTCTTTTGGTACATTTATTTTTTCCTCACAAACTAGCATACAGACTCTTCTAGGTATATGCTCTGACTGTCTGTTTGTTTGGTTGGTTGGTTTGTTGGGTTTTTTTTTGTTAAGAATACGTCTTCCAGTAGCTGAAAACCATTTTTATGGAAGGATATTTTTAAGTCTCAAAAATGCTGTTGGTTGAGCAGGTAGACTTTCTTGAAAACTGTAGGAGGTACGTAAATATAAAATGACCCTGATCATGAATTATGATGATAACTTGAGTTTTCATGTCATGAATTCCATATATAAGGTTTAAGAAAGAATTTTAAATAGCAGTGAAAACAAAAAATGTGAGACCTAAGTTACTAAAGCAGAATGGTAACTATCTAATGGTATTATCACACTAATCCTAAACTTGCTGTTATCAGATACACTGCACAGACAGACCTTGATGACAAAACATTATTCAGAAAAATGCCTCAACTGTCAGTGTTTGATAGCATCGTGTTACATGCTCCAGGACCGACCCAACAAAAGCTCTTTCAAATCAGGATCTCTTACATTTTCTGCTGTGGCAGATTAGCAAGTAACAAAGATTTCTCAGACATTGATTTGTTATTAATCTGGTTGTCTGTTTCTTTTCTGTATCAGCTGCACAAACTGATATGTAGGCAAAAGAAGACTGAAAATTCATATGGAGGAAAGCAACAAAGCAAACAGCAAAAATGCCATGCAAGTCAGCTTTGAATTGCATCAACTTCTTGCCTTCTGAATTCTCTTGAGGACTAGAGCAGTTTGAAATGTCTGATGTACTGTGAACATGGCACCTATTAACTGTCATAGTAATCCACAGCGTGAAGACAATGATTTTGGCAAAATTGAAGGTGACTGAGTTTGGAGTTGGAGAGGGGGGTGGGTTATGTGTATTTACATCAGGAGTTGCCACTCTGAATTTTAATAGCAGAGGAAAATGGAATTTTTTCCTCTGGTTTGCTTAGCTGAATTTATTTGATCTTACTCTCAAGAGTATCTGATAAAGAAATCTGGGGGAAGAAATGTTTAAAAACAACCTGCTTTTATTCAATAGCTTTACTTTAAACCGTTTCAACTATTATTTTCCCACTGCTTGAATGGATCCTACTTCCCCTCATAAGTGGAATGTTTTTTCACATTTTAGAGCACTGTGAAGGTGTCTAATAAGGGAACTGAATAGTGTGAACCAATACTGAACCCTTTGGGACCTAATACTTTAATGGCTGCAGCAGCTCTACTGCCAGTAGCTCCTGTAAGTACACAGGGGATTGTATTGATCGTTGCACCTCCAGTTATTAATCTGCAACCCCAACTGCATCTTTCCCTGTCCTCTTGAGGCAGAATGTTTTTGAAGAAACCAGAACCAAGTTTGTTACATATTAACCACACCTTATTTGAACTATCTGGTTTACCATTTATTTTCTGCTACTCTATTTATTCTTATTAAGGTTTCTCTTTCTTCTGTGATTTCAAACATTTTAAAAAGAAATTTTAGTTTCTTTTACAAAAGTTGTGTTATCTTTTGAAACTATGATGTAGTAGGCATGCTATGAGAGCCATTTGTATCAAGCTCCTTTCTTGTCCCTGCTTCAGGAAGACCAGAGAAAAAGTAATGGTATTGTCCTTCCAGACATGAGAACTTTTTTCAGAGAATATGGACTCTGCGGGATTTTGTTGTCTTCATCCTTATTTTGTAGAAGTTGAAAAATTGCAACAATCACAATTTCATAAACCATGTGTTCAAGGCTATAAAGGAAAAAAGAAATAGTTTGCATGGATTTTCATTCAAAGTCTGTATAAGGAAAAGTGGTGACTGGGGTTTTCATTCATTTGCAGCTACACAGTTCAGACCAAGATCAGCAAACTTGAGGCCTACCAGTAGCAGGAGGTACTAAAGGAGTAAGAGCAGAAGAGAAGCAGTAAGAAGTGGTAAGTGATGTAAAAAATGCAAAACTGCTATCTTGCTCTTGGAAGAATTAATGTGCGGTTACATTTTAAATCACAAGCAATTGCAAAACAGAACAACTGTGCTACTGTCTAGCAAAATGTTAGTGCTTCTGAAGTAATCTGTAGATTCTGTATTTAAAGGATTGCTTCCTTTCAGTAGGATTTACAGTTATGTTCTGTGTTTGTATGGCAAGAGATACATCAATTTTAAAGAGTATTTTTCAAAACACTAGAAAGACATGCTTGCTACCTCTGTAATCACTGATCCATGACTAGCTGTAGATCTGCAACACTTTAAAAAAGGAAGAGGAAAAAAAAAGCAGCAAGTGGAATTCATTGCAGTTGATAACGCCTAAAGCAGTCATGAAGTAAAGAATTTGAGGATATATTGGTATGCTGTTTGAACTAGTGGCTCATTCAGGATTTAGAACTGCTGTGAACTGAGTCTGCTGTTTAATTTTTTTAGACTTCTCGCTGGAGTTAAATGCTGCAGCCCCTCAATGCTCTACCCTTAAATGTACTAACACACTATAATAATGTACCAAACAGTGAGTAACTAGTGTGTGTTTCTTCTGGATTTTCCTTCCCTGGCCCCTGCTGCCTTTCCACTATTCTTTGAATGATAAATGTATTACAGCAAGAAGAGTAGGACCACTACTCTATTAGCTCCAAATTAGATTTTCCAACCTTACTCATTCTCCACATCATTTGACAAGAGACTTGCTAATGGTTTAGCATCTTTCTTCAACAAATTCTTCTACCATTTTGGTTTGGGAAGGATTGATTCTGTGATTTCTGGGGAAGTTCTACAAATCAGGGAAGTACTAATCACTGCCTAAGTGTGTTCAAACTCCTCTTGTGCCCAGACTCACTCCATCAATTTTGCCATTCATTTTGTCCTCTATCTCTAAGGAATTTAAGGTACCTGCCTTTGATATCAATATGGCAACAATTTATTGACAGCTGAGTTGGAGTTGGTCACTACTAATTGAATTATCAAAATGTTTGAGGACCAGTTCTAAAGCTTTAGTATATGTTGTGTTGCTAAAAGAGGCACTTTAATGATCCATTCCTGGCAGTTCCAGTAGTACATTTAAGGTTGCCACTAAAGTCAACAAGAGTCTTTGAATGTAATTAAAGTATTTTTATTGAAAGTTTTTTTTACAAGCATTCGCTTTTTATTACTTTCACCAAAAGAAAGCATATAGCATACAGTGATTTCACACATTTAGGAGATAAATAAGTGTACCTTGAATTCTTTAATGCACTGCTAGTTTATGCAATACAAAGTTTTTTATTCACTGATGTTAATTTTAAATACAGCTTGTTTGCCCTTTTATTAAAGCAAGCTTTTGTCTTGTTACCATACCTTTCCCTTGCTAACTTAGAGATGTTTAAACAACAATTGTGAAACTGCAGTGATATTTATTGCTAGAGCTAAAAAGTTGCTGTATTAGGATGAAACCTGTTTATCAAGTTATCAACTGGTAAATTAAAAAAAAAACCTAAATGTACTCTGTAAATTGAACTTATACAGAAATACTTTAAAGAATAACAACTATTTAACTTTCACCTCCAATTTGTGTGTAGAATAATAAAAAAAAATCCAATTTTCACATTTCCACACTGATTGATAAACATGTTAATTACAGTATTTTCTGAATTTCATTTAGAATTTACAATAGACTTGCTTGTAATTATAAATAAATAGAAGTATGAAGACAAAATCTCATAGGGCATTTCTCTTAAAGTTATCAACTATGTTAAATGCCTAATTTAAGATTGTAAGTACAATCCCATTCAATTTAATCAAACATCATAGGAGTAATTCATGTCCTCAGAATTTCATGCTGCATAGTTGAGAAAGGAAAAAATTAGGTGGCACTTAGTATCTTTAATGGCACTTCTTTCAGCAAAGGATAGTAAGAATTTGTATTGCTAGCCAGGATTACTCTTCAAAACAGTATTTTAATATATGCATGAAAAATACACAAAACGCTAAATAAAGCAACAATTCCTATATTGCATTTCAAGCTTTAGCTAATGGTACAAGGATCATCGTTGCTTGGTTTCATTTCCCCTTCCAGCAATAAAGTGATCACAGCCTTACTCAAGTAGCTGCATGTTCCTTTTTTTCCAACTGGGTGAGTGTTGTAGAAGAGAGTCATGTCATCCTGCAGGAGAGGGAAAAGATGTTTCCATTAGTGGTGATTATGTAAAGCAGCCAAACAGAGGTGAACAAGAACAACATCACAAATATGTTAGAAATGCAAATATGGTTTTCAAATTCTATAATTCTGCTCAATTTTCAGAAATCTCCCACGTGTACATATCTGAAAATGTGGAAAACAGATTACTAAAATACACTGCATATATTTTTTCACTGAATTTTCTAGCCCTGTACAGATACTGCCATCTTATTAGTTTTTAAATGTAATAGGTGTCAGAGAACAACTGCTCTCTTAAAACATGCAGCTAGATGACTACTGTGTTGTAACTTAGTGTGCCACCACAGTGTGATTATGAGCCAGGTCCTTAGGTATACATGTAGGGATACTGACTAAATATTTATTTGGAAGAATAAAAAAATTTTCAATCCAAGAATCACACCAAGGGTAGCACATGAACTAATTAATTAATCAGATCACCAAAAGAGGTATCCTTCAGTGAACATCTGTTTTGCACAGTTAATGATGTTAAAACATCTGCTTATTCTCAAACTATGTATTGGCTGCTATAATAAAGGTTCAACACTTCAATTCAGGAAATTGGTTACTTTTATTAAATCAAGGGCAGAAATTGTGTGGTGAATAGTAGGCTTCTACAGTTTATGGGTGTGTTTGAAATTACTGGAGTAAATACTTTTGACATTTATTACATGTTAACAGGGAATTAACTAAGTGCAAAATATTTGCAAGTCATTTTACTGGAAGAGCATAGTTCAGATGAATTAGGAGTTCTTTCAGCAGTGTTCGTTAGGAAAACTTGAGACAGAGCATCATCAGAATAATCCTAAACAGGCTACAATTAACTGCCAGCGGGCATATACCTGGGAATATGGGAGAGTCAGGTTCCAGAAAATTTTAATGTAAGGAGTTGGAATTTACAGCAACAACAATCTTAAAGATACTATGTACAACTATAAATTGGGATTTCTTTCTAAGAGACAAAAAGGCATAATTCTAAGTAGATTTGGGCTTGGAAAAAAATGGAGGCCAGGGCAGCACCAGTAAAATTGTGTTTTGCGTGTGATTTTTCTTTCTTATAGACGTTGGGGATTTCCAGCCTGTCACAGAAGTCAGTAGCATATTCAAGATACTGTGTGGAGCTGGCACTTAATAGCCATTTGTGTGGAGGGTAAGTCTGATTTTGCTGTGGCTTCAGCCAGAGTCATCACCTGCCAAAATCGGCAGGCCAAAAGAATCATAATTCAAGAAAATTGTGTCCTTTTAAAAACAGAGGTGTTGTGCACAGTGATACGTTGCTAAGGCTGGATATCTGGATTGCTTTCAAATTCTATTACTAAAGGTAGTGGCAAAAAAATGAACCTTGAAAGTTTTGAAAAAATTCTTAAGCAGCACATCCTTCTTCATCTTTTAAAGGAACTAAATTCAGCGACAGGAAGTGCTGTTGTGTATCTATGTTATGAATTAATAGATTATTCAGAGCTAGCACATATATCTTCAAATATATTGTGTATAATAAAATGCCAGATGGAACAAGGAAGATCATCCTCAGTAGCAGAGGGACTTGTCCCACTGTTTTACTCGTATTTCTTCCTTCAATCAGTTGGCTTTATTACAAAATTTCAGATCTCCGAGGCACCAAAACTTGTAGTAAGAATATTTAGAGGTCTTTAAAGCATAAAACCTAAAATCCTGGTGAAGTAAAGCTTAAAAGCTTCTTAATGATCAAGTTTCATTTATTTGGATTTTAAGCCTTAGAGATTAAAAGTTTGCCAGGTCATGAATGCAACTCTAGCACAAAAATCAGTAGCTAAGAATAGTTTTGCACTTCAAGTTCTTACATTAGCACTGTCAAAATCAGTTCTTTGGTTACTTAATTTTTCTCATCATCTGTGTACGTAAGATCCTAAGTTCACATTTCCTTGCTGAGCTTTAGTTTTCTTCCCTTTTTTGTTATTATTAACTCTTGTCTGTTCTAGGGTCCTCCCTAATTAATTCTTTCCCCTTTAATGAGCATTACAACTATTTCAGCTTTACCCAGACTCTCATTTCAGAGCTATGTAACATTGTGAGCTTTCTCCTTTCCATAGCAGTTTGAATTCACAATTCAACAATGAAGTAAGTTCACGTCTTTTATCTGTACTTATAGGCTTTTTGCAGACTTATGCAGCACTTGGGTATATTAATTTCTTGTGTTCCATTCTGAACTCATATCAACAACTGGAGTGGCATCATTGACCTTACTGGCATCCTAGAGACGTGGTGGGATGGCTCCTGACTGGAGTGTTGGCATGGAAGGGTACAGGCTCTTTTGGCAGGACAGGCAGGGGAGACAAGGAGCGGGAGTCACCCTCTATGTCAGTGACCAACTGGAGTGCATGGAGCTCTGCCTGGGGATGGATGAGGAGCTGACCAAGAGCTTATGGGTCAGGATTAAAGGGAAGGCAAGGACAGGAGATGTTATAGTGGGGGTCTGCTACAGGCCACTTGACCTGGAAGACCCAGTGGATGAGGCCCTCTACACAGATAGGAGCAGCCTTGTGTTCACAAGCCCTGGCCCTCATGGAGGACTTCAAGCACATCTGATAGCTCTTGGAAGGACAACACAGCAGGGCATAAGCAATCCAGGAGGTTCCTGGAATGCATGGATGATAACTTCCTCCTCTAAGTGACAGAGGAGCCAATGAGGAGAGGTGCCATGCTCAACCTTGTTCTCACCAACAAGGAGGGCTGGTGGGGAGTGTGAAGCTCAAGGGCGGCCTTGGCTGCAGTGACCATGAAATGGTGGAGTTCAAGATCCTTGAGGCAGTAAGGAGGGCACACAGCAAGCTCGCTATTGTGGACTTCAAGAGACCAGACTTTGGCCTCTTCAGGGATCTGCTTGGCAGAGTAGCATGGGATAAAGCCCTGGCAGAAAGAAGGGCCCAAGACTGCTGGTTAATATTTGAGGGTCACCTCCTCCAAGCTCAGGAACAATGTGTCCCGACAAAGAGGAAGTCAGGTAACACCAGGAGGCTGCATGGATGAACAAGGAGCTCCTGGACAAGCTCAAACACAAAAAGGAAGCCTCCAGGTGGGGACTGGGAGAAGGGAGAGCCACCCACTGTAAGAGAATACCAGGTTCAAGACCATCTAAGGAACCTGAAAGTGCAAAAGTCCATGGAACCTAATGAGATGCATCCACAGGACCTGAGGAAACTGGCAGATGAAGTGGTTAAAGCACTATCCATCATATTGGAGAAGGTGTGGCAGTCCTGTGAAGTTCCCACAGACTGGAAAAGGAGAAACATAACCCCCATTTTTTCAAAAGGGGAAAAAAGGAAGACCCGGGGAACTACAGGCCAGTCAGTCTCACCGCTGTGCCTGGCAAGATCATGGAGATGATGCTCCTGGAAACTATGCCAGGGCACATGGACAAAAAGGAGGTGATTGGTGACTGCCAATATGGTCCACTAAAGGCAAATTGTGCCTGATGAATTTGGTGGCCTTCTACAATGGGGTTACAGCATTGGTGGATAAGGGAAGAGCAACAGACGTCATCTACCTGGACTCGTGCAAAGTTTTTGATGCTGTCATGCACAACATCCTTGTCTCTAAACGGAGAGACATGGGTTTGATGGATGGACCACTTGGTGATTAAGGAATTGGCTGGATGGTCACAAAGACTTGTGGTCAATGGCTCCATGTCCAAGTGGAGAGCAGTGACAAGTGGCATTCCTCAGGGGCCGGAGTTGTGGATGGCTCTGTTTAACAATTTGTTGGTGAAATGGACAGTGGGATCGAGCGCACCCTCCGCAAGTTCAACACCACCACCAAGCTGTGTGGTGCAGCGATACGCTGGAGGGAAAGATGCCATCCAGAGGGACCTGGACAGGCTGGAGAGGTGGGTCCATGCAAACCTCATGAAGTTCAACAAGGCCAAGGGCAAGGTCCTGCCCATGGGTCAGGACAATCCCAAACACAGATACAAGCTGGGCGAGGAGTGGGTTGAGAGCAGCCCTGAGGAGATGGACTTGGGGGTGTTGGTGGTTGGAAACCTGACTGTGAGCCAGCAATGTGCGCTCACAGCCCAGAAAGCCAACCGTGTCCTGGGCTGCATCAAGAGCAGTGCGGCCAGCAGGCTGAGGGAGGGGATTCTCCCTCTCTGCTCTGTTCTTGTGAGACCCCCCTGCAGTGCTGTGTCCAGCTCTGGGGTCCCCAACACAAGAAGGACACGGACCTGCTCAAGCGGGGCCAGAGGAGGCCACGACAATGCTCAGGGGGCTGGAGCAGCTCCCCTGGGAGGCCAGGCTGAGAGAGTTGGGGGTGTTCAGCCCGGAGAAGAGAAGGCTCTGGGGAGACCTTAGAGCGGCCTCCCAGGGCTTAAAGGTGGGCTATAGGGAAGATGGGGAGGGACTCTTTATCAGGGGGTGGAGGGATAAGATGAGGGATAATGGTTTTAAACTGAAAGAGGGTAGATTAAATTAGATATGAGGAAGAATTTCTTCCCTGTGAGGGTGGTGAGGCACTGGCCCAGGGTGCCCAGAGCAGCTGTGGCTGCCCCCTCCCTGGAAGGGCTCAAGGCCAGGTTGGACGGGGCTGGGAGCCCCCTGGGCTGGGGGAAGGGGGCCCTGCCCGTGGCAGGGGGGTTGGGATGAGATATCTGTAAGGTCCCTTCCAAACCAAACCATTCTATGATTCATTAATTGTTTTTTTATTCTGAGTCACACAGAATTAACATTTATAACTAACTTAATTAAGAATGTTAAATTCTATAAAACAAAAATATTTTACTCACTTGTTTTTCAGCTCCCTTTGGACTGCAGTGATCTTTCTGAAAGTCATGAAATGCTTCTTGCACCACTTTGTCCAAGTCCACTTTGTCCTGGAACTCTAGCTCAGGATTTCTCTCCAAAATAACAGATATAACCATCAATAACTAGAAGGCAGAGAAAGACTGTAAGACTTTAAATCTGATTTTTTTTAAAATTCAGGTTACATAAAAGCAATGTTAATAACTGTGTAAGCCTCTTTCAAGTAGGAAGCCATTTAATAATGGCACATGTAATAGCACACAGGTAACAGAATTCTGACTTTGATAAAAGAATCACTGAAAAAGCTGGCTTTTATGGAAGGTTACAGTTTCTGGTAACTACCTAGTTAAGGGCACTGCACAAATGATTGACGCTAACATCTAACTTTGCTGTGAGACAGGGAAGTTATTCACTGTGTGGCTGCACACATGCTGGTGCTCAGCCAATAGAGAGTGTGAAAAACAGCAAACACTGAACCTCAGCATTTGATGTTTTGAGGCATAATCACACATGGTATAATTGTACTATGACAAAGTTTATAAAAACCAAAATCAGTAGACACCTAGTAAAAAGTCTTGGTTCAAGAGAATTGATACTCCCTGTATCTGAAGGACGTTTAAAATAGGAAGGTGAACAAGAGTGACCTGTCGTAATAATTACAAGTGGGCAGTGTAGTCTATATTGGTCATCTTGGGTTTTGATAATTGTGTTATCTTTTAGCAAAAATTGGGGATGTTCCAGCAAGCAGCATGACCATTAGTTGTTAGCCAGAATGGAGATGGATTTGATTTTACTGTAGAGAAATACTCAGAAGTGCCAGAGGCATATACTTGGGAACTAACAATGAATGCTGCTGACAGCACAGATGTCAGTTACCAACAGTACAGATGCTCCTGATCTGTTCGAAAAGTATGCATTATGTGCAGCGGTGGGAAAGGAGTTCAAACAGGCTCTTGTTTTACTGTTAGGTATGAGAACATAAGGAAACTGGAAGTTAAGTCGAATCAGTAGCATAAAGCAACTTACTAGACAGCCTCAGCAAAATGGGAAAGAATCTAGTGCAGGGCAAACTGATATTTTAATGCAGATTTCCCTAGACCTAGAAAATTGTTAGGAAGAGGCACGGGCCAGAGACGTGGAAGAAAGCTACCTTGGAATTCTTCTTATTAGGTTTCACCTCCTGTGACCTAATAGTATTGTCACTGTCATTAATACTTATCTATTTGCTAAAGTGGAAGAACTTAAAGGACTTGGTATATTCTGAACGTGTTAACAGGAACCTGTTTACTGATACAAAATCTACGGAGAAACCACTGAAGCAAGTGTTTGCTTAAAATGCTATTTCTTTGAATATCTGAGCCTCGGTTACTTTTTTTCTTTTAAGCTGTAACATACTCATGCACATTATAAAATGTCATTCATTGCAGGCCACGGACCTCTACAATAATTTGCCTATATTCCGGCTGGTCGATATTTTGCAGCATATCTTCAACTAGAAGGGAAAAATTCATTTCATACATCGTCATATCCGATAAGGTTGGTTGCTGAAAAACAAATAATAATTTTACTCAAAGACCTTTTGCATTAAATCAAAACCACCTCCAGGTAGAGCCTATGTGCTCACTGAATAAATACTACTCAAATATGAAATATGACCACTGTAGGATCAAAAACAGGAGCAGATTTCAGAGTCCATGACTTAGAAAGGGTCTTCTAGATTTATGCATTTATAAATGTGCTTTAATAGAAATAACTGACTTCCAGTATATTCTAATTGTATTTAACTCGGAACAAAACCTTGAAAATACTTTTAAAATGAAAAAATCATACCAGGAACAAATTACTTTAAGTAATATATTATGGCATAAAATAGACATTAAAGATAAAATAATTCAGCATTAATAGTCAGATAGAGCAGAAGTAACTGAGCATCTCTGCTGGTTTTACCTGTGGTAAAAATTTCCCTGCCACTATTAGACCATTGGGTGTTCTTTCCAAGATCTGCCACACCCGATCATAGAATCCAGCAGGAGTTCGATTGAGAGAACCATCTATCTGTCTTCTGTTCAGCCAGCCTCTGTGGACAAAGAAAATCGAGAACTTGAAGGAAAGAACTGTTACAGAGGCAGAAGCAAGCCCTGTTCTGTGGTGCAAGCCAGTAAGGTAAGTGGTGACATCGAGTACCCGGTAGTGATGCATATGTAGTATATGTCCTGCTTCCTGGTAAGTTACACTCTCAAGGAAACAAAATCCAGATGCTCAGTGTATAGAAGTTAGAAAGTTATTTTTATGTGTGTGTTTGTGCTTTAAGTAACTGGAGGAAAAGAATTAACTGTGAAATCTATCCAGTGCAGTACAGTAACAGTAGTAGGCTGAATTCATCGTGTTTAATTAGTTTAAGTGACCATAAATTAAAATGTCCCTAAACCAGAAGTTACTGTGTGGTATCCATCACAGCCAAATTTATACACAATGAAAAAAAAACCAGTATTAACTGTAATATTAAAATCTGTTTAATCATACTAGAATAGGCAAAGCCATTCATTATATAAATACAGCTCAGTGAAATTCTGAATATGCAAAACGTAATAGACAACGGATTAGAAACGCTTATCATTCTAATTTAAATACCAGGCTAGAAAAATGCATTTCACCAGGATTGCTGAGGGTAGGTCTTTTTATGATGGTGTACAGAAAAACAAGTGGCCTGTGAATTTAGAAAATTAGAAAAAATGGTTTTGTTAAACTAAGCCTTTGAACAAATTGAGTTACATTCTCCATAAATTACAAATTTTGTTTGCCTCCAGAAGCATACTGTCCCTGCTTTTTTTTTTTTTTTTTCTTCTTACTTGCAGCTATGAAGTCTGGAATGTAATTTTTATGTTCTCCTTTCTCAGTATTACTACAGAAAAGGGGCTTTAGCCAAAAGGTTTGAGATACCAGCAAAGGAAATTTAAGAAGTGGCAGCCATGGGTATGATTTTAATTGGTGGATTCACAGTACAGAATTAAGTCTTGCGTATCAGCATTGCACATATTTGACAGAAAAGTTTTCCTAAAAGTTACTGTCCTTAGTCGGTTTTAAAATTTTAAGTAGAAAATATCTTTTTATATGGCAAGGTAGTAGTGAGAGCTCCCCTAGGAAGCAAAGCTCCAGTGAAAAGCAACTAATACTTTCGTGTCTTAGTTTAATATTCCTGCCAAATGGCTTTTTAAAAAAAGGTCCATGTCTTCTCAGGTCACAAACAGCTCTCTTATAAGCTTAATAAGAGGGAACAAGTACTTCAGGAAGCACCTCATTCAGAAAAGGTAGAAAGTTTCTACACCTAAACATTTGGATGTTTGTAGCACAGGAATCAACACAGTATTATTATACATTATTTACCATTATGGATTTGTCTGGGATTTTTTTTTTTTAGGAAAACTATATTTAAATTACTGCTTGGCACCATTGCTTTCTGTATTTCAAATACCTGGTTCTGGCAGGCTGTTCGAAAAGTTAAAAAGAATAAATAAAAAAAAAAAAATACCCTGGTCAACTTTGTGAACTTTGTTGTTCTGCAGAACTTTTGTAGCCTAGCTCAAATGAAATTCAGCAGTAATAATTTAGTGTTTTTGTCAAAAATACTCTGACCTATCTAAATTACTACAGTAAGGAAGAAAGGAGTCCTGTAAACTGTATGACCAAAATGAGTTTTATAACTGTTTGGACCATTAAAAGAAATTGTGCTCCATTTTAAAAAGGCTATTTGCAATCTTGTGACCTACATAAGTAGGTCAGAAAGAGTATCTGTGGAAGTCTGCACTCTGTTGGCGAGATATATATTTATCTATATGGTATTGTATCCTGGAACCCAGTGTAAGAGGTAGGAAAATTGCAAAAATTTTACCCTTCATAAAAACCTGGAGAGAGGTTAGTTGTGGAGAGACTGTTAGGGAGGTAAGTGTACCACTAGCCCTTCATGTATGACAAATTAACTGGCAGTGAAATGTGATCTCACAGTAGGAGAGATTTTCTCTAAAAATCACAAGAGCAGGAAAAACTGTCACAGAAAGAAAAATGAAAGGAGACAGTGTTCTGAATTTCCTGACAGGAGGAGAACTTTTAAAAACAATTCACTAATGGGTAAGGAAAAATGAGCTAGTAGTACTGTACAGGAAGAAGTTAAAAGATAGGAAGTTTTAAAGGATACGCTAGGTAGTTTTTGTACTCGGATAACCCCCAAAAAAGAATCTTCATCCTCAGAAAGTCCACCAAACTGCTCTTTGCTGACCCAGCAACTGTGTGTTAAAGCAATCAAAAGAAGGCACTGTGACAACTCAGGTAAGAGCTCTAATGAACGATGGTGCTTGAATTGATTACTGTGACCAAACTGCTTCCTAAATAACATAATGTTTAATGGAAAATGCTACAGAGAGAAACCTAGGGTTGTTCTGATGAGGCTTTACAAGAATAATGTCAACATCAACATGAGTAGAGACAGCAACTAAACAGCAAGCATTTATACCTACAACCAAGACACTGAAAAGCATGTAGGAGAAACAGAGTACATATTCAGCTGGACTGAGAGATTCTACATCACACAAATGAGGGAGAGCCTGTTTCTCAGGCATTATAGATGGGGGAAAAAACAAAATGTGGTTTGAATTAAGCAGGAACATAAGTAGTGTGATGTGTATATTGCCTCTTTGTTGGGAGAAAAGGCTGCCATCCATTCTGTCAAAGACTAGGGAAATGATCAGCAATATTATGGGCCAAAGTTTAACTTAACTAGAAGTAATATCTACAGGAGAACTTTTGACTTTACTCATCAATATAGTTAATTGGAAAAACTGTAATTCTAACTTTTGTCCTGCACACTTTGCATCACAATGAATGCTCTTTTTGGCAGCCAGTTACAGCTTGGAGAATACAAATTTCAGGCAGCACCACTCTCTCTTGAAAATTCCAGAGAACATCTGTTTTTAATTCTGATAATAAGCTAGAAGAAAGAGGGCACTGAAGAGCAGACAAACTGTTCTTAGAAGTTACTTAAATAGCTGGTATTGAGTAATTTTTGGCTCCTTTCCCCACATCAAAGAATGTAATGCTTCACATTACTGCCAAAGTGTACAGATGACTACTATACCGTAAGACTTCCACAAAGATAAAGCTTAAAAGGGAAGATGCAATATAAAAGAAACAATTGTAGAACCTGGACACTGGTGAAAGAATGTAAAACTGCATTTTTTGCTACTGTTCCTTAAATAACTGTATTACCGATCGCAGATGTCTGGTGATTTCAGAGGTATACAAAGTAGTTCAGAAATTAAAAGTACTTGAACAGCCTATTATGAATGAAAACAGGTGCTACAAACCCACACATCTCATTACCTCTCCTGCGGCTGTGGCTGAAGAATATCCAGCAAAAGCTGTTTCACTTCACTAGGGGACATCTGGTACAAGTCCTTGGCTGGCATATCCCCAGCACGGATTTTCAGTTCATGCTTCATAGCATGGATAATCCATCTGAAGTAAATGGAGGAATACATTTATTAATTAAATACAAAGTTTCCAAAGATGAAAAATTAGTCTAAGAATCATAAGAATTCCACATGATCCTGCTATTTGCCTGTCAAGACATGCATAAAATATCAAACATTTACTCTACTACCCTTACTGTACTGTGGAATTTACTCAATTTTGTGTTTGCTTGCAATATGATACAAGCTGAAAGGGATAATGCATAGATTTTAAGAAACGGGTTGTGAAGCATGCTTTTCATAGGGAAGATAGGGGAATATGTGGTCAAATCTATGTCCATTAAGTCAAACATTTACCTGCCTTTTGATGTTAGAACTGCTACTCAAAATTATGCTTTGACAGTATATGCATTTTGCTGATGAGTTTTTTGAAAAACATAAAAATTAAATTTTACATTTAAAAAGACTTCAGGGCTTACTTATAGTTTTAGCCTTTGAAATTCCTTTTTCAGTTCATCACACTTTTCTTTCTTTTGCTACTCCCCTTTGAAAAGATGTGATTAAATAAAAATATGGCAACAGTGAAGATTTTTCAGCCTTAGGTATTAGAGAGGCAGAACTCTGCAAATTATTGAAGGAAAACACTGAATTTTATTCTGCACATTATATAAAAACGGTGCTACACTGATATAGTATCAAAGACGAAATAACATATAAATACATCTGATGCAAGATAACTGAGCACGGAGCTCAGTTGCTTACCATCTATATCGCTTCAGTTCAAGTAGCTGTTACTACCAAAAAGGAAAAGAAACTTAACTAGTTTTTCTTCAAACAGTCCATCATGTAACACGTGATCAAGACTGGGTTACATTGAAGAGCCTTATGCTGTTTATCAGAAAACACGAGTATTCCTGAGAGTTACCTTGTCATCAGTATAGTCACACTCCACAGGTATTTAATTACTTAACCTACATAAACAAAAATCCTTTCTGTACCTTGTAAGTCAAGTCACAATCTTTTCTGAAGGATTCTCAATAACTACACAGCATTCTGAGATGTCAGGCCAACTGATTCAACATTGCTTTAAACTTGAAGTTTCTAGGACCATTCATTGAAGGCACAAGATACAAAAGAATATTAGGCAACATGGACATATTACATTATCCAGAACACACTACTTTTATCTATTTTAGTAGGTGAATAGTGTCCATCTGTTACTAAATCAACAAACACAACTAGCTAAGGAATCTCTTTTCCACTGATGACTCAAAAATATCTGTGCAGAAGTCATTCACTGGTATTTTTTCTTTGCAGTGGCCTACAAACCATAGCAAAGTGAAGAATGGACCTCCTACCAAACTCTCCCCTCATAGGAGGTGGGTAGAATTCAGTTGGCTGGAGCTTTTTACAGTAATAGGGCTGTCAGGAGCTTGATCTGTTTCAACACTCGACATGAAACCCTCAAAACAAATCAATAATAAGACACTAAATCAAATCATTATCAAACTGGAATGGTGTTTCTGCAAGAAGGCTAATTTTGTTCACTGGAGTGGGTGATAACACCAAAATAAAGGAAATTGAATCTCTAGCATTAACCTTGGAAGAAAGAAAAAAGATTGCTAAAAGGATTAGCTACAGAGAATAAGGAAGGAGGAGGAAAGAGGAGTAACATGGATCTGTAGAGGGTACAGAAAAGGTATTTAAGTGCAAAAGGGTAGATGTAGTTGCAGTTAAATGTAATACAGGTGATTTGGAAAGTTTTTGTTTTTATGATGACTAGAATGTACTGCCAAAGTTGAAGCATGAATCTTGTTAGAAAAAAGACTGGTGGTAGCTATCTCCAGTGTTGAAAAGATGTATTTTCTCTATGAAAAAAATATGGAAGATGGAACACTTAAGTTCTAATTTTAAAGCAAGCTCACTAATTCTGTAACTCTCAGTCAGTAGCACCTGGCCTCTTCAAAGAAGTACTTATTCAAATATATTTGTCTCTTCCTAAATGTGAAAAAGTAATTAATTTCTGTATATAGCAAAGTAAATGCAGATACCATGGAACATGCTAACACTCTACCACAGACTATTTTTAGGTCACCTTATCAAAGGCCTAAATAGAACACTCCAGTAGGTAAATGATGTTTTAAACTTGATTCAGGTTTGTGGTTTCTAAGTTATGTATTGCTAAACCTAACCTATTTAGTATAGAATTGCACAACTACGTAAGCTGATGAACAGTCAAGAAGTGGTGTGTGTGTCTGTAATAGGGATACTGTTCAGCTGGGGGGAGTTGTTTTGGGGTTTTTTGAAGAATAAAATGACATTTTTATCAACCTTGTAAGACAAATCAGATTTTTCTTTACCGTGACAGTTAAGTATTTTTGTGTAGAGAACTGCTCTTGAGCAATGTCTTCATTATGTCAGATATCAGTTATACATATTCACCGAGTATCCAAAGTATACCTTGGTACCTCAAGATATTTTAGGAAAAGCTATAATGGTAAATGCATTTGAACTGCAGAAGGCTTTTATTATTCAAAGTCCCCATTACAGACAACATTCTAAAAGAACAAGCTATATTTTCAGTCAGATTATTGTCATGAAACTCTGAAAAGAAATAACTTAAGTACCTCAGAACGCTGCTTCCAAGGGGTTTGTTGCTCATGATTGTCAGACTTTTAAGACTGATTTAGACCAGGCCATATTATGACCTGAGCACTTACTAGAAACCAGAAGAATACAACTAGAAGCGTATGTTGACCTGGAGGATAATTATATGGTCTCAGCAGAGTACCAAATTCATGCTGCATCCTTCCTAGATTATCGCACTTATGAAAGTCTTTACCCTCTACCCATTTGCCCCAAACCTACGTGACACAGGTGACTGCTCAAGTGAGCAAAAAGCTTTTAAAGGCCTCATCCAGGAGCCTTAATCCTGGATTGTACTTTTCCTTCCTCAAGTCCTGAAAGTCTGACAGTAAAAGCTCTTCTAGTCCTCTCTGCCTCTTGATTCTTCCCTCCCTGCCTGTATAGTAGATCCCTAGCCCACGGCCACGTCCCTGTAAACCTGCCCTGTGTGCATCTACATTACCTGTGGGGCACTGTAAAGGAAGAACCAGCACTTGCTTTTTCTTGATCCATTACACTTTTAAGACTCCGTCCACATCATATGCTTACCAGTAATGAAATTCATGCTAGTTAACAGCCTGAAGCATGCGCAGCACACCTGTCCCTAGTACTTGACAAAAAGATTTCTGTAGAGGTTGCCTTGCTGCCCGCATGTGCATACAAAGAGCAAACTGTGAGCAGACTTTGTATCCACTCTGCAACTGGGAAACTGGATGGCACCCAGCGCACTGGATGTCTGCTGCCAGGTAGGAAACTGTCTCAGGAGCACTGCTAATACGCTCGAGTGCATGCTTTGTTATTTCAGGTATAGATATGAGGCCAGTTGCAATCTAAAACAGAAGCTCTTCAACACACTGCATTGCTAAGGGAGACTCGCTGTGCCAGAGCTACACCCAGGCCAGTTAGCCAGCTGGCCCCTGCCTCCTTGGCCACTACATGAGCCAGGCAGAACATTCTGCCTGTTGGCAGGACAGGGTGACCTGGAGGCACCACACTTGCTGCTGCTCATTTGCATCTAACACCACTACACTGGTTTTGGTTTTCAAGCCCAAACATGATAGGGATCAAGCTTTGAAAAATCCTGTAGTTCACTGTATTAGTGGTGAAAGCTTCAAACGGGCTATTAAAAGAACTGCCCCTCCTCCACTTTACACTCTTGACTGACAAATTTGAGATTAGTTGTGCCCCCATTTTTGGCACACTAATTTAAAGCAGGCTTCCTAGAAATGTAAAACTGAAGTATACAAGCTTTGCTGCATCATCTTACATAAAACATTTTTGCAATGTAGCAACAATCTCTGTTGAAGTATGCGTGTTCCCCTGCAATACCAGTAGTAAGAGCAACAATAGATACTTTACTGACCCAATCCGTATCTTCAACATGCCACTGAAAAGTTCAGGTGAATTTGAGATGATCCAGCCAATATGGATGACAAGTTCCTGCTGAACTACAGCTTCTCTTTCATCTTGTAAATTACATTTTTCATAGATGATGTTCTTAATCACTCCTGGGGAGAGCGGATTAGAAATAACTTCTTCCTCTTGGCCAAAAGCTCCAAGTGTCACCTACAGTATATTGAAAACAATTCAGAAGATATAGACAGGAATAAAAAAGCAATTCAGAACTTAAACTTCATTCACACTGCTTTTCTTGTTCAAGTTGCACAATACAAAAATAATTATGTCAATGCCTGATGCTTGTTAATACTGTTAATTTGGATGCTAATAAAATAACAAAATTCACTTAAGACTCCAGTAAATATGCAATATATTTTCCCAGAAGAAAGTAAAAACACAAGACCACTGCTTTGGCTTCAAATCTGGCTGTATTATCACAACTGTACACTACATTTGGGTAGTCTTTAATTTCTGAAATTTTAAGCTGTGGAGCTCACTTAAAATTCCGAATTAAATTCATAGTTTTGTTTTCTTTTTTCTAATAGCATCCGAAAAGTTATAATCTTCATTTTAAGAAAATATATTGCTAGTACTGGATTGTTTAACTGCAGAAAAGGAATTTTGTTAAAATTCTGATTTGCTTTTAATCTACTATCAGTAAAACAGAGCAACACTGATTTTTCTCTTATAGTAAAGGTCATTGTTATAAAGGGATCAGTGAAGGCAAGTTAGGTTAAAAAGTTGAAAATAAACATCTACCAATCATGCTGCATGCAGGTGTAGATTCCTCTATAGCTACGTAATGCCAGAAGCACATACCCAGACCTCAGTCTGGAGTAAGACAAAGACAAATCTGTCATAATACCACTGCATAATAGGTGAGTACACAAATAAACATATTTTAATATAAGAATACATAACATTCAGTTTCTGTTATTTGGAAACAGCTTTTCATTAACTTAATATAATTATTGTGCTGGGAGGAAAAAAAAAAAGTCCCTCCTTAGAAAAGTAAGAAACATTGATGATTAAACTTTGTTTGGAATAGAAAACTAAAATCCTGAAAGATATTTTGCTCAGCTGCCACCCATCTGTTGTCTTATGCTCAGTTACAAAGAGTGGCTACATTTTCATTAAATAAGTCTTGAAGCTTTATTACTTGACTCCATTTACTTTTGTGAAACAAGAGGGCATATATATAAAATCTAAGAAGTTATGTAAATCTATGCCTCTTTCCTTCTTATCTAGACATTGAACTGTCTTTTCAGTACCGTTCTGTAATTAAAGTAAAATTATTACTCCATCTGTCATTAAATAGACATAAATTTATTACCCCATACTGTATGCACGTATTAAATATATCTTCTTTTTATCTGGATTTTTCTTCTTCAGTACAGGTTTTTTAAGTCATTGAATACTTTTAAAAGAACAAGTGGAGGTCTTCAAAATTAGAAAGCCCATTTATTTAGTTTCTATTTGTAATTCCTTAATATGTTTCTAAGGAGTAAAGACTTACCTGCTTGCCCTGAACTAAAACATTAGTAATAGACGGTGCAAGGCTGTCCACTAGTTTACCTAAAAGACTTGCTGCGAAGCGCACAACAGACCTGAGGGCAGAAAACAGAGCAATCCCACTGCATATCAAAAGCTAGTTTAATGAATTCATATATAAGTTTGAAGACTGCCACAGCAGAGATCTCAAAACTAGTTCAGTAAATACATACATTATTTATAAAGCATAATTTGGATCAGATTTTATGTAATCTTCTATGGATTTTCATTTTTCAATCTAGATACAGGTTAATGTATCAAAAATAAATTTAGTTAGAACTCATTAAACTACCCGCTCCATAAAAAGCTTGTCATTCTTTTCTCCGTATCATCTTGAAAACAGACAAGAAAGAGATGTCAGCTTCTCATTTGTGACATTTTCATCACTTTGCAAGATAAGTCTATTTAAGGAAGAGTTAGAAAGATTTTGCAAGAGAAAGCATAATGTGTAACGCCAAGGCTGGTTTGCCATGCTGAGGTAATATTTCACATGTGTAGCATGAAGAGAAGAGACTCGTGTAAACTGCTAGGTTAAAAAATAGCTGTACCTTCTAAGAAGAACATTTTTCCATGTATCCAGTTGATGGTTAGAGATACAAATACTTTTTAATAATAATTTCCTGACAAAATACAAACCTAACAGACCCATATTTGAGCTTTCTAGCACAGGCTTTGAGGCTACTAAGAATCACTTATGCACAGAGATAATGAATGAGCTGTAATATTCAATAGTGTTAGTAAAAAATCCAACCAGTTGATGTTGATTCCTGTGAAGACTGCTACGTACTTCTTAAGATCAAGAGCAAAGCATTTAAAAAATGCATTAGCTGATACTATCAAAATGCAAATAAGCAAAAAAAAAGTCTCATGGAGCTCCATTTCAGACTTCTGGGCACTTTACCTGTTTCCCATGTACCAGTAAAGTAGTAATATGTGGGGTTATAGAAGAAGAAAATTTCTGTGCAAATGCAGCACTGTAGCGCAACACCAACCTATATGTATATCACATGGCAATCATGGAAGAAAAATGAAAAACAGTTTACATATTTTGTTTCTAAAAATACTTTTGATTTTTATTCTTCAGAAAAAACACCACCAAGGTATTCTGGTTCTACCTTATTATTGGCAAAGGCTCATTTAACAGTATGAACAGACTAAAATGAAAAATAGTTTTTATATTTACAGACTCATCTGTTATGAATAGTTACAACAGAATTCAGGACAGGCTCAACTCATTTCTTCGATAAAAAGAAATGAAATTTCTACTGAGCTTCAGGGTAAAGAAATTAATAAACAACATGTAAATACTAACCTATTTGTTGAAACTTTTTAAAGTTATTGTGACAAAGTCAGGCTCAAAATAAATTATTTCAGGGCAATAAACTAACTATGTATCACCTTAACTGATTTATATTTGATCACCAGCTTTGCTACAGAAAGCTATTAATAATATTTTATCATGCCCTGGAAGAAATAAGAATATTAATATTCTTTTCTCATTAAATTTAATGAGAACTGCACATTGGCAATAGCACTCATAGCAAAACCAGTTTATTACTCTTATATTTTAAAAGATAACAGTAATATTTTTAAAGCATTATAGATGAGACCTTCAGCTGCAATGAACCAATACAGTTTTGCAGTAAAGCTGTCCTTTTCCTGCCCTCCTTTAAGTACGTAAGGATCCAGCTTTACTCTCTATAAACACAAGGAAAAAGTGTAAAACAAAAGGAACATAAGTATACAAACCAGAGCTTTTTGCTGCCAGCTCGTCTATAGATTCTTTCAATATGCTCAGCAACAGTACCTAAGTGCATTAAAAAAAACCAAACAAACAAAAACCACAAGCAAAAAAGATGCACAGGTTTTCATTTAATAGTAACAAGGTAAATTTGATGACATCAGTTAATCCTGAATCAGCTTAAGTAGAGCACTTAGCTATTGTACTTAGCATCTAAAATTTAGGTGCAATCAAGTCCCCTATCATCCAGCTGTATGTTGCTGTGCAAGAAGTCAAACCCGATTTCAGCTACATTTGCTGCTCATGCTCTAAAGAGACATACGATATCACTTATTCTTGCAATATAATGGGAAAAATTAATCTGTGTACAGATTTTGCCTATAAAGGTACATCCCCCATCATAAAGTACATCCTCAAACCGCAAATTACGTTTTGGATATGGGATGCAGATACTCTCTCCACTGTCTTGCCTCTGTTGAGCTAAAACCTACAGGAAGCAACAGGGAAGTCCTGTGCTTGACAGTAGTTCGTTGAAGTGGTGTTACGTTTGGACAAAGTTTGTAATAGCTGATATCCAAGACACAAGCTGGTTTCAACTTTCAGTAGATCACCTGGTTCATCATGTGGGATGCAGAGACTTTCATTTCACAGGAATTTGGGAGAGTGTGAAGGAGAGGATCTTTCACTGCTTCGTGGCTCTGCCCTCAATAGCCACAATAAAGCACCCACAGATACCTCAGTGACACGTGAGCTGGCGTTGGTAATCAGGTGTGTTACAGCACTACTCTTGTGAAGCTAATTATCACTGTTGCAAAGTATAACAGGGGATATTGGGCAGACATACAAGACCTTATATTACTGATTTACTACTCTTCTCCAAGCTGATTTTCTGTGTGCCAAAACCAAAGAGAAGCTTTTATGAAGTGTTACGTATTAAATTAGCATCACACTGTGAAGACATGAGCTAAAAAATAGAGGACAAGAAATGGGAAGAGTACTGCTTCTAAGTCAAAGTCAGTAGTCCAGGATTCAGAGAAGGCATGAAGTACATGAATTACATTAATCAGAACAATAGATACCATTCTTTTGTCAGCCCATAGGTGATCACAGTGAAGCAACTTGCTATAAAGACATCTTTTCAACTCTGCAGGGGTCAAATGGGGACCATTATGTTAAAGGTAAAAGTGGTGACAAACATTCCATTATTTAGACTTCACTTAGCTTCTAGATTTAAAATTCTCAGATGGAATGGCAGTGGTTTTCATGCCAGGCACTTATTGGTGAACAGTAAGTTCATCTATAACAAAAACAGTAGCAGCAGTTGACTCACAAAATCATAGCCTGTGCCTGTCAGCTGGAACACCCAAGGTTCTTCAGCTTTTATTTTTAGATTTATGTTTTATTGATTGTGTGATTATTTAATGCCAGTCTCAGTAATCTCCAGACGTAGGAGGACAGGAACTTCTAGTTAGTGACTCAGACTGTTTAATGCAAGGTGCATATTAAAAAGGTTATCATCGTCTACTATTTCATACGGGATAGCACAAAAAGGTCTACACAAGTTAGCTCTGAACAGTCAGAGGCAAAACTATTTTATTTGATCTAAATGGTTTCAAGAGAGCTTTTAAGTTCATCATCATGACCTAATGGTCAAAAGTGTTTATGCTGGTTGCTTACAGAGGTTAGTTAGTCTGCCTCAGGTTGTTTCCAGAGCAAAGGAGGACACAATCTAAAAAGGATGAAAGCAAGCTACTGAGGCTCTCAAAGCCTGACAACAGTACAGGTAACAATGACAACAAAGCTTGCTTCAGAGGCTACGTGTGCCTAACGCTCAGATTCCAACCACGACTTTGGATTCACATTGTATTTCAACAATGCACAGTGTACCAGCCAATGAATTTTATTCCACTCAACATTGTCTTCCATGACATTTTGAATATAACAATATGGATATAATGTATATTTCGGTCTAAACGAGAACCCTTAATCGCAAGAACTAGCTGTCATATCAAAATTAGGAAGCAGGGCTCTACAATATGAGGTGGTAACTTATACTGCTCAGTGAGTAACAACTGGGAGAATATTTGATCTTAACATTCCTCTTTTTCTGAGGAGCATTCACAGATACAAAGGCAGCAACTAAGCAGTCTTTGGGAAAAAAAAAAAAAAAAAAAAAAAACACCAAACCTTGCAGCACAAAAGCCACAAGCCTCAGTAGCCCCTTCTGAATTATTTTATATTAATTTACATCCTGTGGTCTACTGCAAAGCCATAATACAAAATTAGAGTAAGATTCACAGATATATTGAATTAAAATCTGATTACATAAAAATAAAATAAAAACTCAGTATAAAGCTTCACACATTTCTGACTGTTACAGACACACAAACTTGTCTTTAGTTTCAGTTTTCTATACAAGGTGAAATTTTTTATATCTATGTGTTCAAAATTACAACCAGATACAGCACCAGCCTACAAGCAATCTAAAAGAGTTCATATATTTAGCAGCTCATTCCCCACCACACTGTGAATTTGCATGTCCCATTTAATGCAGAAATTGCTTTAAATGGCAAAGAAAATAGCTACACAACTGCTTGCATGCATGGCCATTATTCATATTCATTACAACTAAACATATAGCTGCTTCCTGAAACACTCAGGACAGTCAAATGAAAGAAGCTCTTACCTTCCTTGGTGATAAAATTCGGTCCCTCCCTTTTAAGCAATATATTCAAGAGTAATGCTTGACTTGCTAGGCAATTGCAGTCCTTAAAAAAAAAATACAGCAACAGCATAATATCAAACAGCCTTCAGATTTTCAGCGAAGCAAAACCAGAAGAGCTATTAAAAATTTCAAGTGAAACCACAGGACCTTTTTTTTTTTTTAATTAAAACAAGTCTACAAATTTTGTTTTTAAGGGGACTTAAAACTACTATAACTATTTCATACCCTATGTATGCTGTATCTTTGTCACTGCTGCTTGCAGAGGCTTTCCACAGTTGAGATTGAATTGTAATAACTTGGCCTGTTCTGTTTCCTGATTTTCTGTTCTTGGGTCCTGTCATTTACAGAAGAAGTGCTTGTAATGACATAGGGAACCAAGTAAAATACTTTGTGGGTTCCTGTCGACTGGATCTAGAAAGAGTCACTGGTAATTTTCTTCTGGATACAGGAAAAATGCCAGATTGGAACTTTCCTTTGTTACCATTAAGAAGTTACCAGTCTATCAGAGTGAATATCAAATGTTGAAGTCTTCTGAATTTCAAGTCTAGCAATAAAATATCTATTCATAAGACACATGACAAACAGATACCCTTCTAGATGGTCATTTATTACCAGAAGATGATTTGGGTAGTTGGGAGAAATGAAAGATGACGGTTACAGCATGAAAGGCCAGAAAGTTCTGTGATGTTAAGATAAAGGGCTGTCAAGAGGAAGATTCCCCAAGTATAAAGGGGAACATCAGACGTTTTATGTTACTAGCCATATTATTAACATTGAATCATGACACTAATCATGTTGATCTGTGTAGGCTGCTGGTGAAAAGAATACCAGCACATAATTCTTCATTTCATAAGAATTAAGTTACACTGTATTTTTACCAAGTTTTCTTACATTAAGTTTCTGCAGGATCTCATAACTTGACTTGTTTTTCCACTCATTAATATTTATCTCTGGTTGCTGCTCAAGTTCAGAAGCATTTGGAGTACTAGACTGTCTCTTGACTTTTGAATGTTTTGGAAGATCCAACTCCTCCAAACTCTTAAATACAGGAGCCCTGAAAAATAAGTATTTAATTTCTTCATAGCTCAGAAAATATTTTACTTATCAAATACTTCATCATTATTATGTACACATAGCCTTACTCTTCTGTTTCAGTTATTCTTAGGAAGTCAAGTTGTTCAACAACTGCTCCAGATATCAATGTCTGAAATGAAAAATTGAAAAAATTAAAAAAGATGCATAACTATATATAGCTATATAGTTGTCTTTTGATGTTAATATGTTGCAGGTGGTTTCTATTGAGAAAGCAGTTTCTTTATCTACAGTTCCAAATATCTTTATACTTTCAGAGTATTTTTCCTTTCTTAAGAGCTCACTTAAGACAGCAGAAGTGCCTCGGGACTGCTGTCTCTTTTTTACTGGCATTCTGCTGTTCTTTTGCTTGCAATGTACAGCTTAATCAAGCAATGTCCAGCCCCCCCTGCCCCAAACCAGGTCCGATGAAAACACCTGAGACCAAGGATTTGCATTCCCCAGAGCCCTGCATGATACCTGTGTTCTGGATCATAATGCTCATTATTTCAGGGATTGCTGAAGGATGAATAGTTTTCCTGTCAGTCTCAGGGATGTTTCAAGGAAAACACAACATAACAGCATTTCCTACTCTGTAGTCATTCCTTAATCCAAGCATGCCTGCCCTAAGTTTGCACATCAAATGCAGTTTATAATACTTCTGTCTCAGTATATTGCACACCTGAAATTCACTGTTGCAGGTATCTGATGTAGTCATTATGATTCATTCCCTTCAAATTTATATGAATTTCCTATTTATATATTGCCAGAGGAAATGTACTACAGCATTTTTAACACTGCTTTTTGATGGTTCTCATTAGCTAAATAAAACTGAGTGTGTACTGTGAACTTTTAAATTCCATTGTCACTGTGCACAAATTGCAGTAAAGTATTGATCTGTTACACTGTGAAATGATTGAATATATAAAAAAAAAAATCGCTTTGCTTTTATTGCTAGTATCATTCGTCCTTTGACTTGCATATCTGCTTGAACTCATGACAACAGTGAAGGTGAAAAATCAGAAAAAAGCTACAAGTCTTCTAAGCATACACATTTTAAAATTAATTTAGATTCTGTATATTTCATGGGAAAAAGGATCATTCACCCAATTAGACACACACATGCTATCTCTAGGCACATTTACACATATACATCTAAATGAAGCAGCTGAATACAATTCACAAAGATTCAATGTATATTTTGTTGGAATAGATTAATTATTTAAGAAAACGGCATGAATTAGACGTGTCCTTGTTCTTTTTCCAAATCCTCCTCATAATGAAACAAGGCTATTTCCAAAATGTGACAACTGTGCAGTAAGATTGAGAGACTGCAGTTAAACTGATGGAGAAAGCATACCATATTCCACCAGTAAATGCGCTGATCACTAACATCTACCACTGGCCTCAAAAGCCAAATAAACACTTGTTTGTAGTTTTACCATGTACTCTTTTTAACAGATAACAAAAAAAAAAAAACAAAGACCAACAACTGTCAACATCTTAAACACCTTAAAACTACTAATTGCTTTAAAAAAAAAAAAAAACAAACCAAACAATCTTTCCAAAAAGTCAATGAGTATGGAAGGGGAAGTTCACTTCCTGGTGACTGTAACACTGTAGTACTTAAAATAAGGACACGTGAAGTAGATTGAGAAATTTCTTGCCTGATAATACATCAATTTAATCAAATGCAAGGCAAGAAAGTCATTGCAGTTAAATTAAAAAAAAAAAAAAAAGCCCAAAACAAAAACCACAACAACAAAACTGTAAACACTGTAGACAAATGAAGGGTTTTCCATGGATAGTAATAGCATTTTCTATAGAAAAAGTCAATGGTAACAGGAGAGACTACATGACTTATCTCTGACCAGAAGAAATACATAAATATTTGAAAGATTACAAGGGTATCTTAAGCCATTATAGCTATGAGTATTTAATTTACAAATGACCCAGCTCTTCTACAAATTCATGATTTGCTAGGGAACAAGAAATCATAACTGTGTCTTTGGTCTCTTACAAAAAGAAGGGTTCTTAATAGGTGTAAACTAAGATTAACTAGCACATAGAAGTATCTCAAACCAGCACCTGACTCAGTAATTTTCACATTTTAATGAAGTAATGTTCTTGCTTTAAGACTAATTCAAACAGCAAAGATGTTAAAACTAGATCTTAGTTCTTGCAAGCATTTTAATCTATGTGAAGCACCTTCCCCCCTTTCTCCCCGCCCCCTCCTTGATTATCTAATCAAAAGAAATCTCTTGATGCTTGACATTGTTGATTTATCCTTTAGTGGTAATTTCACAAGATTGCTGAACATAAAAAAACCCTTCTCCCTTCTGAAAATCTTCTGTGACGATTATCACTTTCAAAAGACTCATCAAAAGGAATTAAAATAAACCCATAATTCTTTTGAGATATAACAAAAACTGTACCAAATATCTTGGTTCTTGACTCCTTAATTTTAAGATACTAATACAATACTTAGAAGTCATATGAAAAACAAAAGTAGCAAGAATACACATACCAATACCTGGCGGTAAGAACACAACATTCAGGAAAAACATCATACCTGTACTCTGTCAACGTGAACTTTCACTCCTCCAACAACTCCCTTTCTAAAGGCTGCCAACATATCTAATATTGGATTGAATCTGCTCCCTCTGAAATTTGAAACAGAACTCCATTAATCCTGCAATTAGGTAAATACCACACTGAAATTCATGCTTTTATCTCTCTCTACCTTATATTGTCTTCACGGATAAGTACAACAAACAGTGGACGACCATGCATTTTCCAATACTGCTTAATGAACTGCAGTGCATTCTAAGTAAGAAATAATATATTAGTTGACAAAAAAAAATTAAAACACACAAACACAACATACCAGAATACACAGTACGAGATATTAGAAGGGCTATCTTAAAATAACATCACTGAAAAACCCAACAGATTAAAAACCCCTTAGCGAATAAACCACTAACAGACTTCTTCAATGAATTTAAGCTGCTTTCAAGCACTGCTATTTCACGAATTTTCTGAAAATACTCCTAGCACATGTATCAATCACAGACTAAACCACTAGACAGAGTGCGGTGTACTAAACTACATCTAATGACCTAGTAAGTATGCGTGGGGATCCAGGGCTTGAATCACAGCCACTAGCATGGAATAACCACTGCACCTATGCACTGGAAGTAGCTGCTCAAGCACAGGGGACTTGACAGGTAGGCTTTGCACTGCTGCCTGCCTTAGAGAAGACAGGCAATTTTTGATATGTGTGCAAAGTCAAGTAGTATTTCCCCCAGGTTAGGCTTTCATATTTCCATTAAACAGACCAGTCTCATTCATCTTTTCAGCCAAGAACATTTTTTTTTCCAAAGAAATAAAAATAATAATTTCCTTGCTGCACTATAGCATTCCCAATCGCTTTTGGGTGAGGTTTTTTGCTAGATAGAGATACTCAATGTAACTCATACTGGGCTGACAGGATACTCATTGTGATATATTTTCCAGCATAAACTGCAAGTTTATTTTTGTATTAGAAGAATACAGTATACAGTGTTCCCCCTTCGGTCTTCTATTTTACCAAACTTCACAGCTTATTCTTCTGCAGACTCTATTTCTGTCAGTGTCTCAAAGGAATAGGTACAGATAAATACCTTAATGTCGTCAATCAACATCATAACATCCTGAGACATGTAGAAATCACTTAGATCAAAAATGATCGAGTAGCAAACTACAGTCTTTCCTAGTATTCGATAAATCTGTTGAGAGAGAAAGTTCCCATTAATCTTTTCTTCAAAATATCTGAAGCACTGAAGCAGCTGAAAAGGAAAAAAGGTATTTTGAAACTATCACAGTAATAAGCAGTGTAGAACAGTTGAATTAAAAAACATTTAAGATAAAACCTACATATCTAATTTTTGGTACTCTTTATTAGATACGCAGATCTACTTTCTGTATCAGTTAAAGCAGTTAACTCCATCACCAGTCAGCCTGTTTTCGCCAAGTATTACTGTAATTGGATGCCTAGGAAACATATGACAGTTTAATAGTAAGACAGAGCATAGACATTTATAATAGCAAAATACACTACAAGGACTTTAAAATAAGATATATGCATATAAATAAAATTACATTTCAACTCTATTCAAAATCAGAGACAAATTCAATGCTTATCTGAAATATACATCAATAATAATAATATAAACATTTCTTGCAACAACCTTTGATGTTCCAAGGCATCCTATAGGTCTGTCCGGTCTTCCAGATAATCCCAATTTGTCATTGACTCCCAAATGGAAGTAAGCCTATGAGAAAGAATTAAGAAAACTGAGGGAAACCTAGATATAAGCCTTTCTTATGCTCCTGCCAGTTCTCACATAGAAAGCTGTCTGCATTCTGCTTTAATTCGAGATTCATAAAATGTGGTCATTATTTCTCTTGCCTTTTTTTTTTTTTTTTTTTTAATACATCTATATAAAAACAATCAAAGTGAGAGAGCACTAGAGCACTAGATTTGGTAAACATACAGTTCAAAGACTTGGTCTTTTGATAACAACAGGTATCTTTACAGCAAAGAGGAATTAACTATGTAATTGAAGAAAACACAGAAGACGCAAGAAGACGCAAGCAGTCTGCTCCCTAAGTCAGTCATTCCTTCCACTGTAACTCGCGGCGCTTCTGGCAGACCAATACTCTGCTGCAGGTGCGGTGTAACAGTTCCCCTTCCCTCATAATAATAATTTTGGGAGGGTGAAGGATTTTCACCTTACTCAAGAAGGTGAAAATGCAGTTAATGCTGGTTTACATTAAGAGAAATGTCTTCATTAAGGGTAAGCAGGAGCACTGGGTAGGATCCTGACTCTATGATCAGGATACACAGGTGCAACTTCGGGCTTGGGCAAAGCACCAGAGTCCTGCCTATCTGCACAGTTTCAAAATTCAACTAAAACTTCTTGTTTCCTACACTAGGTCTTATTGGTCTTATTTTTACCTTCTTACTCCTATTACTTTTCCAGTCTATAAAGTATTTTTTAAATCCTCGAATTGCTCATTGAAATAATTTTTTTGAAGAATCATTTTTTTAAAGGATCATTTGTGTTTATTTTCTGGCCAATTTCACCTTCTGTAATGCTTTCCCAAAGTGGATACAAAGGTAAAACAGTAATACAAGAGATCTTTAAAGATCTTTATTTTAATTTTAGTAAAGGTCTGCAAAATTAATCCATCAACAACACAAGCAAGAAGGAATTATTTCATTATTTATTGCTCGATTCTTATTTGAGTTAAATTATGTATGCCTAGTATTACTTCAACTGATACAATTTTGTAAGGCTTGCGTATTAAAAAAATAATCTTCATTTATTATCGTGTATAAGAATAAAACCATAAAAAAACAACTAAGCCGTGAGGAAGACACTATAAATGTATCAGTTAAACCAGACCAAAAGGTGTAATTTTTTCCTTATTTGGGCTGTTTTACGTAAGGAACCCACCATTACTAAAACTTCAGAACATTCAGAATTCAGAACACTTTCCTAAACTCAATCTTGCTTTATGTTATAGGAAGATAATTCAGAAGCAATTGAAAGTGAACATTTGAACAAACATTACATTCAATAGCTTTTTACTGCTGTCAGCTCGGGGCCTTCCTGATCCTGTCTATGCTTCTGCATTAATACCACAAACTACTTAAAGAAAATAAACAAAATTACCTACATCATCTGTTCATCCAGACTTAAGTAACTGTATTCAAATGGGAAAGGAATGGAGACATCAAACACTAACAGCTTTAAATAACCCATCTATACATAACTAGAGCAAAAGAATGTTGAACCCCCCCTTATAGTAAATAACAGAGACTAGAAGAATGGCAGTAGACATTGTAATTTAACACTAAAAGGACTTCATTTTGCTAGAATGTAAAACATAAAATGCTTTCTTAACAAAAGTAGAACCCCTGTAGTGTTGTAATATTGTCTCTTTCCTTGAAGATTCTTTCCTTGGCTTGAGGCCTCATGTTGTTCTACAGTCTAATAAACCAGCTTCATCTTCTAGTAATACCTTTCCACCTTGATCTGTTACAATCAAAGCATCAGTTCAGATTCAGCACCACAGTATCTGAACAGAAGTAGTTTCACCCAAGTCCAGCTGCTTCAAGGAGGTTTTTTTGGATTAAAATGCCCTTAAATTCTGGAACATTAAAGCTGCTAATAGCAATAAATGGCTGTGAAAGCAGACTGGACTGTTGGGTTGATTTATGAGAGTGAATCGAATTAGAGTGGTTGTTCACACCATCTGTTTCTGTGTTCTTTTATCTGTCATCAGTCTATGCCTGTGGAGTATTCTCCTGTACTATATTTCCAATACATATATACTTTTTTCCTATACATTGCATCCATCTTGTCCCATTTTCTTCTTTTCTTCCTCTTCCCTTTTTCATTCCTGCCCCTAGACTTTGTGGATCTGTTTGCATTACCATTGTCCTACTTTCAATCCCTGATTTTCCTGAATCAACATCTTCCCCTCATCCATTTGTTCTTTTACACTACTATTTTTGGACACACCTGTTTATAAGTCTAGAGGTTTAAACTGTTACCATGTGCCTCTAGACCAGTTCAGAAGTTTCTAATTAAATTAAGTACTACTGAGAATTCACAGCATTGGAATAGCAAATATCAAGATACATGTTCTTTATGGATCAATCCCCCCAAAATACAGATAATTGTTCCACCATTAGCTTCCCCCTCCTCACAAAGGATGACAAATACTACCAGGGGTTTTAGTTTGTTTGCTTTTTGGTTTGTACTGTTTTTTTGCATAAGCTCAGAGATGAAACCTCAGTTCTCATAATGCCCCAAACACCTTAATTACTTCAGCTTTACAGCTATAGCATAGATTTTTCTAGAAGCCCAGTCAGGGAATTTATTATTTTCATGACATTCTGTTTAAAAGTAAATTTTGATGAGGCAGATGTACATAGCCATCCTGACTATAAGGAAAATGTCAGAATTGCCAGATGTCTCATCAGCTTTTGAAAAGTAATTCCTAACCCAAAAGGTGTCATAGCTAGGAAATTAATTGATAATAGTAAGACTTAATGAAGGTCTCATCTTTTTATCAGTGAGACCAAAGAAATAATGGATGACTGAGAGACACAATATATACTTCTATAGTAAATTTAGGGAATATCTATTTGTTAAACCAAAATTCCAGGTACAGAATTTCAGGACAAATACACTCAGAGAGAATTTATTTTGAAATACATGATCAAAAAAATTATTGACCTAAATTGGGCTGAGAAATGAACAAGGCTGACTGTAAAGAAGGATATTTCTTTTCTCTCTGTTTAAATACTTCTCAGGTGTTTGTGGCAGTCACTATTTGGGGTAAGCATTTTTCTGAATAAGCTAGCAACGTTTTGGTACATCAGTTATCCTCAAAAACTTACAAAGCCTGAACTACGTTGCTACGTTCTCTATTTTTGGTTTCACTTCTTTCTGTGTCATACAGACTTCTGATACAGATAATGGTATCAGCCATGGATCCTGATTTCAGAGAGACTTGCATAGTGATTTGTTCTACAGCTGGAACTTCAGGACTGATAAACTAACTATGTTTATTATACTTTCCCCGACATTCAGAATTCACCACCCTTGTTTGAGATAATGTGTGCAATTAAAAGTTAGACAAGAGCTTTATGTACCTGACCCACAATCAAACTTCAGGTGGTAAAGTATGAAATGTATCAAGTGCACATCCGTGATTCTGGATCAGCTTACTTGTCTGACAGTTTCCTGCAGCTTGTTAAGGCTTGTTTATGTACACTGGGACTATTTTCAAGGTTTTTTCAGAGGAAAGCTCCAGGTGTATCAGAGATAGAGGTATACAGGCACCCAGTAATCTAACAGATTTTTATTAGGACTTTTGAGAAGTTTACCTACAATTGCCAATCAACGCATTTACCATTTAGAGCAGCATTTGTCATAGTCTTTTATATTTAAATGTATTTCCAGGACAAACAGCACTGGGTAGCTTGAAGCACATATGCAGCGTAGCCAAAGTACTATAACTAAAGTACTAAAAATGACTGAACAAAACAGAGGATGCTGAAATGGACCCGTACGGCCTGTAGATGCCATTCATCTTCGACTGCTGGCTTCACGTGGTGTTGACAGCTACCTGAACACATGCATCTAAGCTGGCACCATCAGTGAGGCTCAGCACAGCTAAAGGCTAAAAGGGCCAGTCTTTTAAGTGAAAGGATATGGTGCTCCATTAGGAGACTACTTGCCTGTACAGAACAAGGAAAATCTGAAGCCTTCACAGAGGATGAAGCGGGTTCTGAAGACATCCTTCATCCCGCTAATTCTTGACTGTAGATTTTTAAGTGTGCTGAGTTAAAGGGGTATACCAAAAAGGGTTTACACACCAAACTTCCAGGATATAGTCAACTCAAGGGACTTCTAAAAAAAACAGTTACAGAAGACTGTATAATGCTCCTGTTATAGGGGCTACACTATGAAATTATATGATGCCTACTGCCTTAATCAATTTTTTCAACTATTGTTCATTTGCTTATTTTTCCATCAAGACTCACTTAGTCTACTGTGCTATTAATATTATTAAAGTTTTATTATTCATTCATTATTCTTTGCAAGTATCTCAGGTAATAAACCTAATCAGACAACACAGAACATCTGGACTTCAGTATTTCACTGAAAGCTCTAACTAGGCATGGATAACTGACCAGTGTCAGCATATCTTGCAAATGAACTACAGAAGCATGAAAACGTAGATAGCAAGCTTAAGGAGATACAAGTCTAATAGCTTGATATAAATTCCTATTGTTACAAAACAAATGTATAGATAGATAATTTTAAATGCAGAATTCCTTACTTTAACAAGTTCTTTTTGAGCCCATATCTGAATTGGTTCCACCTGCTGGGGGGTCTGAGTTTGGATTCCATAGGTGTTCAGAAAAACTTGTAGGCTACGAATAAAATAATGACAAATTTAATGACAAAACAAAGAATGGTCTTAAGTTTTAAAAATTATCTTGGCAGCAGATACACAAGTAGCAGTGTTATATTTCACACTTCATTGAGTACCTTTAGCAAATTTAAGATGTCTGTTCTTCAACCTTTCTCTAATTTATACATTCTTAATAAAAGTACGTACATACCGCTGACTTTCTGCTATCAGGGCCACATGTACTACCACATCATTTTCTAAAGGACCCTAGAAAATGATGAAAAAATATTTATTAGCATTGCTAAGTAATTTGTTAGATATAGCATGAATAGTGACAAAGTCTATTTAAACAATTCACAAGTATGACAGACATCACTATCTGCATTGCTTTTTCTTACTGTGTGAACAAATTGAAAGAACAACACAGGACTAAAACTTGTAAATCTCAAAACTATGGGAAGACTGTCTCTACCAATAATACTTTACTAGATGCATTTTGGAGAAAAAATAATATATAGGTTTTTGGTAATAATTTCCACCGTTTGGTTTGGTTTGCTGTGTTTTTCTTTCAAATTTAAAAGAAACACATAGGAAAAACATTTTGCTTCATAGAAAAATTTAGAGTTTACACAATTGATGTTTTTCATTTATGCCTGATATGACATACTGTCTTGATACACATTTTTGTAAAGAGTGAAATAACTCAGCTACGTGGGTAACCAGTAATATTCACTTTAAAATAATGAACTGATGATTTCAACCCTTTACTTTGAAATATTTTTATCAGACATCTACTCTTTACAGTTATATTAAAGATATATTACATTTTACAGAAGATAACAGCATTTCTTTGCATTGTTTATAACAGATACTTCATGTTTGAAATAACTACTAGTATTTTACATCAGGAAACCATACAAATAGGAATTAATTCAACATCTTGGGTGAAATTATTGACTTGACTCCCTGGGTCTTGAAATGGCAATTCACCTTTCTTTTCACTGGTAGCATGCATTACTAGCTAAAAAATTAGGTGCCTGAGCTACTCCTTGTTCATTTATTTTCTGGCATTCAATGACTGCAAAATCAACAAAAGCAGCACACATTTTCATTCCTAAAATGCTTTTTTTCTAGAAACTACCAAAACATGAATGACAAAGTTAAATACATCTTCTATTGACTGATTATATAAAAATACAGCATGTTCTATGAAGACAGACTGATGGATGTATTGATTTAGAATAAAAAGTTCAGAGTAAACACTTGCTCGTTCAGGCATTCTGTGAGCCTCGATATCAATTTACATCTTGTGGATTTGCAGAAGAAATTCTTGATAACATTTTCCCCAAAGTCTCTCAGTACTACACTTCTGATAAAAATTTTGGAGTTTTTGCAACATGGAATAAGTTTGTGATGAACATACATGCACAAAGAGACCAGATTAATAAATCTGAAGTTCAAGTGACATTGAAAGATGTTCCTCCTCAGAATAAGGTGACCATGCTACCAATTGCATTTATACAAACAGTACGAAAACCCAACCCAATTCTCTACCACAGTCAGTGCATTATGTTTATAAAACAAAAAGCAAAGGTCCCCCAAGAAAATGAGAGCCCCTTCCAAGACTGTACTGATTTATAGACAGCCTGTGACCTAATTTAGGGAGTAGTTTTCAAGTTAAGGCTCAACTTAATTATTACCGCATTAATGACGAACTGAGTGGGTCTGCGTAACCACAGACTGTAAGCTGTACATAAATCTGTGTATTCTGCATCTCCACTGAGGTACATCCTTCTCCAGTACCAGTACTAAAGCCTCTCATACACAGACATGACCCATTTATAGCAGCCAGGAAGTGGAGGGCCTAACACAGGCCGTAACTGAGCAAATGCATCTGCAGCACAACTGGCACAACACAAAATCTGTGTGAAAAACAGCTAGACTTTGAAAAAGTACTGTGGAAAAATATAACTATAATTGCTGTACAGTTACAGATTTGCTGTAACATTAAATGGAAAGTTACTTTCATTGTCATTTAACGTGACCCTCACTGCCTTGACAAGTAATGGCCTAGAAAAACAGATCAAAATAACTGATACAGTACTCATAAAAAAGTATGTCGCTCTTTTCAGTAATGATCATGATATATAGTAATGCTATATATTAAAAAAAAAAAAAGTGGAAAAGCATTAAATTCCTAAATATTCCACTAAATTAATCTTCTTGATGCTAAAAGGTTCATTTTAATATGTTCAATTTCACATTTGTCTAATAACACAAGCTAAGGTGTCATTCACACAACATCAATCACAGTCTCCCCAAGAAACTGAAACAGACCCCCCCAACCCTAGGTCCACCCTTCTGCCTGATGTTTTCACATTGGATAGCAGGCTGAAGGATCCGTTTCCAACTATATCCTGCATGCTGTGCAAATGATAAGCAAGCCCCAGTGTTTTCAGAAGATCAAGATAAAAGACAGATTAGGTTTTCTCTCTCTCTCAAAATTAAAAAAAAAATATAATAAAAATAAATCATAGTTTTTAACAAGGTTATAAACCATTGGAGGCAAGATAAAGGGAAAAACTCCTGACTCCACTCCTGGCACGAGCAAAGAAAGCAGCTCAGTATTAGTCTCTTGCTGCACTCTCACTGGACAGATGCTATCACTGTATGCCTTTCTGCACACGTTCCCATGAAATCTCAGAACTCTGAAAAAAATCCATTCATTTTGAAAATGTGAGAAAGTGGGCACAGTATTCAAGAACACCAATTAAAATGGTACCTACTGGGTTTTCCAAGCATATGGAGCAAGATGAGGAAAACAGAAATAGTATGCAACAGAAGAAATTGTACTTAACCCAAATCATCTACCTTGCTGCTACAAAACTACAACTGAACTGTTACAAAACGCATCTGCTTCTGGAAGCATCTAAATACTGCTGAATGATTTATAGTGAATGCTACTAACACACCAGGCTTTTAAAATTAAATAAAATATGGAAACACACGTGCCTTATATTCTAAAATAACAGTCAATCATTTTAGAACTGTGTTAACTGTGGCAGACAATTGTATTAAGAGTAATGAAACCAAGAATATGCTTATAATTAATATTACAAAACGAATCATCCAATATGATACATCTCTCTAAACCATCAAAGTTAGACATGCTCCAACCCTAACCATAAGTTAGGTAGCTGAAAAATCTTAATATATCTTAGTCTCCCTACACTTAGCAATTTTAGTTCCTTCTTTACATGTTATCCACTTCCCTGAAAATTAGCATTCTATTATTCTGACTATTCTCTTCCCAACATCATCAATGGACATTAACCTTAATTTCCATTAACTTAAATAAGTCCTCATAAATTATTAATTAGTCTACAAACCAAAACAGTAAAAGAGTATGGTCATCAAGTGCAGCCAGATAATTTAATTAATTGCAATCCTATGCATATATTTTAAGTTAACCTGGAAGAGAAAATAATCTTACTATGACAATTTAGTAAGACTATCATATTTTGTTAAATATGAAATTAAATAAAAAACAGCAATAAATCATATGCTCTCGTAAAATACAAAACAAAACCAGAAAACCCCCACTCTACCTCATTTCTCCAATGTCATTGTTACTATACAGGCCCTCTTATACACTAAATTCTCCCAAAGCAGAATGAAACAGCCCAAACTGTGCTATAATATACTCTCTCCTGGATATAGAGACAGTAAAAAGGAATAATAAAATAAGCCCTTATAAAGAATCCAGTTCTAAAGGGTTATCCCCACTGAAACAAAATGCCTTGCATTATCTTCTTTCAATAAAGTGAATGGAACATAGATTATTCCATTTTCTTTTTAACTCATGAATGTGATTTAACCTGAAACACTACTGACCATTTAGCATTAGAAAGCAAATTATTAGTGCAAAGGAAAACCTCTCTGATAGCTGTTAGACTTCATTGTGTTTTGGAACACAGACTGAAAACAAGCAAAGAGCATCCTGCTCCAGTGTGACACTGGCATTTCCCCAGGAGGGAACATATGGAGACCTTTTCCTGAAAATTAAAAATAAGGTTTTTTGAGTGTTAAATTAGGAGAGAAAACACTTCCTTTTAACTATAAACAGATGAAATTAATATGTTAGTATTAGTGGCCATTAAGTTTTTACTATACTGCTCATTTGATTCCACTGTTTTCTACAACACATGAGATTGTCCTCTTTTATCATTTTACAGGTTGAGTAACGCATTCACAGCTGTAGTTATATAGTTACATACAGTTTTCATAGCATTTTTGCCTTTGTAGGTCTATATTACCTTACTTCCCTTTAACAAATTCTAGAATATTATTCACTGGTTCTTCAAAACTATAAAACTAAGGTTTGAATATTTTAAGAAGTTTTCATTGCTTGCTTAAATCTACACCATGATGTGGCATCAGATATATTTTTGTAGTGGCACCAAAGCCACAAATAAACTAAATTAATCACATTCTTTAGTGACAAGTGTCTATAGAGATTATAGGTCAATGCAATCAAGATACGAAAATACGCCCACATGGAAAATGCATTTCTCTAAGAAATATTTCCTCAGCACAAGGCTTCAAATAAAAGATGAAATAAAAGCATTCTTTTTGTTACAACACCTTCCAAAACACTGTACCTCAACAAAATTTATATACACAGGCATCTGAAATTTTTACATATTCTCATGTATTCCTCTCAGGAATTAAATTTAATAAAAGTGGAAATACTTTTCTGTTCAATTTAATTGACTAGTTCTTTAGCTATATGCAAAAGAGACAACATCATTAAAAAGAAGAAACTGCTTTTGATTTACAAAGACATAATTCGGATGGATGGTGTTCTTGTTTTGTATTTTATTTTTAGACATTTTCCTAGCACTTTAAGGCAAATACTAAATACTGACTTTGCATGAATTAGCTCAATTAGATTAAATAGCATAATCAAATATTCTGACTGTTTAAGCAAATATAAAATGTGGATTAAAAAAAGTCAAGGTCAAGATTCTCAGCCAGAACTTGAAGTTTGCTGACTTTAACTGCAAGACCTTTGCTGATTAAGCACACCTCACTCACACTGATACATCTATGCATCTGACTTTAATTTTTTAAGGTTCTCTTAACGATGACCAATTTGAACTAACACCTGTATCAACAAACATTTCGCCCTGACACTAATTTAACAGTAAAACCAGACAAAGTACAGCAGCACCTGTTTCAATACAAACAATTCCAATGAAATTCCACAACCACCTCGGAAGCATTGCAGGGACACTAACCATTCTGGTCACAATTTCTACATCGTTGCTCAGAGGCTATAATGACAAAGGCCTGATGCCACAGTCATCTAGAATTCCTACTAAATTCAGAAGTGCCTCTGTTTCTTCTAATCCACTTTTAGAAGCACTTACAGTATCTTGGATAGCTTTATCTTTTACATATGAAAGAAGAGCATGCACAGTCTCTAGAACAAACCATCATCTTCTTCAAAGTGTTCACCTGTGGCATATTAAAAGTTATGGGTTTCAAGAATCAAAGAAAAAAAAGATTTGATGGGCTGCATGCAACACTGACTCGCTATAGGCTTCTTCTAATGGCACCCCTAAAAGGGCATGTGGTATTGGCAGCTCACAATTTCTGTAACCCCATGATGTAAGAACAAAGAAACTTGGAACAAATGAAGTCACTGAGCTTTCGTTATCTCATATTAGCATGGCAGAAGTGCTGCACTGTGAACGATGAAAGTCTCATTGTGAACGAGCCAACACCCAGGCACTTGGATTACCCTGGTAACAGGTAATAGTAGAAAACAGAGGTTTTAAGCAGCATTTGGATACAAGACAAAAATTGTTCACTTCTGATCTTGGCATAAATCTTAAGATAAATGCTTCATATTTTAGGCTTCAATAACAAATTCACAATGCTGAACAAGGAACTTGTCAAATATATATTCCTTATACCAAGAAATAAAGGCTGAAAAACATCTCTTAGCTACACATTTCCATACACAGTTCTTAACTCTCTGAAGAAGTCCCCCACATACAGACCATGTTTCCGCTTCTGCCTTGTTATTCTATCTACTGTAGATTTGAATTAAAATGTTTCAAGCATTCCCCTTCCCTGGGCACGCATTCCTGCTGTGCATTTAAGCCAAATACAGGAGCACATGTATAAACCACGCACACCAAAAAAAGAACTTCATCCTTGTAGCTCTTAGGAGCGCTAAATATAAAAAAACATTAATACATGGAAGTGGTAATTAATTTGAAGGAGTAAGAAAAAAGCAGGCTCATTCCTGCCTTCCTGACATATCTTATAACTCAATGAAACATACATATTAGCAGCTATTTAGACTTACATTTTATGTATCATTTTGACTGCACCACTTAATTTGAAGGTAAACATGCAGCACTTCCCCAAAACTGCAGATGTTATAATCTTCCTCTTAAAAGCAATCCTCCATCAACTAAGAAAAGGTACCTTTATTTAATCTTTTCCTAGCACTTTAATTGTAATATTATAAGACTCTATATAACACATAGATGACAATTTTCCGGTAAAAATATTTTAATACGAAGCTTATGCTTACCTGATTTGAAAATCTCATGCTAACATTCCGCTGATCTTGTGGAGGTACATAACGTCCGACAGGGTCGATATCTTTAGGACTTACTAATTTGTCGGCTGAAAGTAAACAATAATAAACATACAGAATGACTCAAGTACTTTCTGCAGCTTTTGTGAAGGAAGCATGTAAACATATTTTATGTAGTCAGTTCTGCTGCTATAAATCTTTGTTTCAGATCAATGATTTACAGATCAAAAGGACATTCTGTAAAATTATACGAACTTTACAACTAGTGACTCAGGCATCATTCTTGCCACAGCTAATTATAATATTGTAGTGTGTAAAAACAATTCTTTAGTTTTTCAGAGAGATGTGTTAAAAGAATATATTCAGACAACATACTCCACAGCACACAAATCACATAAAAGGCCCTCAATTCACAACCATGGAATTATTCTAGATCTTTAACTAGAAACTCACTGGTTACCAGCAAAAACTGTTTAGCTTTAAGGAAAAACACACAGCCTCTATCTCCAGCTAATCACACAACTATAACCCTGAAAGGGACAAGAGGTGTATCTCAATCCAATATCTCAAGAAGAAATTGTAAAAACCCCAATTAAATATGTTTGAAACCCAGCAATTTCTACACAGAGTTTTTTACATGGAAAAAAACAACACAAACCTAAAATTCCATTATTTTAACTTTCTCCTGAAAAAGATTTAAGTACTCCAATAAAAGTATACTATTAAAAAGTTTCAACAAATACCTTGAATAAAGATTCACAATCTACTGTGAGCTATTATGCCCTTCAAATAAGCATTCCCCTATCAAATCTCATTTTGACATGAAACTGTCCAATCTTCATTTAGTTTCTGCCACAGAGGAGGTCACAGTGCATTTTCATTTCTCTTGCAGGTCAACAATTTTGCACATATTTTTAAAAAGCTCTACAGTAGAAAATCAGCAATTAATCTGAAAGAAAAATAACTCTTGACTCCAGTAGCTTAATTCAGCTACGACAGAAAAAATGGTGTCTTGGTAAGAAAAATGTTTCTGAATTCTACACTGTGTAGTACATTAAGACAGCATTTATGAACTCAAAAGTTTAACAGTGTTAGGAAAGAACAGAGACCAGACTAGGCGGTGCATTGGAAAGAGAGCGCATGGGCAGACAACGGAGGACACTGGCTGGGCAGTTCACAGAGTAAGCCATGAAGGAGCCTGCTGCTGCTGGGAGCCATGCCAGCGACCGTCAGCCACTACTATATACTGGAACCATCTCCTGTCCTCAGCCTTCTGTTGAGAGAATGCAGCTTCACTCCTGCCAGGAAAGGACCCTGTTCCTCTGCTCTGCACTACTCCTGCAGAGTCACAATCTATGTACAGGTGGTTATGTTATTAAAAAAAAAAAATAAGCAAAACGAAACCCACAAAAAACCCACCACCACCATCAACAAACAAACAAAAACAACAAAAAAAATCCCCAACAAAGCTAGATAAAAAAAAAATCACCATGGACAATTTATTAATATACTGACATCTGTGTTACCAAAACACATTTTACAGAAAATGGTCACCTACTCTCCAGTCCACAGAGTCAGACTTCTTATGACAGCCAAAATCATGGTTATTTAAATTATCTGTAGTGTGCTGACACTATAAAATTGATCAACCAAATGACTGCAAGGTCAACAGACTCTGCCTCATAGTTCTTAAAAGCAAGAGCATTTTCCAGAACAGGTGTTCTACTTCCACTGTTTTTTTACATTGATTTACAATGCTCAGAAATGAAAATACATGGTCAAAGTAATTTCAAAATATACCAATAGACTAATATAAAGTGTAAGCTAAATTTCAATATTTACAATTTTATTTAGAAGAATCTCAGTGAACATTCATTACCATTGTCACAAACACAAGTACATCAGAGTGCAAAAGCAGAGTTTTCTTCGTTAGCTCATTATTTACATCAGCAACAGCTGACAGCTTTCAATCCATTTGGTCTATACTCTAAAAAATATTGCTAAACACTTGTAACTTAGTTCTAGGCAGGCACTGAATCCACAGAACAAGATATAAAAACTATAAGGAAAAGCACAGGGAAGATAAGAGAGCTACTCACTGAAAGACTAAACTGAGTGAATTTTCAGCTGCATAAAACAGCTGAATACCTGGCATCTCCTTCCTGTGCTCTAAAATGGGGACCCTACCATAAAGGCTTTACAAACCTCCTCAAACAGAGCAGGAAAGAAATTATATGAAAAATTGCATCACCATCTGCAAAACGCATGCTTTTTTTCCTTCATAAACATTTTTTTCAGTTGCATAGGTATGGGGTGACTTCCAACAGCGGTAGGCAGGCACTTTCACTGCCTCTGTTGTTCGGAGCCTTTATAAGCAGGATTTTGACTTCACTACTTCTGTTTGCCCCTCTGTGGGAGGCAGCAAGATGTATAACAACTGACTCAGTTTCATGTTGCTGCGTTTAGAAAAATTTGGACCGCAACAGGCAGACACTAGGAGAAGAATCGAAAAAGGTTACATTGTATGCTCGCCTACACAACAGAAGCAAGGAGGCTGAGCAAGTACAAATTAATTGCTACCCTCGAGGCAACACAATTTCTGGAAGGGATGATGAAACGGGAAACTAGTACCTTCCCAGAAATCTAAGTGTTTGGAGTCAGGCTTCCACTTAATTAGCAACCACCACCAAGCAAAGTAACATACACAAAGACTTTCACCAAGGACAAGATTGTTATTAAGGTAGGTCTTCAGCCAGAATGGAGCAAAATTAAATGCACCAATAATAAATTAGTATGAATAAATTGAGTTCCTGATATAACAATCACTGGTAAATAGATTTAGCTTTGTGATAAAATTTCCAAACCCTATTTGCAAAGACTAGGGGAAAAAAGGAAAAAAAATACTTTGAAAAAAGGGAGGGAGGAATCAAAAGTAGTGAACACAGTGGAGAGAAATATTTAAAACAATAAAAGGAAACAGTTACTAATGACAACATTTCAAAAAAAGATTACGTTGCTCAAACAGCATTTAGCAAACAATAACTACAATTTATTTAACCAGCATTCCTCAGGTATAGAAATATAAAAATATTAGTAGAAAATGAATACTAGCAGAGATACTACAGTATTACTGCACAAATATTTGAGGATTACTTGGCTAATACTAAGAGGTTAAATTAATTTTTTTTTCATTAAAGGTGAGATTGCCTGCATTTACCTTACAGTGTTGGCTAAAAAAGAAATGATGCAAGGAATACAGTGAAGCCAAACAGGTGGAACACCAGACGGCCTCTCTTCCTCCATACCTAAAGATACATTCACTGTTCTTGCCAAGTCCTGAATTTTTAAACTCCCTTTCAATCTTTCTCATTTTTACTATCAACAGCCTGTTTCCCTTTCCAGTGTTCACAGAAAAAAAATTTTCAGAACTCAATCTACTGATTACCAGGTGAGTACTGAGCATGCTAAAATAAAGTAATATATCCTTCTCCAAAAAGAAATATTGAGGAAAAAAAATAAAATCTTAACTGTGAAGATTTTTCTGGCTTAGCAACTATTTTTGCATTATCCTCTGAATCCTCTCAAGTGACACCAAGAGTTCATTTGTGAAATTCACCATAACAATCTTCAACGGCCAAACTTTTGAATGCACTTTCCAATGCTCACACAGTCTCTTCTTTTTTAAAGGAAGGGTAAAAACAACACAGACTGAAGAAAAAAATAACGTTATCTAAGACTGCAACGCTTCAAAATTTAAACTTGTCTTGCTTAAAGAAGGAAATAATCTCAATTAAATGCTATAGACCACTTAGAAACATCACTGTACAGGTGCAGCTGATATAGTTAATCCAGAAAGTGTCATGTTAATATATTTTGTTATAAAGAAAAAGAAATAAGAGGGAAAGCCAGGAAAAGAAACAGCAAACAATAAACCTGTCATGTTTAGAACTTTCAGTATTCTATAAAATATTCCAGTAAACTCCATAGTATGCTGCATGCAGCTTAAAATTTTAACATAAAGAATAAAAAGTAATTTTTGCCTATCACTTATGTACCGAAGTAAAGGACACACATACCACTCACAGTCCATTCAAAACTCAAGCCAATGTGTTTGTCCAGATTCAAGAACAACATTAGAAAGGTAAATATCCTTCACTTCTGACGAGTCAAAACCTGATAGAACTTCCTCAGCCTCTTACCCAGGAGTTTTGCAATGATGTAAACTGCCTGTCCCCACAAGAAAAACTTTCCATCGCGTCCACTGTTACTAGGAAACCGTTTCTGACTGCCAGGGTTCTTCTTTTCCATTTCAACAAAATCAGCTGGCACATAGTAATACTTGGGTACAACAGGACACCCTATGGAGTTTTAAAATAAGTATAGTAAGTATATAAATTCCACTTCCCTTAGTATTTGGATTGTACTACCCTAATAAAGCTGAATTGGATTCAAAACAGAAAAAATTAAACCCTAGCAACAACTTAATTGAACAGAAATACTGTTGTCATTTATTGTTATCTCTCAAAACCACAATCCCTGTAAGAAACTGAGGACAATATTAAGCTATTTTATTTTTCAAACATTTGCACAGAATTTTTTCAGAAAACACATCCATTGTGTGTAGCACCTTACTGTGCAAAATGAAAAAAAATATTTTTCACCTAAAGCAAAAGGCAATACAGATAACCATAACAAAAAGAAATAAAAGCTGCATTAGAGTGAAATACTTGGGGTTTTCCCCGCTCCCCAGCATTTAACACCAGCTCAGTATCAGACAAATTTTAAAAATAAAATCTTGGCCAAAAGTAGTCAAACATTTAATTAAATGAAAACTAAAATTTTCTGCAAGTATGCAAAACCAGGTTAAAAACGGCATTTTAATTTTGAAACTTCATGAAACTAAATGGCCTAACTTCTTCACTGGAAGATAGCATATCATGTATTACTGATCACTGTAGATTAATAACCTTTATTTCAACACTTCTTAAGTAGACAAGATTCACGAATTCAGAAACACAGTAACAAATGATTGACCTAATTATATGCAATACAAAAGCAAATTAATATGCTTCCTGCAAAATTAAATTTCACTTTAATATTACTTTCATTTTTAATTTATTTAGATAAAGAGTAAGTGATAAACAGAATAAAGCAGCAGTCAGAGGAAAAAAAAAATTACTGTCAAGAAGCTGAGAAAAATTGAAAAGTGAGAGTTATTAGAGACAGACTATTCAAATGAGTCAGGTATCAAAAAACAACCAGAAATTTAAAGATGAAACATTCACGCTGACATTCAACAAGAGAAACCACATGATTACTTTAGTGTCCATGGAACTTCACATACTCATTAATAATCAGAAAAAAACAATGCTCAGCAAGGTCAGAAAATTTGCTATGTAAAGACAATTTGGTGATGAAATGTTTGTATATCTTACAGAAACTAGTTCACTTCAACAAGTATTCTAAGTTTAAAAAACTAGTCAGGCTAAAATACTCTGCACCTACCTGTGTAACTGTACCACAGATGCCAAGAACAGGTGACTAAAGATATTGAGTTTTAGAATTGGATTGTAAGTATATTGAAGCTTCTTCTGTTCTCAGGCCATTTTTTTTTTTTTTTTTTTTTTTTTTGTTAAGAGAGTTTTGGATGGATGTGTCCATAAGCTATCAATCACCTTGTCTGCAGTTCCACCACAATTTTGGAGTGCACAATTTAAGTCAGAGAATGTTTATATTAAAATTAACATGTTACTATTTTCACTGCTCTAAGCTAGAAGCAATTTCAAATTCATATGCCAATTTTTTAAATCTTGTGAAGTTAAGTGACTACGAATGATGCAAGTAATTCTCAACTGTATCTGGGTGGAACACTGGAATGATCTGACTGTTCCTATTTAATATTTTCCAGCAAAGTCAAAGTGAACTTTGTAAATAATGAAGCATAGGCAAAGGAGGGGAGGAATGATTGGGTACAGTGTAAATCTTACATTTATATCAGTAGCATTTTTTCCAGACAACATTATCTCCATTATCAGACTTTATGATGCAATGTATCTACATGAAAGAGATTATTTAGTATTAGTATTTTACCATCAGGGACCATAATGATACTATTACTTCTCCTTTGCAACATCCATTCATAGGAATGTCAGTATTTTAATAATTTCAGATAAATAAAAAGCTACAGTCTTTTAGAAGAATGTTTATCAGGTAATACCTTCAGATGTATGCTGAAGCAAAGGATCCAGAAGATCCTGATATTCCTTTACTTGTGCAGGATTTCCTCTAAAAACTCCTAAAAATAACCAAACAATAGTTGATTTAATGGAAGAAATAACTTTTCCGTAAGCTTAATGTTCATAAAAGAAGAAAAAAAAAATCTAGTGTTTATTTTTCAATGGGGTAGTGCCTACACACTAAATAATTCATGAAAAGTAGAAGAGTAAACTGTTGCTCCTCAGTTACTGCTACAGCTAAATCTCCCAGGGATCATAAATCAGCCACTCTCTTATGAGCTTAAACTGAAACCGATGGCAAGTTACATGGGATAGTAAAGCTGTGAACTTACGGAGGCTCAGGAACTGGACACACACAATGAGCCCAGAGAGCTGTAAATAACTTCCTTAATTATAGCAGAATGAAGAAGCAGAGTTTGTCTGCTAGTACGGACACAAACAGGCTCGTTCTAAATCTTTAGGACAGAGCTGCAAAACTGATCTAGAAGTGAGTTGCCTAGAAATCTCAATTAATAAATACAAAATGAATTTGAAGGAGTAAATTGAAAAACTTCCCTCCAAAGATTAGATGGCATGTTTACACTGATAAATTACATAAGTATTATGTCTTCATATTATAGATGTTCGTAACTGCTAACACACCTTGAGATATTAAACAGAACAGTTATTTCTCTATGATGCTACTTTTGGGGAGAAAATGGTGAGCTGGGACTACCAGTACCTTAAATGTTTCTCTAGCAGAACTTAGTCATCCCCAAAAGAATCTGATGAATATTAACATGACCAGTATTCAGTTCATCTAAAGTTCTTACATGAAAAGATATATGAAAAATACCAAAAGCATTTCTGTTCATCAGAAAACGTGGATGAACTTGACAAGTCACACTGACATTTTAAAATAGAACATTTGTTAACATTTAAAGGGGAACAAGTTACATGAAAACTTTTAACTGTACATTTTTCACTCATTTATTTCCATAGTTGTCCTTTTCAATTACCATATTCTTCCATATTATTAACAATACCTATAACATTTCCCTCCTTACCTTATCCTAGAAAATTACCTATCCATTTAACCAGAAAGGTGTAATCCTACACTTCCAATCAGAAATATGAACAAGTTTTCAAAAATGCTATTCAAATATAACTTATCCAAAAAATAGTCATATTGATGATTTATAGTTCAATCCTTTCCCACAGCAATAGATGCATATCTACTGCCCAGAAAGTCCTAAACAATTTCCTTTTGATAAAAATCCCAACAGGAATTAGTACTAAAGCAGCCTTTTTATATTCTGAAGGGTGAATTCTGAAAGGCAAAAATAAGACAAAAGAAAACCACAAACTCATCCACTGAGAACAAATATACCAGAACATCTTTATTAGAAAAAAATTTAGATATGTTTTTTGTTACATATGTTTATGTGCATATGATATGTATTTACGTATATGTACAGATTTATTTATGTGTATGATATGCTTAGATATGTTAGCTATTGTTTTTTATGTTTAAGTTTAGGTATGTTTTTTGTTAGGCTTTGTGACCTTTTTTAATATATGTATCAATATACATATTACACACTTATTTTTTTATATCACAGAAACTTATCTTTTATGTTGTTTTAAGAATATCCAACAAATTATTCTACTGAAAAAACAGAGTACAGTAGAAAGCTGGAGTTTAACTATTGTATAGAGATTTCTTTCTTTCCATGCTTCAATGCTCTATCCAAAAACAAAGCTTGACAAGTGTTTTTCATTAAATTTTCAAATATTCACAAGTATATATGTAGGAAATTAAATCACTTGCCAAGGGAAACAAATGCAATGAGAGCTTGCACACAAAAAAGGATGTGTTTAAGTGACACACTGAACTATTTCAAAACACTTCAGCACAGTCATGACATAAGAGCAATATGATATTCTGACTATTTGTAATTTAGTCTTACTAGCAGATACCATAGAGGATATTTATGTGATAATACAAAAGATGCATTTATCTGATAATACAGTTGCTTTTATATGAACAATCATTTAGTGAAGATAACACTTGAGTAACAATGTTCATCATCCATGAGGAATAAAACAGTGCTCATAATACTACTAGAAAATGCGTAACTAATTCAGTACTATCTACTCGCCAAAACTGTTCTAACTCTCCACATTTTAAAAATCCTAAAAAGCTGTCATTGACATAACAGAAAAGTTGACGAGCTAATTAGTTTGTCCGAGAAAAATAAATATGATATATAGTTATTCAAATAGGTTCTGCTAATCTTTCACAACGGAAATTATGAAAGAAATTTTGCTGATGTGAACAAACTCGGGGGATTATGGACTATGATTTACAGGAGACTCTCATTCCTTATTTAAGGGAGCACTGTCCGACGTTATACAGGTAACGAAGTCCAGCTATCAGGAGTTACCCAGATATTCAGTACCTTAATATACTTGGCTGAAGAGGCTTTCCTTTGGACTCTGCAAGTGTGTTGGATGGGCAAATAGGCATTCACATTCAGCTGAACCAGTATTCACAATGCAGCAGCTTGAGGTTTTTTTCAAAGTTTTCATTATAAAGACATTCAACTACAAACTACTCCTTCTATTTCATTGTCTTTTTGCAGTTTAAGTCACTCTGTATACACTTCAAATTCTGCATTAAGGAGGTTTGTGGATTTGGAGATATGTGCACAAAATCTATTAACAATTATTCTGTTTGATAAAATTACGGTACAGGAAAAAAGACAAGAACAGTATGTGCAAAATATGGGGTTTTTACTTTCTAATGCAAGAAGAGTAAAACGCTTTCTTTATTCTTCTGCTGACTTCAGTTAAAGATGATTATCTTTTTTGTTCTTCCTAAAACTGCAAGTGGGCAGCATTAAATGCCAGTGCCTTTCTCCTCAGTTTTGGGCATCAGTCTTTGAAAAATGTCAAGCATTCCTTTAGAAAAATCAATTGTGAAACCTTATTACAGCTTCAAACAAAATATTTTAATCTGTGGGTGGCCACAGCGGAGTCTAGGCAGATAGCAGATTTCTATGCCCCCCACCATCTTTATCTGAAAGCTATGCCACACACTAAAGGGAAAATAAACAGATGGCCAGATTTTCATCTATGAACAAATCTTTTTGATGGCTTTAACTCTTACTCATTTTCTTATTCAGACTTTTGTTCTATGGGAGTTTTAGCTTCCATCCTGGAATCACCCCATGAACTTTTTTTGGTATGTCTTCTACATTTTTTACTGTTGTGGTTTTTTGTTTTGGGTTTGTTTGTTTGTTTTTTTTTTTTTTTTTTAAATCAGACTAAGTGGCTCCATGGAAAAATGTGATCAGGAAGCACAAGCATTTCAAAGAGAAACTAGGCCTTTTCTGGTTCACTTTCTTATCTTCTGAATTCTGTTTCAATTACCACAGAACATCCAACTTGAAAAGACCTGCTGCAACATGCAGTTCTCAATGCGTTCTCTCTTCCACTTTCTTTTCTCTCATGTGCTGCTGTGAAGTTCTGGTATACTGTGAAAGTTTTTAAGGCTTAAAAGGCAGTGCAGGACTGAATGTCACAGATTCAAGCTTTGAAAAAACCTGCATTGAGTTATATTCTAAAAACTGTTCACATTTAAAATGCTGAAATATGGAGGGTTGGGTGCTTGGGTCTTTTAACCCATAAGGCAGAACTTTCAATGAGATATTTAGTGTTACTGAATCATGGTTTATTTTGGCATGACCGGAAAATCATTTTGTATCTTTCATCTAAGGGCTCACCTCTCTAATGCCTTTGAAGAACAGGAATGTAAAGCCATACTTACCATCAATTATCATGAAAATAAAAAACAGAGGGAATTCACACTCAATGCCATCAAAAAGCTGAAAAGAAGAAAAAACAATCAGACATTTCATCATTTTGATTTAAGGAAATGTATTTGAATATCCCATTAAATAATTTCAAAGCAACAAAAGACAAACATGAATGCAAAAATATTTTAGTACATCAGCTTTTCATTTAGCTTACAGCTTCTTAATTCCATGGGCACCTTAACTGTGCTCTTACATATGCTGTGGTTCATTCTCAGAGTATTTATATAATCTATGTTTTATTTTTCACAGAGAAACTATTGGGGAGAAGAAAAAGTAAATTTTCATTTAGATAACCTTTACTGATAAACACTGTGGTCAAAAGCAAAATTGTTTTCCATACACTCAGACTGTAGTCAGCTGTGAAATTAAATGATAAATAACTTCCTTATTTGTTATGTGAAATCAACTGTACACTAAATGTAAATGGAAGCACATTCATTACAAAACAAATCAACAACTAACTTGCTGACTTAGCAATCTCTCAAAACTGCACATGCCAAATTACAAAATGCATCTCCTTCACTTGAAGCAATGAGGAACCACTGTGCAATTCAAATTGCAAATATCAGGGGGGTTCTAGTATTGTCCTTTTTTGGGTTTTTTTGGAAGGGATTTTGTTTTGGATGGTTTATCTGTTTTTTTGTTAAGTACTGCCTAAACATTCTAGAAAAGCAAAATTTTTCCCTGTATAGGCCAAGTACTCCTTTACCTTAATTTCTGCTGGTTTATAATATCGCCGTGTTTTGTCCTCCAGCGCTGTTCTGTACCCATCCCTCAGAAATCTTTTAAACCCATATTTTCCTTTCAGTTTTCTCATAATTTTATCAAGTGTTTGACTGAACAAAACCTCATCATCCAAAGCAAATGCAGGATAACTGAGACACGGCAAAAGAGCTGCATCAGTATTCTGTAGGAGTGAAATTGCACATTACAAATTTAATTAGATCTCTGACAATTATTTGATGCACAAAGACTGTTTAACTTACTAAGTGAAATATAAATTTGGAACATAATCCTATCTTTATCAAAATCACACTACTAGTATATTAAAATAGCATGCAAAATATGACTTCTAGAGATTTATAAGGATCAACTACAAACCCGATATTCAGATATATGATTTAAAAGGGAACTCATTTGACTCAAAATCTGACCTACTTTACAGTTGATAATCTGCAGAGATAAGTGAATACATTCTAGAACTTTGTGGCTTTAGAAACAAAAAATATTCTCTGGGTTATTCCTGGAAGAAAGACAAACATTTGGGTATCCTATGCTCAAAAAGAATCACAAACGTTTTATAAAGGTGCAATGCTGGGAAGTAACTATGATTAAATCATCATTTCTGAAAAGCTTTTTCAGGAATATTGTTCAGGTGCTGTAACAAACGAGACTATCTGATTTACAAATAAGGTGATAAGTAAATAATTTGAGGGAAAAAAAATGAGTAGCATTTCTCAAGAATCATGTGCAACTATCATAAATTAAAAACACAAGAAAAAATCACTGGTGCATCACCACTACAGATAAGCTTACAGAAAAACAAAAAAAGTAGTTTTAAGTTCTAATTCTTACGTCACACAGTTTTGTTTTTCCTTTCTGATGATATATCTATGATATTCAACCATTTAAAATACCGTATTTTTTGCCAATATCATTGACATGAACCCATAAAAAGAAAAAAAAAAAAAAAGAACACAAAGGTTGTTTCTGTAGCATAAGTAACATATGAAACCAGCTTCTGTTGGAATATTTCAAGTCTCCAGCAAATAATAAACAGCAAAGGAGTTCTAAAATACCATTAGACTATAAAAAAGCAGCTGACAGTGCCTTTTATTTTAATTATCCAGTATTACAACTCTGCTATAATTCTTCTACACAATGAATAAACTATTAATGTTGAAGATTAACCGCCTGTTTCATGAACAAAAATGCTATTACATCCCAGAATGAACAAAAAAGCAGTACAACTCTATTATCACCCATTTTAAATTACTGATTTTAAAAAACAAAATTTACCTTGATGGCACTACAGAAACAGACTTTTTAAAATTAATCTATACTTATGTCACTTACATTTACCCACTGAGGAAATACTTATTTGCAGCAGTAGCTTATAATAACAGGAAATCCTCCATATTCAGCAATTTAAGAAAAGCCAACCTTAAAGGCTTCTTTCCTAGACAAAAGAATGAATTAAAGCTAAAAAGAAGTGTTTCAAAAACGCAGGCACTGAGTGTATAGTGGAAACTAGGCCAAAAGAAAAACAATCACCAAGCCTGCAAACCCTACTTAAGTTACTGCAGATCATTATTATTTTAAATTTTATTTTAATATTCCTTAGAAAGCTACCAACAAGCTGCCATTTTAACCTAAGTATTCATAAAAGAAAGAATGCCACTGTAATTCAATTTCAGAGGAAAAACTACATCACAGTGACATTTAAGAAGGAAAAATTTAAAATTTTCCCAGCAAATTCCTATCTTTATTAAGCAGGACATAATGGCCATCATAGAACTAAGAATTATGTTCATGTCCGTTTATTTTCTCCACACTCTGTTGTGGTGAATTTCATTTAATTACTTACATGAGACCTTGACTCACGGGGTAGCAACGAACAGAGAGTCTGTCTGTTACGGTTATGGGCATCAAAATCCACAAATATAACAGACCAAGAGCAGCCCTGTAAACAGAACATTACATTTATTTAAGGGGAAGGGAAGAAAGGTTAGAATATCCTGGTGTAACTAACTAGTTCTTTGTTTCAGTTTGATTACATTGTAAATGTCTGGTAGCTGGTAACTTTAATCTGAAAATGTACCACGACAAGGTGAAAACATTTTGAATTTTCAAACATATTTAGATATAGCCAAAATTAGATGGGTTTATCTGCTAGTGATTATGAATTATATAGTTTATTTAAGCTATGAACTCTTCCATTAATTCTTGAAAAACAATGACAGTATTAAGGACAAGCAAAAAAATAGTTCTCTCCCTGGGACTGCAGGAAGTGTTCCAAACAGTGATGTTGCTTATTTCATTATAAGTCAGTTAGACACAAATAATGGATATTCACCTTAGGTACTGCTTTGGAAAAGAACTTCCATAGCAAATAAAAGTGACCTGCTTTTCAGCTATTGTAAGGACAATGTTATCAACATCTCCTTAGAAAAACTCATTTCCTAGTAAAATTCTACACTATAGCTCTCTGTCAGCTTTTTGATACTTTCTAAAATACTCAGAAAAATTCCCAGAGCTGAGACACTGTTTAAGCAGAATCAAGAACATTTAAAAGATATTATCAGTAGGCAATTTCTTGAAAACTCAATGCAGTTTGTTAATGAATGGATATCTTCATATACATTATAACAGATAATGAATCTCAATATCACTATCCCACAGGAAGATACATTCAACACTGAATTCATTCATTACTGTCATAAATACCATACCATAAATTTTCATAAATGTACCAAATTTCTCCTAAAAATCAGTCAGTTTCTTTGGCATACTATTCTCATAGGAACACTGTTTCAGAACCCACCCTCGCTAATTATTAAAAATTTTAATTTCCAACTAAGTATCTACGTAACTAGCTAACCACCCGTCTTTTTCTGCCAGCACTAGTACTCATTCAAACTTTCCAAACAACTGAGGTTTTTTCTTTCTTACTCTTTACAAACATTCTAATTATATATAGCTATTGTACAATTACTCAGCTTTTGCTTTGCTAGGCGAAACAAAACATGTTTTTCCACTGTCCTCTTGGAAAATAATCTGTTCTCTTAATAATTCTAGCAAGATATAATGAATAGCGCTGAGATAAAGAATGTACATAATTAATCACATTTGCTTTGATGATTTGTTATTCTCCTATGTTCTTCTCAATCCAGATTCTGATCATTCACAAATCTCTAAATTTTTCTACAAACTCCGAACACAATCTGTCTACACGTGTGAATATGCAATTTCAACATCTGTGCTTTGGTAAAGGATTCTTTGGGGATTCAATGGCAGACTAATCTGCATTTCATAAAAACACAAGCATCTTGTTTTACAAATGAACTATATTTCACTTCTCTAAAAAATTGTAAAATTCTGTAGTAAGGGGACCTTACAAAGGCTTGTTTTTTTTTTAACACACAATTTTTTCCACAAACTAATACAGGACATGTAGCTCATATACAAACAATTGATTATACTATGACTAGGTCAAACCTGAAATGGTGTTCATCTTGTCACTAGCAGTCCCATTCTAGTGCATATACACATGCACCATGCACTTAATTCATTAGTTCATTAACTCGCATTGCCAGTAAAGGCATGTCTTTTTATGTAGGTTTTTTGCTGATTTGTAATTTTTTTCTAAAAGGTATTGTAGCTAAAATTGAATGTTTACATTATTGATACAAATTCTATGCTATTTATACTCTGTGATACTCTGAAACCAGAGGTTTGGGTTAACCATATCAAGCCCACAAAAAGATACGTTACAGTACTTTCAGTAGTGAAGATGCTGATGTGATTTAAGTAAAAACAAACTGAAACGCAATTAGTTCATATTGTATCCTAAATGTAGAAAAATACAAAATAAAAATTCAGGTCCACTTTTACAGTTCTTCATTACAAACTTCAGTAGAACTTAGGACAATGCAATGGTTTGAGGATCTGGCTACGATGAATGCACTGTTAAGGATTATAACAGAATTCTTATGCCACGGTCATATATATTAACCATTTTATATAGATTTATAGCTATTGTTTCAGAAATATATAATACATTGGGAATAAATTTAAGAAATATAGCATAAAATATAAAGCAGAATAACGAGAAACTAAATAGCTTATTTATCTGTTATATTAAAAATTCTCAATGTGTAAATAAATCTTTTACTGAAGGAATGTTAGGATTACAGCTTGACTATTTTTATGCTTATAACTCCCACTTTTTATGAAATATTCTGGTATGATGGAAATAAAAATGAACAGCATTTAAAAACCATCAAAGAACTCTTTTTTTACAATAAAGCATGTAAAATTCTGCTTAAACAAAAAGTAATTTTTCAATACATAATTGTTATTTACTGTATCTGGCACCTAGAAAGTATAGCAAAGGATGCATTAAAAATATCTGAACATCAGTTAAGCAGTTCTTTGTTACAGAACAAATGGTAGTATCAATTCTTACACAAATATATTATTTTTCAACGTTTTTGAGAACTATGGGAGGGAGGGAAGGAACAGTTCAATGTGAATATTGACTATAAGCAATCTTTATTTTTGCATGCTCTGGGTGCATCATGAATGCACAAGGAAGCTGCCTTACCATGATATACTCAAAGATATATAACACACGTGTGTGTGAGAGCACAGCTACAATACAGCATATTTGTATTTACTAGTCTCTTCCATCATCCACAGTGTGAGCAGAAAAATCTGCATGGAAAGGCTGAGCAGCCTGTCATCCCCAGCAATGATTTATGCAGGTTGCACTAGTGTAGTTGCAGGTGCAAACAAGTTTCTCTTGAGGGGCTCAGCAGGATTTCTCAAAGCTATTGGAACACAGCTGGAGCTAAGCACAAAGGCAAACTCTGCCACTGACTGAAGGTCAAAGTGGTTTCTGTTTATGCTAAATATCTTGGAAATAAACTCTCAAAGCATTTAAACTGGTTTTGCTTCAGCAATTTATTCATCTATTTCAGAATTCAGTAAAAACATAATTTGGAAAAAAAATCCAGCAGCCACATTCACTGGTGCTTGAGACTGTTGGGAAGGTAAAGATTTTAGACAAATACTTTTTCTAAAATACTGACAATGTGTGTATAAATGTCTCATCATTATTTAAGAATCTTACTATATCCAAGTTCATAAGGCCTAACATCAGCTTTTAAAATGTACATAAAAGTAAACCAAAACTAGATCAAATGGCTAAGTCTTTTTGAAACAGTGTATTAGTGTATGCACAAAGTGTGTTAGCACTTTCATTCCTCTCCACTCATAGGCAAATAGCCATCAACATTTCCTGAGGAGTAGGCTCTAAACAGAACAAGTCTATTGTACTACAGCTCTAGTACAAATATGTAGATGAAAAAGAAAACCCAACACCCCCAGAACCCCATCACAAATAGGTATCAACAAAAATGGTAATGGATGACTAAGTCTATGGAATCAGAAATCCTTGTTCAGGAGGATCTCCTGGTTTATGCCGTAAGTCAAAGAAAGGTCTAATAACAGTAAGTGCTATAGCTTTTCATCAATAAATAATATCGTTTAATAAATTGTACTTTTATATCAGTCGCTTACTATTTAAAACAAATTGTAATTTATATTTTTCATCCTAGGCATCTGAATAGCTCTAAAAAGTTTTAGTTTAACAGGTACTTTTATGTGAATAAACTATAAAGAACAACTTTTTGTCCAATAGCAGTAATAATTACTTTAGATGACTGTTTCAATACACACCTTCTGTTTTACCAATAGAAAAATGGAGACACAAATAATTAAGAATGTTTTAATAAATCAAGCAGCTCAGAAATGAACTTGGAACGTAATTTGGATTGTCTCTCAGTCACACCTTTATAGTTGACCTATTTTATACTCATTAGCTCATACAAAGAGCACCTAAGCATTTCCCTTATTCACCATTTACAGTTTTACGATTTATTACTTCTCTCCTTTGTACTATTTTCTTTATGGCAAACCAATGCATTTAATCAAGTTTCTTGAAGTGAAATATAACAAATATTACAATCTGAAAGTCAGCTCCATCTGACTTACAACACAAAGAGAGCACAGGTATTACAGAAATAGAAAAAAAAGTTCCTACCTTGAAGCCAGCAAGAATATACAGAAAATTTACTCAAAATATACTCAAATAGTACTTCAAGTTCACATATAAAATTATCAAAACTCAAAAGGATCATATACTGCCTAACTTCAGAAAAAAATATGTAAGTATAAAAATATGCTACTCCTGTAAACACGTTATTTTTTTCAAAGTAAGTTCTGAATGTTACTCTGTCCTAAGAAGAGATAAAGGATATTTCATCGATTAATGTTCACATTGTATGAAATACAGACATCTGGGCATATGAGCAAGGTCCATCAGTTACAAGTCAACAAGGATGAAAGATACCACAAAAGCAGTGCAATATGGAAAGCTTTACTCAGTGTACTGAGCTCACCACTTTGTGACAAATCTATTTCTCCCTTCCACACAATTTAAAGACAAAACTCACCATCAAGTTTTATAACTATTTCTACATACACTTGATGGTATCCAACTTTCTTTTTAGCTGCACTCCTGCCCTTCATTTCCATTCATTAACAATACCAATAGCTTGACAGTGACATATCTCTTCCATTTGTACATTTTCTAAACCATTAATTTAGAAGATCATTCTTTTATTTTAGCTATAGACTACTGCAGGTATAACACCCAAATAAAGATGCACATAGAAGGGGAATACAAGTCAGACATAAAAAAAAAAAAAAAAAACCCACTAAGAAAAGGCTTGCTTTCTTACTAGATCCAAGCCATGTGAATGGAAGAAAATAAAAGATTTTACCACTACGCAACATATTGAAATCAAAACTCAGCAACACAGTGCAATTATGTAGAAGTAGCTTGTTTAGAGTCTTGATCAGAAGCTACATGAAGGAAGAAGTCAGAAGTAAGGTACCTACTTGTAGGTAGAGATATTCCGTATTATGATCAACAGATACAATTCTGAAAGAAAAACCTTTTTGGCAACCAAGTTCTTTTTCAGAATAAGCTACAATCATTTTAGATTTTTTTTTATATATATTTTATCAGATGTATTCTGTATGCAACACAGGAACAGTGAGTTCACAAATTAACTTTTTAAAAAGCTGGAATCTAACAAGCTGTGCTAGATATTTCTAAATATCCCCTCATCCACAGTGTAAATCATTACTGCCAAAAAAAAGGAGAGAAAACAAACATTTTTATTACCTGATTTCCAAAGAGATTGAAACCATTAATTGCTTCTAAAGCTGCTTTTGCCAGCCCCACAGAGCTGAGGAGAAAACAAAATGACAACAAAAAAACAGAGGTATCATAATTCAAGCCCAGACTAAAATTTAACGCATTTGACAGCTTTCAGAGCTATGATATTTTCTTTATTTGAATTCTGTGCTTAACATTTATGTTAATAAAATGATGATGCAGCAAACTTGGGGTTGTTTGGTGGTGGGTTGTTTTGCTGGGTTTTTTTGAAAAATACTTTTCAGCATTTTTAGTTGTCTTCAAATATCAGAGACCATCTGGAAAAAGCATTTCCGCTCTCACCTTGCTACTAGACATCTGGTATTATGTATTTCAAGGTCCTGCTAATAGTGTATTAACAGAGGATTTACTTCTCTGTAATTTTTCAACCCAGCACTCAAGCAGTAAACCTTTTAAGATGGACTTCTGACTAGCTTCTGATATAATAAAAGAATTCATCAATCTGGATTCAGAAAAGGAAGATTTTCTGATGTCAACCATATAGTGAAATGTCTTTTATTTATTTCACTTACTCTGTGACTAGTATCCATCATGAAGAAAACAAGTCCCAGAAATACTACCAGCAACCTTTGAAGTTCGCAAGTTCATGTTTAAAGACAATAAGAACTAAAATCACTAATCATTATATAATTTTAAATCAAATTCTATACTAAAATATAATTTGCTATGAAAATTATACATTACATAAAAAAATGTACACAAGATGACTTTTACATGGCCTTTTAATTAAAAAAAAGGAGTCTTATACCTTCCTTGCATTTTAAAAAAAAAAGCATTCCCTCTCAATGAACACACATACTTTTGATGACTTCCTTTTAAAGAAAAGCTCAAGATAAGCTAATAGAAATCTACATGCATTTGACAGTTTTATATGAAATTTGAAGTATGTTAGAGATCAGAATTTTGAAATACTGTTTTAAAGAATACAACATTATAGATAGGCCAACTTCACGTCTCCATTAAATGCATTAAGGAGCTAAAGCATTAACATACACATAAAATACTAATTTCTTGCACATTGATTCCAAAATTTTAGATGTTAAGGTCACAGGCCATCTAAAAGTAAAATATTAAATCAGCTGGTTCCCAACAGTGCTAGAGTTTTAAAATGTATTAGATAATATTACCAGATTTCTGACAGTTCTACTATCCAATACAAGCATTCAAAGTAGGGAAAGGACTTTGCACTGCTTACTAAGTAGTGACATAAAGTATAGGAACTAGAAATACTACACAAGTCTAACTAATAAAGCAAACACCCTTTACATTCTCTTAGGTGATCTGTTAAAACAGAATAAGAGCATCTACTGAAAAACAACCTAGTATAATTCTCCCAAATTTATTCATAAAACTAAAACTTTAAATTATGCCTTTGTCTTCCCTTAATTACAGTGGCTCTGATCAATGCACTTTTATCGGTCTCTGCTTCATTTCTATAGAAACTACAACAGTGATTTATTGTCTTGACACCCCATGTGCTATCTCTGAGTGTCCGTCTCCTCTTTGAAGCTCCTCCTTCAGAATCAAGTTTCATCTTTCTCCCTAACTGCCCCTTCCTTTAGGTAGGAGTTCTGCTTTCCAAAAAGACAATAGAAAAGGAAGAGAGCAAAATAACAGTAAAGTACAGTTGTCTACCTTGTTATCTTTAAAAGTTAACAAATCTGAAGACATATAGCAAAAGACTGAAAAAGGAAAAAGCAGAATGAATCAGGCTGACATGACAAAAGATTCGGAGTTAAAAAAGGACTGTAAGGGTAAACAAAAGTGACAGAACATAGCACAAGGATATAGATCAACACTACAGGAAGAAAGCGTCCAACCCTAGCAAGATAAAAATAAGTGGAAAGAAGAAATGAAAGGTTCATCTTTCCATAAAGCCTTTCCCTATAAGGGAGAGGAAGCTGTTGACACTGTCCTCAGCTAACAACCATTTAAATGCAGCTACTGTGTTTTTTCCAACTGGGCAAAATACACAAATTTGGAGAAAGCCAAAACCAAACTAAACACACACACAAAACAAAACAAAAAAACACCAGTACAAAAATGAACTCTCAGAAACATTTACACTGCTATATATAGATACTTGAAAAGTTTGTTAGTTTATTTGTTAGCACAGTAATTCCTTTAAATACTCTTTTTTTTTTTTTTTTAAAAAAAAAAAAAAAAAAAAAAGGACAAGGAATTAAAAGTTTGTACCCTTTTTTCTCTAAAACTGACTATCTACTCAGCCAACCACACCTTCCTTTTTCTTGCCATCTTTCATTTGGGATAAAAATTATATAGTACTGCCAAATAAGGAACTAAAAAAATAATAGTTTCTCTGAAGATCCATGTGTCCAGGTAACATGAGAACAAGATTGGCACAGAGATAGTCGTGACTGTGATTGAAGCATCCTTAAAAGTCTGAGGGCCACACTCCACTTGCAGGGAAATAACAAAATTAACAACAGTTAGGAATATATACTTTTTGAACAAGACAGCCCTAGGTAATTTGTTTATAAAAATAATTAATGAAGCAACACTGAGTTAGAAAAAAATATTCAGAAAATAATCACTAATAACCCCCACCTTCTGGGTAAGAGGAGCTGTGATAATATTGACAATTGCACTATTCTGCCCAAAAAACTTATAGCAACCAAATTGTCAGTAAACTGCAAATGTGGACTGTGCTTTAACCTTTATTCTTCTATACTCCGTGCAGCATTCTGGGATCAGAGCAAACCTCTTACCTTACTGTAAATAAGCTTATTTGCATTGTTTATTAATGTAAAATACCAAATTTCAAATATTTACTAACTAATCCGTATTATAAAGATGGGATCCAATTAGGGTTGCACAGAACATACTGAAAATAGATATATAAAAAAATAATGAGTGCAGAGTCATAGATTTTGTTTAAGTACTGTTTTAGCAGGGTTGGTTTTAACATTAGAAGTACTTTAGACACTGATTTCAGACCATATAATTCTTTTTAACTATTACCAACAGGTTCATAAATCTCCATCTTTCTTTCTGAAACATTGCCAGAAATAGTACTCACGGGATTTAATTCTAATTGGTTCAACAAGAGAAAGCTGATTAGGGTAACTAAGTTCTGCTCTGAGCAGCTGCCATCCCTCAGAGAAATTTGAGTGGTAAAATCCCTCAGTTCGGTATCATCTGCTGATGAAAGCTTTTGGTTCTGGAGAATGTGATGAAGGAATAAACTGAACTCAGAAGTGTTGTGAATATAATTATTTTTCTGGCTTTGTTTCAAATACCTAAACAAAAATGTAATTGTTCTAACAATTGCTCTATTTTAATTATTGCCTAGCAATTGATCAAACAAATTGGTGTGATGACTCAGAGCAGAACTTTCCATACGAGTTAAGTATTATTATCAAACTACATACATAGAAATGAAAATCAGAGAAATCCCCCACACTTAAAATCTCGTATTTTTCTTCTCCATTCCAAATAACACTTCTAATACCAACAGTCAGATATTTTCAGAGCAGAGAAAAAAAGCTACTGAAAAAAGGCAGAGAAGTAATAGTTGTTCAACAGCAGCAACCACTGGTATTCAGACAACGTATAACTACTTTATCTACAAAATAAGATGATACTGCTCAAAAAAAAAAAAAAATGACGACAAATATGGATTCCTTTGTTGAAATATTTTCTATTTTACATAGTCATTCTACAATAACACTTACTGTAACTGATTGGTATTTTTCTACCTCTGGTTATTCAAAGCCTCTGGAGACTTCAGTGCTCTCACAAATACTACTTGCAAATGAAAATATAAATATCTCAACATTAAAATACTGCTTTCTTTCCCCCATCATCTAAAATTTCTTCACATTGCAATGGTACATCAAGCATTCCCTTCACTGTACACACATGTACTACTTTGGTTACAAGAAGTTTCATGGGTAACTGACAGGAGGAAGTTACTTTCTAAAAAAAAAAAAGTCTGAGAACAGATGTAGTATTAAATATGCCTTCAACAGACTGAACAATCACACAACATAACATGCTTCAGAATTATCATCACACTTCACACATTTGTTCCATTCCTGTTGATTAATGCCTTCCTGTTGAGTAAATTGGAAGAGGTTTTATAATAAACATTATGCTCATGTCTTTCTACAGAAAATACATGCTTCATACTCCACAATTTAATAATGGAAAAAATGGACTGTTTTAACCATATGAATTAAAGGCAAAATGCATTTTAATAAACATGTTCCTTCCTCCACTCAGCAACCCACTGTGAACATTGTTGTGTTAACCTGCTGGACTTGATCCCCAGAGAAAAAGATGCTTACTTGGAGATAGCCCCAAAACAAAGTCTAACCCAAACCCTCTTCAAATATTCCTTTGAAAATTTCACAGGATCATAAAGACACTGGTTGGAAGGGACATATGGAACTCATCTAGTCCAACATGAAATCTCACTTGAAGCCAGATATAATAACCAAGACCAATTCAAGTGAGCTATAGCCTCATCTAGATAAGTCTCAAAAAGCTCCAATGAAGGACATTCCATAACTTCTTTTGAGTATCCTGCTCTGGCTTCGCTGTGGTTCAAGTAAAAAGGTTTCCTCTTAATATGCATACTGAACCTCTCCAGGTGCAATCTGTAGACCTTACTGTAGCTTCTGATTATTGTGATTTGTCACAGATTATGAAGAGCAGTCTAGCAATCATAATACTATGGGTAACATTTGACCGTGAACCACATTTGGGGCAGGGGAAGCTGAGACTAACCTAGAGAAATTGAACTTCCAGTTTGCTAAAAAAAAATTAGTAAATTCACTTAAGCATCATTCATAATTCTCAGTAACTTTTAATTGTTAGATTTACCCTCTCAGTAAAATACCTGAGGGCAAACACTAAAATTTGTGTGTTCTTAGGAACTGCTAAGCAAAACACACTTTAAAGCATATACATCCTTAATCCTCCTTCCATTCAGTTTCTTGCCTCCATCTAAGAACTGTGCAGTTCAACTGGAATATCAATCATAAGAGATATTAAAAAACAAAAACAAAACAGCAAAACAAAAAACCAATCCCACAATAATACCAATAATTTCATGACTAGACAAAACAAAATGGAACAAGGTAGGACAGTACTATAGCAGTATAATACCTACAGTACAGAGAAGAGCAAGATTAAGCGAGGCTCTACAGTCTTAGATTTGGAATATGAACACTGCACTTTAGCAATTTCATTATTCTCACAGTACACAGGGGAGATGTCAAAGACATTTTGCAGAAGTACTCGGCAGATGCCTGTAGAACAGCTTGATCAAATGGTTACAGGACAAATTAATTTTTCAGAAGTTCAGCCTTATGGGAAAGGGATCACACTAGAATAAAAGCTGTTACAAATCTTGACTTTGAACCAGTAAGACATCAATTTGCATACATCAATGAAAGACCTGGTCTACAGAGTGTTTTGCTATTTATCATTTATTACAAGTGTGTTGAACTGTACTAAGCTAGAATACCAAGACTGTGTAAAGACTGAAAATATCTGCATCTTATAACACAAGCCATAATTTCCAGTTGTTATATAATATGAAGTCCGTGAATAGTATCTTCTTTAAAAAGATAGCCTCTTTTATTGAAAGACAAGAATTAACTTCTAATTTTGAAAGCAAACACACACTGTATGTACATTTACAGTGTGAGTTTTAAGGGCCAGGAGTACAGCATATTTAATACTGAAACTTATGTGACTTAAGTGACTGGTCTGGAGTTCATAATCACTGATGACATACATACATTGTTCGTGACTAGGCCAGATTATTAGCTTCTTGAACTTTTAAAAAAAAAATTTTAGAGGTCTCTTTGGTGGATACACTACAATAGAAGCATAACAAAATATAGAGAATATTTTAGTGTACCCAGAGCTTCTCTCAATAACGTCTAAACACATCATTTGATGCATGTTCCTCCCATTTTTTCTGATTTATGAGGGCATAGGATATTTTATACTGGCTTCCTACAGTGAAACAGAATATCAACATGCACACAAGGAAAAATAAACAGGGACAATACCTGTTTCTGATGACCAAAATCTACCTCTTAAATTAGGACTAAGGTCTGCACTTCCTTTTGTGCCAGCTCAATGATCTGATCTGTTAGATTGGCTCAGTCCATCTCATAACACTTCACCCTTAGTAAAACCAACCTATAAATGTCAGTTTAGATTAAGACAAGAATACGTGCCCATTTCCATCTGGTTAAAAGAGGTTCAGTTTTCCCTGAAGGAAATTCACATACTGAATAACTAGAATGCTGCAAACAACAGGAAAGACAGGAGTTTCAGTATTCCTTTTGTGATCCTGTACAAGGCGAGATGCAGAAGTATATGATTCTAAGTGAACATTCATGTAGTCTAGCATTTGACAATTTTACAGACATAGAAGGAAGAAAAAATCCAAACTAATAAAGCAGGTACAAAAGCCCTGAAAAAAAGAAACCTGAATTATGTGTTTTGTTGCAATGACATGTAATATATCTATAGGTTAAAATACAGGCCTGTATGTGAACTAGGAAAAATTATTACATTTTGAAATGAGAACACAGATTCATTTGGCAACATTAAAGTTTGGAAGAAACACATGTGTATTATTTGCAAGCCCATGATAATTATGAGCATCAATGATATTTTAAAAACCCTGAGATATCCAAGCAATAGACATTTTTATGATTAATAAAACCTCAGAAATCAAAAAGTGAAGAAAACAATAGTAACGGCAAAAAAAGCAAATTGTCAGATTACAGATTTGATCCTTCAAGATAGACAACATGTGAGCAATTCCACTAAATTGAATTGAACCACTTTAATATTAAAATATTACAAACATTCCTAGCTGTCTATTGGGACAGGGGTCACATCACCCAGTTACGTGTAGCATCTGAAGAACCTGGAAAAGAACTTGTGCACTATGCTATCCTCCAGAGTCCAGCATCTTCCAGTATGGTGGAGATGAGAAAATCTAGACTCATGATTCAACATCTTCTTAAATCAAGATATTTCTAAACATTTTTGTGAATCCAATCTACTGCACGTGCCTCAAGTCTGAACTGTTCCGAACACAATTTTCAGAATTATATGCATGCAGCTGCACATAATTATTGGAATTTGAATACTCAAATAGCTAAGCATCTATGTGGTTATTTCAGCATGCATATGATGATGAAATTAGGCTCCACATTTTCCCAAAATACATCTCAGTCTTCAGAGAACCTTAATTTAGTTCAAGCAGTATTTCAACACATTATTATTTTTAACTCACATCATGGATTCTTTTTAATCATATCACCTTTACTTGCTTTGACTGAAAGAGCTACCTTTGCTCACCTACCTTGAATGTAGCTCTGGACTGCCATTGTTGTATTTACTTCCTCTTTCCCAGACACCAAAATCTGGCACACGATAAGCTCTTTCCACACAAAACACAAGATTTTGAATGAAGGAAACCTATAGGGAATAAAGAAAGAAGAAAGAAAGAAAGATGAAAGGAAGAAGTTCATTTTTTAAAAAAGTTCATTTTTTAAAAAAGTCAAAGTTGGTTTTCCTCAGGCATCATAATTGTGCCTTCTATCCTTTTCTCCCTGTGTCCTGCCCCTGCCCCTCCGAGAATGATGTTCCTAAATTCAGATGTTCTCTTTAAACCCAATTTTTAATCACAAAATATTAAGAGCTGTCCAAAATTAGGTGATAGTGTGGTTTATGCAAAAGTTCATACAAAGCCAGGAATAAAAATCATTTCATATTCAAAACATACTTGAAGAGCTCCAAAAAGGTGGCATTTTGATCTTTAAAAAAAGATTTCTCCTAAAAACAACATTAGAGAGCAAAAGAAATTAAATCCTACAAGATTAGGACACAGAAATCTTGGTGCTGTTTCTTAATTCATTTTAAGGTAATTGATATACCAAAGCTTTATTATATTAGCTCCAGATAATACACATTTATGCAAATTCAAACACACTCCTTTATAAACACAAATAAAACTCTGAACCAATTTAATATAATTAAAGTCTGCTCTTGGAATGACATGTTTTAACTGAATACTAAGTTACTTAAGGGTATTTTAAGGTATTTAAGGTGTATTTAACTATAGCTGGAGAATTTTTAAGCAGATACTTATTCCTCATTTACAGTGTTGAAAGAGACATTTGGAGTTGCTTGATCACACAAAAGTTAAATTGATGATAAATTTTAAAGTTTGCTCCAAAGAGCCCACAGATTAGAACTTATAGGCAATTGAACCACAAACACAAGATTTACACTGGTTCATCCACCAAAGCAGGGATTTCATCCCCTCCCATCCAAATTATTCTAGGAGATTCTGTGGGAAAAGAGAATATTGCAATGGCAATAAACAGAACCACACTGGGGAAATAGGGAGAAGGATCCACTTTACTACAGCCAAGTGATTTTTTTTTTTATTTTTTTTTTATAATAAACTATGAGATAAAACCCAAATATTTTACTGGAAGGTATTTGCTTCCATTTTGATTTACCTGCACACCTCCACTTTGTATTTTTTGCTCCATTTTTCTTTAAATCTTAAAAAGTTACTATTGCAGATACACTCTTTATCCTAATACCAATCCATCATTGATATATATAACTCTATACTTGTCTCTCTACATATTATATGCCTCTGCTGAAATTTCACTGTGGGTTGCTCATGTACAGTTATCTGCACACTAAATCTTTCCATAGCTAGTACTTTCAAGGAAACAAACTGTCCCACTTTTTAGATTTGTCCAGTATTATTCATCCCTGTAATCTAGCATTTGACTGTATTAAAATGAACTTTCTTTGAATTCAGCTAGAATACCCAGTGATTAAGCGTGTGGCTTCTCCCATCTCAATCATTAACTGAAATTTAGATGCATCAGGTAAATGAAGATGCAAGAGCACCACATAGAAATATATAACACTACTGATGACTTTCTACTGCTTATGATGTTCAGAACACAAGAAAAAAAATGCTCAATTACAGATATTTTATGAGACTAACTAAGGGTTTCCAAATAGCAGATTTACAGAAGAAAAGGCAGCAGATAATTGGTTGCAAACCAAAATCTTCAGAGAGCAATCATTCATATTAGAGACATATAAATGCTTTTACCAAGTCAATGCTAAAGCACTTACAGAAATTATGGACTGTGTATGCTAAGCTTATTTATCCAGAAGTCAAGACTGTGGAGAGCAAGGTGTAATAATGAATACACATGCAGCATGTATGACTGCAAATACTAGTGTTACTCTGTTTTATGTGTAGATAACTCCTCTCAAATTCATTGACTTGCACAATCATATACTGTGCTCTTTGTTATGGATGCAAAGATATAATTAAATTAATTTTTCAACTGCAAACAGATGCAACTAGAGGGTAACTCACTGACAGCTGCCATGCCTGACATGAAGCAGCCTAGAATACAATGAGCACCTCCGAAGCCAAGAGTTCTGTGTACAAACATATTCATGCAGAGAGCTTGCCAAATATCAACCATCTGCCAGTACCTTCCACTGTGCTAGCACTGGTTCAAAACTCTCTCTCTATGAAAGGAATGAGACTGAATGCATTGTGTAATGATACCATTGGAAAGAAATATTGAACTTGATGTTTGGATAGCAGATTGCCACATCCACAGTGCTGCCAATGCCACTATGCTGAGTATTATCTAGAGACACAGGAAAACTTGGAAATAACATAATTATGTGCCATTAATAACATCTGAGAAAATATGCAATTGTTGAAGCTATACAGAGACTAACAGAATATACAGGTCAGTTGTAAGATAATCTTAGTATAAATCTCCATAGTCGACAGGTTTCCATGGTACAGTTGCAATGGAAACTACATCTTGACATTGAAATGAATATTCACTGACTGGGGAGTTTTCAATGTCATGTTACATTCACTCTTTGCATATCTGACACTTGATTAGCTATTAACTTACTTCACTATCCATTCATTACATTTACCTTTTCTGACTTCCACTAAAAGTAGAGAATACCTGCAGTGTATTTCCAAAACAATTATTTTATAGTTGGTAATTAAATGAAATCAAGGAAAAAAAACAAACAACAACTTAATGAAGCATGTGTTTTAACACTGGAAATTGATTTGTACCTCATCTGTGTTGTAGATAATCTGCAGCCCTGAAGAGATCATCTCAACCAAATAGAGGAGAAATAACGACAAAGCATTTATCTGAAGTAATTAAAGACAGAAAGGAAACTATAATTAACTTTATGTTTATTGGAGTCACATAAACAAACAAGCTAAATGTGATATTTACTCACTGAAGATGGTCCCACTATAAAACAGTTTTGGTTCTTCAAAAATATTATCCTATTCTACCAGTATCCTAGATGTAATAATGTGGAAACAATCAATACGAAGAAATGCCAGAAACATGCATTTTCCTCTAAAACTTCTGCTGCAGTATATTTTTTTTAATTCTTTGAAATTATGATATTAAAATGTTTTTGCTTAGGCTTACTGCTTTGACGAATAGGCAATCACCTTTGTCACAGGCTGTTGTACATTTACATACATAACAATTTATAAGCAAGTAGAGCACCAAGAAGGCAGGTAGCACACTGAATAGCACACAGCACATCTGGAAAGTAAATCATTTTACCCCTAACTGGAATTTCAGAAGTATAACTGGAATAACAGAGGTAAAATTACAACATTCGGATATGATGTGCGCTCACAGCCCAGAAAGCCAACAGTGTCCTAGGCTGCATCAAGAGCAGTGCGGCCAGCAGGCTGAGGGAGGGGATTCTCCCTCTCTGCTCTGTTCTTGTGAGACCCCCCTGCAGTGCTGTGTCCAGCTCTGGGGTCCCCAACACAAGAAGGACACGGACCTGCTCAAGCGGGGCCAGAGGAGGCCACGACAATGCTCAGGGGGCTGGAGCAGCTCCCCTGGGAGGCCAGGCTGAGAGAGTTGGGGGTGTTCAGCCCGGAGAAGAGAAGGCTCTGGGGAGACCTTAGAGCGGCCTCCCAGGGCTTAAAGGTGGGCTATAGGGAAGATGGGGAGGGACTCTTTATCAGGGGGTGGAGGGATAAGATGAGGGATAATGGTTTTAAACTGAAAGAGGGTAGATTAAATTAGATATGAGGAAGAAATTCTTCCCTGTGAGGGTGGTGAGGCACTGGCCCAGGGTGCCCAGAGCAGCTGTGGCTGCCCCCTCCCTGGAAGGGCTCAAGGCCAGGTTGGACGGGGCTGGGAGCCCCCTGGGCTGGGGGAAGGGGGCCCTGCCAGGGGCCAGGGGGGTTGGGATGAGATGATCTGTAAGGTCCCTTCCAACCTAAACCATTCTATATTTGTGAAAAACTGTTTACTTTTGTAGCTGTACACAGAATTTGTTATTAACAGTGATTACCTTTAGCAGCTGTACAGATGAGCACCCTAATGCCAATTTATTAATGACTCCAAGAAAACTGCTTTTGTTACACAGAATTCTGGTACAATTGAGAATCTGTACAACTAATATAGAAAGTAAGTTTATCACACTAAGTTGCTTCAATGAGCTATAAACCCACAATCTCAGCATATGAAATTTATATAAACCATCTACAACAAAAAATTGGTTTCTTATCTGAAACATATATTAAGAGTAAGGTACAAATTCTAAAAATTCCAAAGGATTTAAAGATCACAGATTCCAGTTTCTTAATACAATCTGAAAAGCACCAAGTACAGCAATAACAGCAGACCAGCTACACAATATATTCCCCTTTCCAGCTGAACCACCTAAGTTACTGTTTTCTGTTGTCTCCACAGAGCTGAAAAGCCTCTATGTTTTGACATTTGTTGATGACAGAAGGGAATGTGCATTCATATTTATGGGAAGGGTTGAATTGCCACAAAAAAATATACTTTGAACTATCATACAGTGTTCCACAGGTCTCAAAATTATTGCCTCCTCCTGCAGATAAAAGATCTGCATTTTCAGGAAGCTTCACATAGAAGTCCAAAATATTAACTTAGGATAACTCCACAAATCATTTTTCTCAAAACATACATTTCCTGAATCCAACACAATTAGTGTACAAACTATTTAAGCGATGGTGTCACCATGAAATTTAATAATTATCAACCTGCTGTCACTTGTGAATAATTTCACTAGCACTTTCTGAACTAAAAAGAGTTATGAAATGCAAAAGAACAAGGTCATGAATGCAAAAAAGGGTCTGAAGGTAAAGAGAAGGTGAAAAAAAAAAAGAGTAAACCAACACTTTGGAAATGAAAGACAATAAAACAATCAATTATGCAATGAATCTGACAAGGAACCACTACACAAAGTAGTGAACAATAGTTTGTAACTAGACAAAGCTGTTGAAAGTGTACCTTAAGTCTATACTATGAATGAAAATTGCTCAGACATGGAAAATTAAGACGGCAACATTAATAAAAAATATTTAATGTAACATTAAATTAATACATTAATATTTAATGTAACATTAAACTAAATCTTCCACTTTACTGACTACTTCAACTTTTTTTTGCCAGGATTATTTCTTGATGGTCATCTGTTCTTCTCAAAAGGAAGCTACTTCATAAAAATCCAGCCATGTATCCTCGCAAATCCCTCAGTTATTTCAGTACCTTCTGACCAAAACATACCACTGAGTTATATTTCAAAACAGTCTGTCTTTTTCACTAAAAGATGCAGAAGGAATCTGAATTTTATCAAGTACAACACATCTAACATAAATCTAAACAGAGACAGCTGCATCATGAAAGAATGGGGACAACAATAACATTATTTAAAATCATACAAACTCTCCTTTACATGCATATGCATATTTTACCTGAAGATGACCATATTCCTTATGGGAAAAAACCTCATCTCCAGTGTGTGCACTGAAAACAGAATGAAGACATCCAGATGGTTTGGGGTCTTGCTTAAATTGCTGAACCTAAAGGTGAATTAAAGGCAAAACATAAAATCAATGTTAGTAACTTCAGTATGTTTGGCAACCACAAATTCACTATATAATTCAGGTATTTCAAAATTTCTTGATATGACCGCTGTGTAAAACTTATGAAGAACAGTTCCTGAAACTTGTCAGAAACTATTTCATACATACAGCTAAAGAATACAAATATTCATCCCATCTATCTAATCTCTTTGGGTTTGGTAGGAAAAAATCTGTAATAGCTGGCTACAGATGCTTCATCACCTTCCTCTTCTGGACAAAAACCAACTCCTTTTACTGGAGCTGAAATCTCATCAGAAAGCATGTCAAAGCATATCATGCCTACCTTGAAATCACAGATCTGAAATGCACTAAAAGAATCCTAACCCATGCACTCTCAGCTGGCACACCATGTTTCCCTAGCAGAGAGCATGAATTCCAGCTACTCTCTCACATATGGGGCAACTCCCCTCCTCACCTTCCTGGTCTGCCCCAAAGAGCCTGTATCCACCCGTCACAGTGTTCCAATCACTTGAGCTATCCTATCACACCTCTGTGATCCCCCGCCACCATAGCCCTGGAGCTGCATGCATATTTCTAATTCATCCTTTTCGTTCCCCATGCCGCACGCATTAGTGTACAGGCATTTCAGAGAGGCATCCAAGCATGCCAGTTTCCCAGAAAGGGTATGAGAGCTTTCTCCTCCATAATGCTGTCCCATAGGTACTTCCTTATTTCCACATGTATGCTTGAGACAGCTCCACTTTGGTTAACACTGCGCCTTCTGTTGATATACCCTAGGCCCTTTGCTTGCCCACCTCATCCACCACTTCCTCACTTGATTGTGCTCTCTCACACTCTCCCTCACCATTCCTTGTTTAAAGCTCTTACTGGAGTGCAAGAGACCAAAATTTCTGTTGGGAACAATAGTTTTAATAATTTTTATGAATCACAATCCATAAAAATTTAACAATTATTGTTGCACCATTTGACAATGTGACAAAGTTTTTAAAACAAAAAAGGAATTATTACTGTTATTAATAGTAATAATTTTTAAGCCTTCTGGGTTATAGACCTACAAAAGTGTTCAGAAATTGCCACACATAGTTCATGTAACAAAGGAAAAGCTTCAAGAGCTAAGAATACATAGTATAAGATTTATTTTGGTGAGCAGAGTTTGTGACATTCATCTGTGAAATGTTTACAGATAACAGAAGGCAAAGCTGATAGCTTAAAAAGAAAACAAAGATTATAGATAGGAAGAATAGTACCCTAGATCAAAATGACTTTTTATTCATGGACACTATCACTAGACCTCAAAATGAGCCTCTATGATACAGAATCTCTTACAAGATAGTACAATCGTAGCAGGATCTGCATTACGATTCTGCATGGAGATGGAATGCAGTAACATAGATTATTAATACAAGAGGTTAACAACAAAGGAGTGAAATAAGAACTACAGTCATTTTAAAGTAGTTTTGATTCCTTTTACACTGCGAAACATATCTGCTACCTTACAAAACCATTTGAGAAAATCTGGACTGTAGGAGCTGCCAATAGGGCAGAGAAAGGAAACAAAATTCACAAAGAAAAGAATGAAGGTAACAAAAGAAAATCGTTCTCTGTAATTGCTCAAATCAAGATATGTTCTCCAATAGTTTTTGAATTTTCTAACCAACATCGTCAGTACTTGGTCCACATTTCACAACATTTTCAACACTGGTTTTATATTCGTGGGATATTCCTTTCTACCAAGAAATCGTACATAGCATAGCATGTCCCTCAGAAGCAAGAAAGTAAATTTGACTTATGTCTGTTAGGTACTGGAGATTATTACTACACTACAGTAAGAGAGAAACATTTACAGTAACTGAGGCAAAAACTGACAACCAGTCTGTCAGCAGTGTGACACCTGTGTTAATTTAATGCTCATTATACATATCTGCACACATCATCCTCAAAACAAAACACTGCATGTCAAAGAGAAAAACAACAGCTCAAATGTAGCAAGATCAATTTAGGTCAAGATTGTTTAAAGATATTAGACTACAAAGAAACAGACTAAGAAAACTGAGAAAAAAATATCATGTCAGCATAAATACAGTTGACAATACACCCGATTTGCTTATTATTACTGATATCACATGCCTACAGACTTCACATCTCAGTTGTGTGTTTAGAAGTCATGGAAGCTATGTGTTAACATGAAAATTACTTTTAATAATACAGTTAAAAGTCAGTGACACGAAACTTAAAATAATCACAGGAAATATAGATATTTAACTACCTGTAGAATTACTGCTAACCACTATGCAAAATTAATCCACCACATATAAATTCTGATAAGGAGAAGACCTGAATATTCAAGAATATTCAGGGAATACTCAGAATAGGATTAGAGGCTGAATAAATCAACTGTACTATAAGTAAGTTACTGTTTCCTTATTCATTTTGGGTTGCTGCCCTTCTGAATTTACATCATTAGGTCAAAGAATACTGGAAAGTGGCTACTAGGGAAACCAAGGAAAATAATCAAAATGATCAGCTAGGCAAGGAAAACAACTGCAAATGCAATAACCAAGTTAACAGTGCAAAGAAAACTCTCCAGCTTTAGCTAAAAGAAATTCTGTATCTTTCCATTTAAACACTAAAAAGACATTTAAAAACCCCACAAATATTAATGGTCTAATGTTTAAATGGGATAAATAACTGCAAAAGGAACCCAAAAAAGTTTCAAGAATGCCCTGTAGTTTACTTTGCAAAATGCTTGTGCTTTCTATATCCTAAAACAATGCTGCAACCTGACAACAACAAAGCAGCTGCTCTTAGCTGGGCCACACAGTAATACTGCATTCCCCTCTTGAATTTTATCTATATTTAGAAGTTAGTTTTCACAGTTTAATTAATCCCTTAGAATTAAGTGAGTGCTTGTGTCCACACTACAGTGTTTTACCTTATCGGCTTGACGCATGTAGCAGTAGAGAATTCCTCTCATACACTTTATAGCAGAATGCTCCAGTTCATGAGTCCTTCCCTTGTCATCATCAATACGCCTGGGTAAGAAAGATAACTCATAAAACAAATTGGAAATGCATTAGGGGGGAAAAAAGAAAAAAGGGACACATTAGGGCTCTGGAATATTAAGTATTTAACTAAGACTGTTGTATAGTGGTGCCCACACTCATATCAACATATTTATAGCCCTACCCATCCTTTCTTAATATAGGGAAAAAAAAAAAAGTTTTTTAGTTTATGGTGCAACTTACACAAACATTCATATTTCAACATTTAAAAAAAAAATCCTTCCTGATATTATGAACAACTGTTCCGTGCTCCTTGAGAAATCCAAAACACAAAGCCAATTTCTCTTTAACTCTACAAAGTATCTGCCATTCATAATCAAGCAGTCCCTTTTCTGATCATGTCGGTGAACTACAGCTGTGCATGCAAGAGTCTGAAAGTTCACTGCTCTGAATGTCCAGAAATGTGTTTCAAGATAGCCTAGCATTTTTATCAAATAGTATAGTAACAATTACTATACTACTAAACACATTAAAAACACCAAATCCAAAGTTATTTTAACTATAAGAAATGTATTGTGTGTAAAGAATCTTGATCATAGCATTCATGTGTTGTATCTCTTCCAGTTCTCAATTTCTGATGGAGTATTTCAGGGTGAAAATAATGTTTTCTTACATATTTGTAACTTAAAACAAGAAGTGTCTGCTACAAATATGCAAAACAGCATAAAATGCTCACTGCTGTTTCTCAGTCCACTTTATAGCTGTTACTCAATTTGATCACAGGTAAGTCGATGATAACTATACTGCAAATGAAGCATATCTTTTTCCACCATACTTAAAATATTAGTAGTTTATGCTGAGGTTCTGCTCCTACACTGAAAATTAAAAAGGTAGTGAAAACTTAAAAAACAAACAAACAAACAAACAAAAAAAACCCCACACATCCATAAATCACGCTATTTAAATAATCATCTTACATACAATAAATGCACTTGTTTTCAAAGTTGAAGCAAGGGAGGAAAAAGCAACCCCACCAGGAACAAAACAAGGTAAAGTAAAATGAATAGGTTAAGAATTTTTTAAGCAATAGGATTTTTCTCAAATTTATCATAAAACCAGAGAGCAATAAGAAGCACATGTAAAAGCTCTGAAGTTTTCAAGTTACAACATTTTTCTTCTATTCACAACAGCAGTGTTTGTTTTCCTAACATGCTTTCAGGAAATGTAGCTTTTATGAAAGTGAACAGCAGCACTGGCATGAGTCAAGCACAGTAATCTGCACGTGGTAGATAATGCAGCCTTCCACACAAGTCTGGTGTCTTGGCTCGTTTCAGATTTTAGCCATTCACTTAATTTCAATCATCAACCTCTGCCTGTCAAAGAAAATTTTTTGTGCAGCACCTGAAGTTCACAGTCCTGTCTTGAACATAACTAGAAGTAACACAAACTATTTATCTTGCCACTTTCCCCTTTCTTCAACCTGAAAAAAATTTCATATATTATCTTCTATAATTCTACATACTGGAAATTAAAGACTGAATAACTTGTGCAACATTATGCCATGCTCTCTTCTATGAGTTGTTGAAAATTCTAAACAATCACCCCTGCCCCTTTTGTTCTTCCTTCTAAATTTTGTCTATTTTTTTGTTTTCAAATGCTTTTATTTCACCAGCAGACAGAGGAATTAAAAGAAATATGCAAAGAGTACAACATAAGAAATGAAACTAATAATTACACATTCTGAATGTTAATTTATTTGTAATTTTTGCTAGTTTCTCAAAATTTGGAAACCCATTAGATGTCAGGCACAGCATCTCCAGAAGTAAACACAGATCTCTGTACACCTTCTCTTTCAAAAAGCATCCTTTTCTAACAACATTTCCTAGAAGACCACTTTAAAACTGTTTCTTCAGATTGCTGTCAGAGGTATAGATTCTAAAGCAATAAATGGAAACACAAAAGAAACTCAAAACCTTTTACCTGCTAAGTAGATCATCTTTACTTCAACAGTAGCTACTCATATTATTTCTGGCCCTTCTTCTGTAAAATATACTAGAATTTTGTCCAAGAATGTGATCACTACCTCAATACAAGAAGTTGATTACTAAAAATTATAAATTATTCATTATCTGCATACCATCTTCTTTCTTAAAAACACTGCATTTGAGTTATTGTCACCTCTGTGTTTTCCTGGGTGGCTGGGGTAGCAAGTTTGGAAACAAGGAATACTAAATCTCAGAAAGCAATTTCCATAGTTATTTGACCTAAAGGAGAGGGAATTATGAATAAATTATTACGGGAGGTAACTCTCCCATAGTTCATACTATGGTCATACTACACTACACAAATTCCTAACCTACTCCTCTAATGAGTCACCAGTGGAAACAAAAGAAAATAAGAGCTAACAACCGAGACTGCCCAGCCATTTTACCTTGGCAAGGAAGATAGTCACTGTTATTTCCCAAATACACATTTCTCAGCATTCAAGGATTCAGCCTTCTGTGAGTACCTGGACTGTTACTACCTGCAACAAGCCTGCTTCTGTTCTGAACTCTCCTACTACATTTAAAATGAGCAGTATTCCTTGAGTACAGTTTGCCACAATAACCTATATTATTAAAAGCATGCATTAATTCCTCTGTTTCAGCATATTGTACCAATTAAATTATAGGAAAACATGTTTACTTACCAGTAGAGTGACATTTTTTAACCTACTAGATATATTTTTATCAAGATTTGAAAACATGTATCATCTCTATGGGTTTACAAAACTGTTTCTGATATAGAGTCATTTTTTTAAAACATTCTTGCAGATCTGCGTAACAGAAAGAACATAACATGGCAGAGACATGAGCTTAGAAGTTACTCACCTGTAAGCAAGGGCTAATGCCCAGGCACATGCAGCACAATAAAGACTGTCGTGTACTTTGGCCTTTCGGTTATCCCCATATGTCTTTGTAGGAAACAGACCTGTGGTTGGACTTTGATAAAGCAGCAATGTTGACTTAACTGGAAAAAGGAAAAAATTAAAAATGGTATTAAAAATACTTATGTTTCTTTGAGTTTCCACATAGATTTTCAGGAATAAATCAAGATGCAAACCACCTGTCAGACCATGCATGACATAAAACAGAAGAGAACAAAAGGTGAGACAGACAAAAGAAAATTTTGTTACAACTGTTTTCAAATTAGACCTTTTTACAAAAAAAATAAGTATTCGAAACTATTTATATGGCTCCGGTCTAGTATGACCCACTCCATACAGAATTTCTACAATGCAGTGCTTTCAGTAATTTCCCTTTTATGGGAAAAAAAAAGGGGGGGGGGTGTGTGGTGTGTGCTACAGTATGTCAACTGCCCTCCCAAATAATTTAAATAGTTAAAACTGCAGAACTCTACATTCATGAAAATTAAATTTTTAACTTAGGCCAGATGTTTGTATCAATATTTTTTAAAAACGAAAGGAATAAATGAGTAATGAGAAAGGATGACCACAATTATTTAACTCAGTACCTTGACATAAAAATAGATACAGGAATCTTCAAGTTGTCAAGACTGAATTAGAAAAAATACAAAATATTACTTTCATTCTTTTTATACTTGTCCTAGTTTCTGCTGGAATAAAGTCAACTTTCTTCTTAGTAGCTGGTATAGTGCTGTGTTTCGCATTTAGGATGAGAATAATGTTGATAACACACAGATGTTTTAGTTGTTGCTAATCATTGTTTATACGAAGTCAAGAACTTCTGCAGCTTCTCATACTGCCCTGCCAGCAGAGGCTGCGGATGCACAAGAAGCTGGGAGGGGACACAACCAGGACAGCTGACCCCAACTGGACAAAGGAATATTCCATACCATCTGATCTCATGCCCAGTATATAAACTGGAGGGAAGTTGGCCAGGGGACACAGCACCTCCGGGACCGGTTGCGCATCGAATAGCAGGTAGTGAGCAATTGTATTGTGCATCACTTGTTTTGTATAGTCTATTATTATTACTTTCCCTCCCTTTTCTGTCCTATTAGACTGCCTTTATCTCAACTCAAGAGTTTTACTTTTTTTTTATCCCCAATTCTCTCCCCCATCCCACTCGGGGTGGGAGGAGTGAGCAGGTGGCCTTGTGGTACTTAATTGCCAGCTAGGGTTAAATCATGACAGTACTTTAATATTTCGCATTTTGTGAACTGTTTTCCTAAAATTGTGTAATAACCAGTGTGCTACAAGATTGAAACTGGGCTTAATGTCCTTGAACATTGCCCTTCTAACAATAACCTGTCCATTGTAAGACATGAAAGCAGTTTTTTTCCAGAATGGTATCAAGCATCAATTTAAAAAAGCCTCTTTATTGTCTACAGGTTAAAAATTAAGTATTTTAAATGAAATTTACAGGGTTTTATGGCTTTCTGCATTATATTATTCAGTGACTTAATACCTTATAACAAGAACTTTGATAAAATGTTACCTGAAATTGTCAATATATATTATTCTAAAATGAACTATAAATTCAATAGTGAATTTTTACTGAGGCAGCAGACTGCTTGCAATGTAAGTGCCCAACAGATAAACAGCAAGCACCACTACAGATTTGCTTCTGCCAAGCGTTACAAGTAAATTGAACAGCCATCTCCTCTGTAAGAAAAAGCAATGCGTCTACAAAAAGCAACGCATCTATGGATAGACTAGGCACAACTCACAGATTTCACTTCAAAAAGTGATATGGAATAAAGGGAGTCTTATCTCACATTTTTAGAATGATGGAAAAATTGTTCATTATTCTGTATACTTGAATGAATAAAACTTAAATTTTAAACATTTAATTTCACAGCCATTAAAAAAACCTGATTTGGGAATATTGGCAGGACTTTATTATAACACAAACCCCACCCCCAAAAAGCAAATCAAAATAAACCATTGCTTCCTTAATGTGTATGTTTTTGGCTTAAAACGATCTAATGAATAGAAAAACACTAAAGTTGGCTTAAAACAAGTTAGCTGACATGAAATTTTGGCACAAAAATACATTACGGAACCATTAATAACAAAAATTAACTTCTCACTGATCACCAGTCAAACTGTTGTGAGTACTATATGAAAGCTTTTTCCATTTATATGTTTCCTCAGCTGTATCTGGCTAATGCCATGGTACTAAGCTAAGCTACCACTTTATCCAAAATAATTATAAATTCAGTCTTACAGCTGGACTGGATTTCTAATATACATTTTAATTTCAGCAAAAAGTGTAATTCAGCCCTCCAGTTTTCGCACCTTTTAAACTCACAGCAGAAATTTAGGAAACTATCCTCAAGTAGGAATAATGTAGAAATGATATCTAACATGTAAATATCAATTCTAATTCATATCTGGGTTAGTTCAAGCATCAAAAACTGTCAGCAGATTACCTTTACCCCTCCCCGTCCAAGACCATCAGCTGCAACTCAGAATCTATTCTACTGTTTCACAAGTGCAGATGATGATTTTGAACACTGTTTACAGGCCATGATTTTTCAAACAATGTACAAAATATCCAAATACATGCATTATATTATCACAGGAATCTTATAAGGAATTGTCACGATAGAACCCTTTACCTCTCAGAACATAAAAATCCATCTTAAAGACTGCAGGTACTATTTTAAGACAAAGTTAATTACTGTCATAACCATAACTGTAAATATTTTCGTAAGTTACACTGAAAATTTTTCATGGTAGGAACAATTATTAACTTACCAATTCTGTAATAATGATCTAATTTATCCCACAGACTTTCCCCCTCTGGTTTTGGAAGGTTAATACTTTTAAGTGGCTCATAAATTGAACCTAAAAAAAAAGAAAATGTAAAAGTAAGATCAGAATTAGTTTCATAATTCTACTATTGCTAAAAATTACTGCAATAAGATTTCTTTTTGTTTGGTATACAAAAGCACAATTTATCATATTTCAATTATAACAAAAAAAGTTTTAATTTCTATAAACTCAGAGAATAGATTTCTATACACTTTTTTTTTTCTACTGTACCTGTCCACACAAACAAGACCTCCATCTGGATCTCCAGTGCATTGTAGATATTCAGCTACAGCAAATGCTAGATAAATGTACAGTTTAATTATTGAAGACAGCCTATTAAATGTTAAGATTTTTCTATGAACATTCTCTTAGAAGTATGCTACAGACAGAATTCCCAAGGACACATAGAAAAACAGAAGGAAGTTGGACAAAATTAGCCCAAATCTAATTATTACTTCCCTACCTGCCTTCTAAAATGGTGAACATGTACAATGCTATTAATGCTTTACCTATCCCAACCTCGGTTTCACCCACCACCACAATAAGCCTAGCTGATTTCATGTCATGAATCCAAAAAAGGGTTAGCTTGTTCTCACATACTACCAAAGCTTCAACAACCCATCCAACAGATAAAGCCCCCAAATCACCTATATTCCAGAGAAATACAATACTATCAAATCCACACCTTTCCTCCTCAGCGGCCTACATACTGACTGCTTTCCTATTTGCACCTGAAAAGTCCGTTTTCCTGATTGCTGAAATGAGCTACCTATCAGAAAGACACAATTTCATAAAAATTACTGGGGTAAACCATTTCCAACTTCTAATTTAAGAGCAACTTACTGCTCTCCTTCCATAAATCACTTGGGCTTTATTCAGTGTTCTGGATGGCAGGATCTCCCACTGAGCCATTTGATAATAGGAAAAATGAGAATTTCCCCTTTCCGGACTGCATGCTGTCCTTCTGAAAAGCTCAGAGAAATTAATTGCCAGGGAAGCCCAACCAGTCAAGCAGTTCTGGCAGGATGCAGCAGAGTGCTCCTATTCAGGTTTGCGTCTTTCACACTCGCAGCACATACCTGAGCATTAGACAAGAGATTGTCCATACACAGGATTCTCATTCAAACAAAATGAATATGCGTGGAGTGGTGGCAGAAGCTTTATTAATCAAGTCCTTTGGTGGGAGGAGATTGGAAAATGTTTCTTGCCCCTCAAGAACTCAAACCTCACCCTCCAAATTAGGATTACTTTTACTTTGCAATCATAGTAGTTAAAAAAAATCCACCCCTCTTTGAGCAGACTCCTGTGGGTCTGTTGTGCGTGGATCCTCTGGTGACAATTACCAACACATCTGAGCTCCCCCTTCAGCCTTGACTTTCCTCGCTGGGAGAGGTCAGGTTACAAACACCATGTGCATGTGGGGAAAGGGCCTGAGAGGGAAGCGCAGAGAGCCCAATTTATTTGGGTTGCCTAAAAAAGCAAAGCTAAAAGAAATGAAGTAGCAAATTTATGAGAAATATTCACGTGTTAGATTTTCAAAGGCAAATTAAAGATTCTTACTCTTAGATTTGTTAGCTGTATAACACACACAGTCACTGTCCTTTGTGTCTGAAAGAGGTTCAGAATGTCTATTTCTTGCACACTGTTAACCCCAGGATTGCACCATGAAAAACAGTTGAGTATTCACAGGCACATACGCTTATACACACGAGTCAAAAGTTTCTAAAATAAAATTATTCTTATTCACTTACTTACCAGACAATCTGTGACCCTCTGTGGCCAACAGAGAAACAAAATAAAGTTTTTATGAACAAAAACCAAATTCTCCTATTTCAGAGCATTCAAAGATTTCAACTTTGTCCATCAAGATGGCTAAACAGAATAAAGAGCATGAAAACGTCAAGGCATCACCATCTACAAATTATATTCTTTTAGATGATGGAAATTTTACTAGCAGAATAAATTAAAACAGAGCAAACTGTTGATGAAACAAAAAGGTGAAATGAATTCAAAGTTCAAAAAAATTCACAAAAAGTAAAGTTTCATGTCTTAAAAATATTCCTTAAAATTACTCCTGATACAAGTAGGAGAGATTGTTTAAAAGAACAGTCAAAATCAAAGTTTTCCACATACTCTTCATTAATTCCTCATTAGAAACCATATAGTTTGTGTTTTGCTTGTGCGTCTACAGCATTCTACTGGACAAATCCTGTGGTAAATTATGTTCCATTTGTATCACAATTTAATCAAAAGCAAGAAACAGATAGGACAAACAAGAAGCTAGCTGCTCCTTCTGTGTGGTTTTGTAGTGAGACTGCAACCCAGTGGAAGCTATTTTTAGGAAAGCTAAAAAAAGCCCAGCTACACTCTTTTCCAAAATCTGTTTAGTAGTTCATTTCAGCAAGAAAAAACCTGCCATAGAATGCTGTTATCAATTACGTATTTAAAATCGGTTTTCAAACTGAAAAAATTAACAGCAGCAAGACTGCAACACTTAAACACAAAAGAACAACATATGCAAATAGTACCCCTGAGCTCCCAGTTTGTATGTCAGCATTCAGAGAAACAGAACGAGGACATGAATTTCAAATATTATGTTTCATAAATATCTCATTTCATTATAACCATACAGCGTGAGCTTTATTTTAGGTAAATAAGTAGATATACAAGGAAGGAATATAAAAATATATTTTGGTGATTTAGTATTTCTTCAGCTGTATAACGGTGTAACAACCCTATACAAAATTTAAATAGTGTACATGGTAGTTCAGATTTTCTTCCACAAAGAATGCAGTGTGTCCATTATTTCCTTACATCAGAAGTGGACTGTTACAAGTCAGTAACTACTTCAAAATCACAAAAAAACCCACACAGATAGGAAAGCAAACTGTTGCTTCCTGCATTAATATATTTAATGTCTGCTAAAAGAACACTCAAAATCTTTATTCCAAGTCCAATTAAACCCCTGTTTGTCTCCAGATACTGCACTGATTACATACACTACATCCATATTTTGAATGAAAATGAATCCCTTTTCATTTCCTACCTCTTACAGATTCCAGTGTGCTATGATTTCACTATTCTTCAAGTTGAAGAATTACTAAAAAGAATAGTGATTTTCTTTCAGATTATTAGAGAACAGGAAGAAATCTGAAACAGCCTAATAACTGATAAGCGAGACATCAATCACTAGTGTAGAACTAAAGTAATAAACATACAAGATATTTTTGGCTTAGCTAAGACATGGAAACTATAAAATGACATTATCCAACAGATGAAACTCAAATGTACAACAATTCTAGGAAAAAAATTACAATTTAATTATCTAAGGAGACTACAAAACTGAAAGATATTAAGGGAAGTTCTCTAAGGTAAGCTATTAGCAGTGTAAATACTTATGTATATACAGCCTCTGGAGACTAAGAATATTATGTCATCCTAATGTTAAAGTACTTTCCCATCCACTTCATTTTTATTCCAGTTAATACTTGAGATTAGCACTAATTGCTCTTCAGAGAAGAGCTATAAACTGCCTAGATGTTTAGATTTTAAAACTATGGCCAACATTTTGAAACCCTGCTCCCCTATTTGTAGATACAGAAGCTTTGAACACCCACACATACTTGAAGATGGCAGCAATTGCAGATATTAAAGAAAAGTAGGCATCACAATGGAATTTTGGACCTAGTCTATGGATAAAGATTTGCATATTTCAACAAGGATTGATAATGCAAATTTTTCAAAGTATAGTGTAAAAAAAAAAAAAATCAAACAAAAAAAAAACACAAAAAACAAAACAATCAAATGCACACCTTCCCAAAGTTTAATCACAAACAATTGAAAGCAACACGGCAATAATTTTATTTCCAACATTTCACACACCAGAAGAATAAAATAAGATGTTTACTTGCATAATTATATCAGCACAGACCAAACAAAAAAAAGCTGAGAATATGAGATTTCTTTCTAGATTCAATGAGAAGAAAAACTGCCCACAGTCCTTAAATGCAACCCTAGTTCTGGATGTAATCCAACACTTGAGACATGAACAAATTCTGGGTCTCAGATCACAGAAACTGTCAGTACCCAATATTAGTATGGGCAGTAACATCTTCACACTACAGAAGTCATTGGGACCAAAGATTATTTTATTCCTTCACACAGCAAAGTTTAAGAAATTATAGCATATGAACAAATCATATTCTCCCAACATCACATCTCCTTTCCCTCAAGACTTCTCCTGCAATCTCTCCTGAGCTCAGACTTAATACAGTACTGTAGAGAAATATCATTGGACACAATACACTTTATTCTAGTAATTGTCTACCATGAGACAGATCTGCTTTTAAGTTCAAACCCATGTAGTTGAGCAAGGTGATATCTGAAAATAATTTTCAGAAGCACTTCCATCTGAAGGAAAATTGACGTCTCTCATATATAAATATCTGAACTCTCCACGAACTTAACATGTACCAGCTGTGCTACTGCTGCGAGGGATTTTTAATCACTACATACAGGAGGAAACTATAATCTCATAGCATATTTTGAGCAAGAGGCTCGAGTGGATGATCTCCTAACATCCCTTCCAAACTGAGCTGTTGTACAATTCAGTGAAAAATGGTAATGAAACCCCAGGAGAGGAGGAAAAAAAGGCATTAAGGTATTCTGCCATCTGAATAAACAATAGGAGTAAACAAAAGGTACAAGTGTTATTTAAGTTGAGGAATGATAACAACACTGGTAAAAATGAGTAAAATCTTGTAATAAGTTCATTTAAACAGTTTTAAAGTGACAAAACTTTTCAACTACCATTTATCAAGAAAAATAACTTGTTAAGACTGTACATAAAATTCAATGTAAAAGAAAATATAGTAACCAATTTATTTTGTCCTTTCTCTATTTCTTAATCACCTGAAGTGATTTCTCTATACAGTATATTATACTTAATGGCAATTACTGCTGTCAGGATTTACAGTAACTAACAATACACAGGAGTTACTGAATACCAAAAATAAAACACTGACCCTGATGCCAGTACACAGAAGCTTCACATAACCCAAATAAAGCAAAATGCCAAAGTCTGCCATGCAAGCCTAGTAAATGCTACAGGCAAGGCAGGAAACCGTTTAGGATATTCAATGCAGTCACTGCCATTTCAGAGGACTCAAAACAATAGCTCTTTAAACTATTAAAAATTTTTATTTTGCTTCATAACAACAAAAACATCAAATAACAATATAATAATTAGGAAAGAGTAATTTTTTTACTACAGTGTCAACACTTTACATGTCCTTTGACATTAAAAAAGGCAAAACAGAAATGCCACAGGCTGGGCAGGGTAGTGCAAGTGACCCACTTGTGGCAAGAGACAGCTGAAATCCCCTTACCTGATTACTCTCATTAGCACTTATACAGCTTCTGGGTTTCAACACAGACTAAACAAGAGTCCTGTACAGTTTTCCCCAGATCAGTTAGCTTCATATGGACACATTTTTCAGTCAAACTCTTTTCGAAATATATTGAGCTAAATCAGTAACGGTCCTGATAACTTCATATATTTTGGCTTCTGTTGGACTTTAAAAGAGAAGTAGTGCCAGGGGCATTATTTTGCTTCCACTTAACTTCCACAAGTCAAGCTAGCTTTGAAACAACTGACTGACTTATTGGAAACTGTACTTCTTTTCTATAAACTAGTCACGTTGGGGTTTTTTAGGAGTTAATCCTAAACACCATTCTTAGTGCCCCTTTCACATGACCATCATCCTAAATGAGAAATTTCAGTTCAGAGACTTATAGACTGAGATATAAGAACACAAAACACCAACAGAACAGGAAGATCTGAACAGTAGATTTCAATCTAAGTAGATTTCAATATTCAGAGATTTTCCCTAGAAAAGCTAAAATTTTTAAATTCTATTGTACAGTACTAAAATACTCCTAGCACAAAACACTGCATGAAACACAAAACAATTATTTTTTGTTGAGTTAAATAGCCACAAACAAAAACAAACACAGAACTGCACACTTACCAAATCTTAAAAAAGCACGTGCAGGGGAGGTTCTGTCATCATCCAAACTGGCCATTTCAAATTGATGCAGCTAATCACAAACTTCTCAGGCTAAACTACAGTAATTTTCAAAACTGTTTAGTAAATGTTAAAGGCAACCAGCATTAAATTAAGTGAAAGCAATGTTAGTGGAGTTATTAACATGACAGAGTGCACAGCACAAAGGTAGTAAAGTTTCATGACATTTTATGTTTCTCTCTTCCACCCTAAAAACTGGTTTTGGTTTGCATTGACTTCCATAAAACGTATCCGAGTAAAATGATACTGTCCACACAAAGTCCATCTTTTGGACATTAGACAGTAGCTTTGTTATTCAATACAAAATTCACTATGAATGTCAAAAGGTGCTGAATAAAATATATTTGATTTATTTCAGTATTAAATAAAAATACTCATTTAACTAGTGCATATTAAAGTGTTAAGCAATAGTAAGCACAGGGAGCTAAAATTCTGCTTATGCGTAGTGCTGCTTTTATCACGTGGAATTTACGTGATGATGTTTCTTGCAGACATATATATTGCTTATGGTACTGAATATCTCTGTTTTTTGAAATAGAACATCTTCCAGTTTGGAACGTAAAATAAGAAAATACTGTTTCTAACTATGCTGACAAGTTTTTCCAAATCTTTAAATAAATTTATGTTGTTTAAAGTAATCAAAATTACAGGGGTTGCAGACTGGTCAACCACTGAATATCTATAATCTGCTCCTAACTGTTAATTATCACAATAGGAATGAATGAAACAGTGTTTTATTGCTCAAGGAAGGTTAATAGTCTCAATAAAATTTGGTTTTACTGGCAAAAACATAACTCAGATTTTAATATACATAAACATGAAGATATGGATTACCTCCTACAGGATTGGGTCTTAAATGATACTTTGTTGTCAGATATAAAACATGAATCATTCATGCATTTCAGGCACATGTATCTATCCTCTATGTTTACTATATCTTACTCCAAGCTTTGTACTAAAAAAAAAAAAAAAAAAAAAAAAGCCACAACAAACAGCACTGTTTGTAAACTGGGACTCTCAAGCAAGGACTTCAGCCAATTCACAACAGTGTGGGGGAGTTGCAGCCACTTCCAATGACTATACCAACCATGTCTCTGACAGTGCCAGAAAGGAGGTAGAGAAGCTCTGAAGTTATACAAATTTCAACCTACTTATAATGATGCAGGAGTAAATTTGAGAAACGAGAACATGATTTTCATTTTTAGATAAGAATGTTAACTGAAAGATTATATATAAAATTAATTTTTTCAATCAATTCTTTTGTCAGAAAAGCATTTCAACTAAAATTATCTTTATTTCTTAAGTAAATAAATGTCTTCAATTACAACATGAATGACAAAATCTCTATGAACAGGAAAAGAAAGAAGAAAACCACAATAATAATCTGTCATTGTAATGGAAGACATTTTCTTATACATTTAACAAAAAAGGAGGCAGCAGCAGCAGTTAAGAAAAAAAAATCAAGCATTAAAAATCCTCCAAATTCCTTCACAGGGACTGTCACTCTGTGTGGGAATCCCAAAGTTAGCACGCTGCCTTGTGACTTGGGATTCACATACTCCAAACATGCAGGTTCCAGACTTTATTTTGTAGAGCTCTATAGCTACATTTGTAAATCAATTTTCAGATAACGGTACTGTGTAATCATAATTGGCCACAAAGTAACAACTCATTTACCAAACAGCAAGTAGAATTTTTAAAGCCATATGAATCAGACCAGTCTTTAATCAGTCAATTCTTTTTATGAGAGCCCTCATAAAGCCCTGTTTTCTTTTCACACTGTCTGATCAGTCATTATACCACAGTAGAAGCAATCAAATATGCAAATGAGAAAATAATGATTGAGTTTTACAAGCATGGATGGCATAAATAAACACCACAAGGATCATTTGGAAAACTGCTTCCATTAGAACATTGGCAATCAAATCCATACTAAGACCATATTTTTTTTTTTTTTTTAATAATTGAAAAATCAGGGGTTTTGAACTTTGGAAATTCAAGCCGACTCGATGAACATTGATAAACATGATAAACGTCATCCTTCCACTTAGGCCAGAATGCAGCTGTCACACCGTGCAGGACAAGATATTGTCACGTTAAAAAAAAAAAAAAAATCTTTAGCCAAGAGAAACTGGGCAAAAGCTGGTACTTTCGTGTAAGTGCCCACAATTTTAAAATACCTCATCTGTCGGACAGCTTTAAAAACCTGCAGGAGCACCAGCAAGTACCGCTACAGCCCCGCCGCCGCCCGGCGCCCGCACCTCACTGGGACGCGCCGGGCCCCGCGCCCCCGTCGGTACAACCGCGCGGAAGAACCGCAGGGAGCGCAGGGGCACGGCGGGCCGGGAGCGGCCGGGCCGGGCCGGGCCGGGAAGCTGCGGGGGGCGACGGGAGCCACAGGGACAGCGGACAGGAGCTGAGGGCGGAGGGCGGGGCACGAGGACGGAGAGCGAGACTGGGGCGGTTAGTGAGGGGGGGGAGGGGAGGCGCTGGGGAGGAGCGGGAGCCCCGGGGCTCCCCTGAGGCAAGCCGAGAGATCAGACCTGAACGCCTAGTGCGAGCCCGCAGCTCCAACATCTTCCAGCTCACATCGGCCATATGGGCCGCCGCCGCTGCCGCCGCCATGCCGCTGAAGCCCCGCCGCTCCCGTCACTGCGCCCGAATCGGGCCGGCCGCAAAGAAAGTCACGCAGCCCGGCACGCCGGTGTCGCAAAGCCGCCGGGTCAGCGCCGGAAACGAGACGGCCGTTGCGCCGGGCCCACCCCTACGCTGCCGTAAGTGAGGCGGGCGGGGGCGGTGGCGGGATGGCGGGTTACCGCCACAGGCTCGCGCTGTGCCTGCTGCTGGTGTTGGCCGGGCCCGCCGCGGCCCTGCACAACGTCACCGCCCAGCTCTTCGGCACGGAGGCCTACGGGACCCTCGCGGCCTTCGGGGACTTCAATTCGGACAAGCAGACAGACCTGTTCGTGCTGCGCGGCGGTGAGCGCGCCGGCGGCGGGAGCGGGGCCGCCGTCCTTACCGGCGCGGGGACGGGTGGGAGCGCAGCCGGCGGGGCATCTCCCTGCCGCTGCCGGGAGCGCCGGTAGTCGGGGCGCGTTCCTGGGGCCGTTCCAGGGCTTCCGGGGACCCGGGGTGGGCGGGCAGCGGCCTTCCCGCAGTCTCGGCCGCTTGTTTGGCAGAAGCTTTCTCGGTTCCGCCGGAGGACGGAGAGGCTTTCTCGGTGGAAGTTGCCCTGCGAAGAGCTGGGGCCGGGCCCGCTGCAGGTGCCGCCGGTTCCTGCCCGCCCGCTCTGCACCTCGGCCCCAGCTGCGCGGCCTGCCGCGATCGCGGCTGCTGTGGGCGGGCAACAGCGTTACTTTCAGGACTAAAATTGATGTTTGCTTTGCTCCCGAGATACCTTGTGCATGGGCAAAGATATTTGCAAAACTTGCACTAAAATATGGGCTCGCATAAGGCAAGAAATACTTCTCTTTAACGTTGAATTTAAGGTTGTGAAATAATTTAAAGACTTTGTACTACAGTGAATGGTCACAAATTGGTTTTTCGCTTCTGCTCTCTCAATATTTTGGGAAGTAGAGATGAACATTTCACAGTGGTAAAGAGGATAAATTGAACGTTATCCTACCTTGAATGTTGTGTTAAAGTGGGAGGCTGGATCTATGTGTGCCACACAGCTGTCGTCTGCTGTGAGTTTCTGTTTAAGCTTCAGATATGGGGGGACACCAAATCAGAGCATGTTATCAGTGCTCAGTATTATTTGCAGATGTTAATCTAGGATTATTTTAGTTGCTTGAGGCCAGATGTTAAGATAACAAATCTATTCTCAAATTCACCTTTTTGTATTCCTTCAATCTCAGAAGTGTTTCTGTAAGTAGCTTCAGTAAGGCATGAGTGAATTTCCCATTTAGTTGAGATATTTAAACACGTGGCTCCTTCAGACTGCTCTGCTGGCTCATCTACTGGAAAAATGCAATGAAAGATTAGATTTAAAATTAATGTTGGCCATAACAGATTTAATTTTTACTGTCCTTCAGGTAAACGCATACAAAAATGCAAATAGTTAAAAGTTTTAGAAATGAGACTTACGGTTTCTTCTTTTCTCCGGCACAGCAGCACTTGCTATAGTTTTTCTGCTTGATACTTTTTGTAAAAGTCAACCTGAAATAACCTAGTTAAAAACATTATTTTTCATAATTTAAGTCTTGACAAAAAGTAGCTTGAAAAATTTACAGAGTACCTTCTAAACAAAAAGTAATAGAACTTTACTATTTAGAATTGACTAAGTAGTGGAATAAACAGTAGCCAATTCTGAACAGTTCTTAAAGAAGTGAGCATTGGAGATAGTACTAGACTTTGAGGAGCAGTCCTAATAATCCTGACCCTCAATAAGGAAATGGGGGTGATGTCTTGGGCTTTTTGCTGGATCTGATCTTGAATTACTTCAGTTGAATGAGAGTAACGTTCCATAAGATCAGATACATGAAAGAAAAATCAGTTTGTACTCAGAGCTTTGTAAGAGAGGGTAAACTAGCTAAACATAAGAGGTAATCTAGATCCAGAAGTATCTTGTTGCAAGAACAATTCTAAATTACCAGTGGACCCTAGGTTTAGTCAGTTTTTGAAACTGAAAACATAAGAATAAACTTGAATTATGTATACACTTACATATTTTGTAAGCTCTGTGTGCAAAACAGCCGTAAGTGGGGAAGCTCATGCTGTTTGCTTCTTCAACCTACCACCTTCTAGTTGTTTTTGATGCTTCCTCTAATACTACAGGGCAGTGAGTGGTCATTCCCCTATTCGTATTCTGCATCTCATTAGAGAATTTTGAAACCTGTGGCATCATTGCTTAGATGTTCAGCCTGAAGACCTCTCATCTACATAATTGTTGTTTATATGGAAACTGCTCCCCTCTTTCACACACTCCTGTGTACTTTTTTCCTTTCTTTTGTATTCTTTTTGAGATGAGAGAACAAGAACTGCAAACAGCATCTAGGTGTGCACTACGGATTAATGTAGTGGCATAGTGATTTCATTTTCTGTTCATCTAATAATTCCCAGTAGTCAGTTTGTTTTGACTGTTGATGAGCCCTGAGCTGAAATTTTCCTAAATCTATCTTTAATGACTGTAGAATCTCATTTCTGACTGGTATAATTGACTTGGAACCTGGTACGCGTAAAAACAAGTTTGCTGCTTCATCATCATCATTACTTTACCACACAGATGATAAAAAGGCAGGTGAAAGTCTATAGTGTGAAAGCAGAATTACAAGTTTTAGCAGTCAACCCACAGCTTTATTATCAAAAGCTTAACCAGCCAGCAGGCTTTTTCACCTTAGTGTGTGCCAACTTTTTCAATCATCTGTGAATGAGTAGTGCAACCCAGGCTTTATTAGCTTGCCAGATGGGACCGCACTAGTTGCCCCTATCCATTTTGAAAGGGTTTGTTTTCATTTACTCATTTGTTGGCATATTCTCCTTGGCAAATACGTTTATGGCAGTTATCTCTTTTTTTTGTTTTGTTTTGTTTTTTGTTTTTTTTTTTTTTTTATAGCCCAGAAGCATGTATTCTGCTATTTCACAGCTGTAAGCTTTGCCACAGAATGATGCTCTTGAAATATACTATAGTAGCTTGAGTTTAAAGACATAGAATTATTTTTGATAGGTAACCTAGTCCCAAACCTTGCAGTTTGGGATGCTATAGGTGAGTTCCTTGGAGAATGCAGCAAACAAGTGTAATAAAGGATGAGTAAAAACACTGTATTTTTTTTTTTATCTAGCTGTTATTTTACTTTAAGAAGTGCATGTTTATTCTGGTTCCTGATGGAAAATACATTTCATTGTTCAGATTAAGATGCTTTCTTTATTCCCTGAATTTCAATTAGTTGTGCAACATAAAATATGGGGTTTTATTTAGATCTTCCTGAAAGAATTAAATGATAGTGGCTTGTGTTATTGCCTCCAAATGAGGAAATGCTACAGGGAGCCAAGTTACTTCTATGAGTTTCACTTGAAGTGCTTTTGTCAGCCAACTTGGGAAAGCAGTTTCAGATCCTGCTACGTCAGAGACAGTATTAAAAGAAATCATTTGAGTTAGCTTTTAAGCTTTAATTATTTGTATGGAACTGATGCCTACTACTTTTCCACATGTAATGTTTCTTAGATCATTACGGGAAGTTTTATTTTGAGCAATGTGATAAGAATAGCAGAGAGAAAGGTCTAACACTAAGCCCCAAAGAAGAATCTTGATATTAGCATTCCTGTGAGATGCAATTAGATTTATAGGTTATATTGAAGAAGTGTTCCTTTTGCTTCCTTATAAATGAGGCGGAAGTAGTTGTATGGAAAGTCTTGCACAGTTTTTGCTGCAGTGAGGAATGACTATTTGTGGCCTGGCTTTTTAAATGTTGGTTTTGTATTTAAACCATTTACAGTCCTCCTCTATTATTCACTGCCTTACTTGCTTTGCAGGAAATGAGTTGATTATCTTTTTGGCTGACCAAAAGGAACCATACTTTAAGCCCCGTGTTAAGTTACCAATGAAGTAAGTATTGATACTCAATGGTGAACCAATATATGTGGCCATTTTTCTTGAAATTGCATTTCTGCAGCCAGTGGGAACATGACTAAAGTCTGTGCTGTTGTTGCTCTTGTTACCTGTTTGACTGTGTTGTTCAGCTTGCCCTTAGAGCTCCAGTTCTTTGACCAGTTTTCTGATTAATTTCCTGACACGTTTTTGTGGGTCAGATGATAGAATTTGTGGAGGTAAGTTTTGTACTTATTGTTAATAGGTGTGACTTCCCACCCTCTTAGGGAATTTCCATGCTTTGTTTTTTTGTCCTCTCAATATAGTATTAAAAATACCTGTTTCGCAGAATATTCTTGCAGTTGACTTGTTTTCTCAGGACTTTGTTTCTTAGTAAAGCAAACTAGAATTCCATATCATAGATTTAGTCTTTTTGGTGGGTAGTATTAGTCTCTGTCCCAAGACATATTTTCAGGGAAATTCTTCTATTTGCTGTAGTTACTAACGAAATCCAGCCATTATCACCTGCTTTAGAAAGAAATATGGAGAGTGGTGTTCTGCTATTTCTGTGTAGAGAGCTGTTCCTTTCTAAAATTTAAATATGGCTTTAAAGAAAGCATCATTTTTTAATAAATGTAAAACAATTTGTGTGTTTATGTACATATATATGTTTAGTTTTAACCGTAATAGTATGCCAGGGTATGTTATTGCTTATGAATAATGATTACTAATAGTATTATGTCTGGTAAAAGTTAAATTGCTGTTAAAGTTCAGCTTCATCTTCTATAGTTCCATGTATTTTTAATTTTCTTTATTCCCTTCCATTTTGGAATGAGGTAGCTTCTTTAGTGCATTAGAAATGATCTGCTTTTAATTCTTAACAGTGATCCATGTTTGTATGTGTAAAGCAGTCTCGGAGTAGGTAACCAAGTAAAAAAAAGGACAAATGTTGGGAGGAGCATTGAGACGTGGCAGAAAATAGGAGAAGATGACATTGTCTTTTAAAAAGTCTAACTGTCTGTCTGACTCCTGCTGCTTAAACTGCTCCTGTTGCTTTATGATCTCACTCTTAGAATGCAACTAACAGATCCTGCTCTCTGAAACACATTTTTGAGGACTGGTTCTACAACAAAATAAAGGATTTGATGAAGTCTAGATAGCATTAACAAACAGGATATGGCTGAAGGATGCGTGTTAGCTGAACTTTAGTTAAAAATATCATCCTTCCTTAGAGGAAGACGGGCTGCAGAATGCTTGATTTAAAGTTACCTTTGCAGCAGATAGGGACTTCATGATAAGCCAGGTTTTTGAAGGATATTATTATGAGTTGGTCGAAAAGGCAAGCCTTTGAATGTATAATTATGTTCACTTTTCATGTACACATTCATACAATTACTTGTGTTTGGGTTTTTTTGTTTGTTTTTAATTCTAGATCTCTTGGTGTTACCATAACTAGTGTAGTTCCTGGAGATTATAGTGGTGATTCACAAATGGATGTCCTCCTGACGACCAGGGCACAAAATCATGGCAGAGATGAACTGTCAGTGTTTATTTTCTGGGGGCACAACCAAACATTAGGTGAGTTGCTGAGACTGCTTATTAATGAGATTGTTGGACTTTTTAATAATTCAAAGTATTGTTGGAAAGTTATAACTCATTTTAAACTGTAGTGATTGTTTTTTACAACTAAAATGAGGATTAGCAGCTATTTGGCTTCATAGCCATACATTATCTTGGCATTAAACTAGTCAGTAATTAATGAAAGAGAACAAAGCTAAAACTCTTGCATGTCACGCAGCAGACATAACCAATCAACATTATAGTTGGACAGTAACCTACTAACTGAAGAGCTACGTCTCATGGCTTCCCCATTATGCATATCAGCCTCACAAAGATTATCTCAAAAGACTTGCCTTTAATTTAAAATGCGCTGAGAACCTGGTATGAAGTTCAGTGAGTAAACTTTTAAAACGTAATACATAAACTTACAAATGGTAATATAAACTCTTGCTTTTGTTAAACCAAATTCTTTAAAGACAGTGACGCACTAAAGTAGAGTTTGGGAGAGAGGTTTTTAGAGTCTCTATCACTGGAAGTTTTCAAGAACTTCAGAATTGAGATTTCAAGAGTCTTTTAGCACGGTTCTAGGTATAGCTGATTCTATCGTAGGGTAGAGTTATGGACTGTGAACTCTTGAAGTCTCTTCGGTTGACTTTGCTAGGAGAGGGTTTTGGGAAGAGTTTAGGGTTTAAAGAAGGACAGGAAAACAAAAGAAGATACTCTTAAATCCACAAAACCTACTGCAGAATGATCACTATTATAAACAGCTGTGCTATAAAATAGTTACAGGTGAGGCCAGTGATGGCCTTAGATACCCTTGTTTCTGGTTTTAATCAGAGGTGAAACAAGCACACTGGGAAAGTGCATTGGATCAAGTATTAAGAGAATAGGAGGTATCTGTAGTATTGGGAAGAATATGGAGGATTTGGATTAATTTAAGCTGTCATGCTTCTGAATAAACAATTACTGGGAGAGACACAAATGAGCATATAGGACTTGAAAAAGGAGTCAGCAGTTAAAAATTCAGGCATTGGTTGGTATGTGGTAAGGGTACTGGGAAGCTGTGTGGTGCCTCCTTGGGGAATGGAAGTGTGACAGACAAGTCAGTAGGAGGGTACTGTCATGTAAAGCATGGAAATTGAAAAGAAATAAAACGTGAGAGATTAAGGAAATGGGGAGGATATGGCAATGAGCTTGCATTAGAAGTAAAGGTGAAGTCTGAGAGGTGATGACCTGATGAGGACTTAAAATCATCGCTTCTCATTTAGGCAATCTACCTCTAATCCTTATTTCAAATACTCAGTGTATATGATTAAGAATGTTTTTTACAGTGACAAAACATTAAACAGAGGTCTTATGTACAATGTTAAATTTTTAGACTATCTCCATCCCAACTATTTCAGATTTCATGTGTTGATGTGATTGCAGTCATACACAGAAATAAGCTTCACTGAGATCTATTTAATTTATTGAAGAGTTTAGTGGAAACAGAAGCAGTTTCAGCATTTTGACTGTAACTCACCTTCCTGCATGATTTGAGGAAGCTGTTTAGTTGTTTATGTTCAGTGGTGGCTGATTATTATTAATTTTTTTATTCATAAAATTGATGGTTGGGAATTAATAGAAGAATTATGTGTAAGTTAAATGCAAATGTCATGACATAATGAATAAAATTAATATTTTCTGTTTTCAGATCTTAACCATAAAACTATGTTAAATAGGACCTTTCAAGATGAGCCTCTAGTAATGGAGTAAGTATGACCTACTTTTATAGAAAACAACATTTATAATGGTGACTAAGAGCAACTTAAATATATTTTAACCCTAAAATTTTAAGGACATGCTCTTTATCTTTTAAGAACAGAGTGGTTTGTGTAATGTCAACTGGTCTAACAGAAGATGATGAAACATAATGGTCATCTTTACAAATCTTGTATATTAGATCATCCTGGCAATAGTAACTAAATTTTTATTTATTTATTTCAGTACTTTGTTTTATGCAGAAATAGAGCTATTAATTTTTTTTTTAGTGAAATCTGTAAAGCAAAAACCTTACTGGCTTATCAGGCTGAGCAAATATCACTTTCACAGTGTAATTTCCTCTATGTGAAATGCTGAACAAAAGAGGGAGGAAACATAGCTGGAAAATCAAATGCATGACATAGTAGTACGCTTCTTTCAGTATTTTACACTACCACGAGCTCAGACAAGAACCAAAATTCAGAAAAGGCAACACAACTGAAAATTCTTCATTGCTTGGTGGGAAAATGCTTAACACGCACAGTTAGGAACTTAGGAACAGTTAATTTCAACTCCTGTAATGACTAAGGTGATACTGCAATTGTTTTGTATTTTCAGCTTTAATGGAGACTTAATTCCTGATGTCTTTGGTGTCACAAGTGATTCAAGTAAGCCACAGATATTGCTAGGCGGGTAAGCTAAGGGTTTGTTTATTAGCATGAATTTTGATAACTTACTCATTGTGCATCTACTTCTGATCTTATTAAAGAGGTGTAAGACTCGAGTTTAACTGCAAGTGTGTAAGCATGTAAATCTTCTCTCATTTCCATGTGTATCTTTAAACATTCTATGACACACTGCATGTAATTTTTAAAGTGTTATTTTATAGGGGATGTAGTTGTTTTATAGGGGAATTAGACATTTCATGGGAGGTGAGGAAACAAAACCCCTGTTATTTCACATGAGAAATAGGATAATTGTTTCTTGGAACAGTTATAGTTTCCTCTGTTTAGTGCGCTTTGATATTTATTATTCTGATCTGTATTATGGAATTCTGTGCTGTACGAAAATACAAACCAGAGTTTTTAAGCAGTGTCTGTAGAATTTAAGCTGCATGTAGTCTAATAGATGGAGTGACAGGTTGATGATGCAAGAAGTATTGGAACACATATTCCAAGGGATGGCAAAAGGAAAATGTACAAGAGTTTGGAGTACAGTTAAAAAAAAAATTCAGGACTCATCTATCTAGGAAATTAATTGTGATGGGAAGGTTAGACAATATGGGAAATCAGAAGCATGGGAAGTGTGAAGTGTAAGGGCATTAAGCTATATATGTATTAAGGAAAAAATTTGGTATGCTTATCGGGGGAAGAGATTCATAAGGAGACATAAGGCAGAGGTGATTTTAAGTAGCAATACAAGTGTGCATGCAGGTGATGTTCTCCGTATGCTGTATCGTATCTTTTGTGTTAAGGAGTGCCTAAGGCTCCTCTGTGGCAAATACAAGTTGACTAAAGTCTTATGATATGAGATTGCAGTAAAGGGGACTTAGCTTCATTATTAAAGTTTCTGCTAGCCCTGGAATTTATAGAATGGGGCTAGCTAGCAAGTACTGGGATAAAAATTATTATTTTAATAGCATATTTAAATCATTAGTAAGAACTACATGAAGGATTCCTTTTGTTTAACTCTTTTGGTTATGAATGCTGAAATCAAAGCATAACAAAGGAATGGATCTTTACTGACTCAGAACAAGTCTCTGAACAAAAACTTAAGAAGTAGCAATGTGTGTAATATTGGGCAAGATGCCAAAGAACTTTAAACCTGTCTTTGGAGAATAAGTTTTAATTTTTTTGTTGAAAACACTACTGGACACTAGAGAAGAATAGTTCACTTTCTGTTCAGTTTTCCTGATACTGCTTTTGAGGTTTGTAATCTGATAACATTTTAGCTTTTGAAAGCTGCTGGGATTGTATATTCAAGGATACAAATTGGTGTGATACTGAGTTAGTGAAAGTTTCACTATTGAACAGGATGAGTTTTGTTGGGGTTTGGGGTTTTTTTGTTTGGTTGGTTTTCTTTTTTTTTTTTAAAAAAAAAAAAAAAACCAACTAAAAATACAAATTGTACATCTTTTCTTGTGACTTTCGCCAAACTGAACTTAGCATATATGCATGCAGTCTTCGACTTTTGTAAGGAAGAACTTCATTGATAGTGTTGTGGGTTTGAGCATTCTTTGAAAAAGAAAGAAGCCTCAAAAGGCGGATACTTGAATTAGAACTCTGCTGATTTTGAGATTTTTTTTTTTTCTCTCAATTACCAAAGAATGTGCTCAAAAGATAGCAGAAATGATTTTTAGGATGCGAGTTGGATTATAAATTTAAAAATGAATACGTTGTTCATAGCTTCATGATGATATGAAAACCACCCTTTTCACATTTTCTTTTTGAGCTATTTTCTGTTGACTAATAATGAATAATTTCCAATGAATAATTGGAAAAATAAGGAATAGGGCTTGTGTTTTCTTAGAGGATTGGGTCTTTAAATCAGTTGTTTGAAGAAGTTTTCACCTTCTGCCTTGCTAGTTTCCAGCTTCTAAGTGGAATTTATGGTTGTCTTGAATATTGCTTAATGTAATGTTAACATAGAAACTTGCAGCTCTGTGTTTCAGGAGAAATCCAGGTGTTGGCATCACACCTGTTTTAGGTTTACATACAATTGATACTTGAGTTTATTTCAAAAGAAAATGTGTGGTGGAAAGTCTTTGCATTCCTATGTGGCTTTCTTCAGCTATTGTTTCAGAAGAGGTCTGTTACCACAGGAGAAATCAGTGAGATGATTATTCTGTCTCCATGGCAACAATATATCAGCTTTATATTGTGCATGTCCATGGCCCTTAAGAAATGCTTAAATAAGGCTTTCCCCCCACACACCCCATCAGTGAATTTTACAAATCTATACCTGTTGTTCCTAACTGGCTATTTTCCTTCCCTCGGAGATCATTCAGGAATGATGTAGGGTAAATAACATTTAAATCTGTAAATGGAAACTATACCCTTCTTGGCAATATGTTTTTGGTCATTAATCCCAACTTGAATTTTATCACCATTGCTTTTATTTAAATTGATGGAACAGAGATTTCAAATTCACAAGGGTGTTTATGACATCTTGAAATGATTATATATTGAAAAATTTTATGAGCTTTTGAAGATACGGAAAAATGGGAGAGTTGTGTTTCATTTTATTGAAGAAATCCTTTTAGTAACATTAGGATACAAATAAAGTTACTCATTACAGCTCAAAATAAGACTGAGTGCTATAGGTAACAGTATAAGCAGTGTCTTGCATGTGAAAAACAGCTTTATCATCTGTTTAGAAAAGCATTTTTCTATTTTTAATCTAAAATGTGTTCATACTAGAGCTGTATAACTTCCTTGTCTATCTTCAAAACTGAATACAGAGAAAAACCTATTGAAAATATTTCTTTCTTTAAGATTAAGTGATTCTTTGTAACATTTCTAAGACTTTGTTATGATCTCTGGGAAATAATCAGAAGCTTATTTTTTTTTCTTACCATAAAATGAGTCAAGGACTTCAGTAATATGTATGTGATGTCACTAGAAAAAATAGTGGTTCCAGGCAATAGTACTATTACTGTCCTGCTATTGTGTAGTGCATTTTAGTTAAGTGTATTAGCTAATACAGTTCATCATGTTTAGAATGGAAACCAGCAGGGCATGTATGTTAATAAACAAATAAAAGTATAATCTACCTGGGAAACTACATAATTACCCTGTAGTCCATCATAATGTGAGAGTTTAATTCTTGTGTTGATTTTTTTTAAGCGACTGAAAATAAAGTGCATTTACGTGAAGCAGGTATGAGCTGCTTTAACAGCATGTGATTATGTCCATTTTTGCTCGTCTTTATTAATCCTAGAGTAGCTTTCAGAAGTACTGATAGTAAAACTTAACAAGGAAACCAGGGAGAACAGCAATCAGTGTCTCAGTATTTATAGGTGAAGTCTTGGCACTAAATTTCACTTTGTGGGTAGTGATACTTTTCTGTATATAAAAAAAGTTGCTTTGGAAAGGTAATGTAACTGAAGCCCCTGTGCTATGATTCATCCTTTGCAGAACCTTTCAAGCAAATATTCTAGCTACTTAGTGTATTGTAAGCGAGGTAGTAATTTTAGCTTACTGTTAAGAGAACAAGCATTCTGTTCTATTATATTTTAAATTTCACAATATTTAAAAAGAGATATATTATAATGATTAACAGTCCCTAAGTATTGATGAAATTTATTGCTTTTTATTCTTGTCTGTAGGAATTTATCATGGCATCATGCACTGGAAACTCAAAGTAAAATGTATATACCACACTCGCATGCGTTTATAGATTTAAATAATGACTTCACTGCTGGTAAGTCATAAAACTTAGATACCTTGCTAAAAATACTTATCACTAAGTAAACAATGTAATGTATTGCAATTTCCTTCTATTATTTTAGTATATTTCACTGATGGTTTTAAAGAGTTGGTTCTGGAATGTTGTATACAGTAATTATATGACTTTGCTACTTCTGACTCTTTATTTTAAATTATTTTAATCTCTACAATTTAAAAATTCTGAATTTTAAAAAATAACTGCCAATATTAATAACCTAATAATGTTTTCTACTTCTTGATAATAATTAATCAGAACTAATGCTTGTTCTGAATAATTTTGTGTTCATTAAATCATTGTTTCCTGTTCTTTGTGATGCTGTACTCTAGTATTCAGTTTGCAACTGAATCAGAAGCAGGGCTGCATTCTCTTCAGCTTAAAGTCTGAAAATAGTTCTATAGTTTATTCACAAGAATGTTTTCAAGACTAGACTTATAATTTGTTTACTGAAGATTTCAATATGACTTAATTCTCTTTTATTGTAGTTGATTCTATCACTGTGAGAAAATAGCACGAGTGACTTTATTCTTCTATTACTATATGAGCAATCCTATAACCTATTTATAATTCATTGTTCATAAATGAGTACTGGAGACAATTTTTCTTATGGTAGATAAACTGTATTTTTCCTTTGGTGGCTTCGTTTTGTTTGGTTTTGGTTTGTTGTTTTTTTTTTTTTTTCTGTGAAATATGCAATGCAATTTAGCCTTCACTTACCACGATGGATCTATTTATCACTTACCTGGTTCATATCTTCAAGCACATTTAAATGTTGTGCTAAACTTAATTTCTTCATACACTAAATGAGTTTTTTTTTTAATCATTTAGGTAGATACGCAATGTACATCAATTTATATACAGTAATTTTGGAAAGAGAGCTTATTTTTTTTCCTATGTAGTAGCATGGGAATGAGAGAGGAAAGAGTCCATAAATTTAATTAAGATGCTTATAAATGTTGGGGATTAACTTAATTGCTTTAGTACATAGACAAACTTTAATATTCAGTTTTGGCACATTGCTGCATGAAGCTGTCAAGTGGAAATTCTGACTGGAAAATTAAATATACGGTTGCTTACCATAATCAGTGTCAAGTAATAACCAATTCTAACACACTTGGTTCTATATCTCCCTTGGAATTTTGTTTTAGTGACATGGGTAGTATAGCTGAGCATTCCAGGTAGCATTTTAAGTTTAATATATTGAAATCTAAACCCACAGGTAAGTAAAGGTAGGAAGTCTAAGTTGCTTACGTAGATCGATCACAGATAGATCAATTTTTGCAAAAGTACACAAAGGTTTTTGACAGCTGACAGCCTAAAGAATGTCCAGAGAATTCCAGTTAGTGCTAGTGATATATGGAAGCTCCTCTATTAAATAGAAATGAAAGTGAAGATCTTTGTGTGGGGTGTGCCAGGAGCTTTTATAGATGGACATCTATATTCATATCTCAAGATGCGAATAGAAGCTTATATGAAGCACTCCCCATAGGTAGATTCTTACTTTGATTTGCTTGTAGCAACAAGGATATAACACCTCTAGGTTGAAATATGTGTTATGTTACAGCAACCTAAGGAAAATAATTCATTGTGATAAAAAAAACATTAAGAAAATATTACTATAGAATTATTTTCTTTAAAATAATTTTTTGCTTCTAAGATGGAAATGGTAATATTTTTTTTTTTGTTGTCCCTATGAAAATTGGACCAACTATGAACAAGGCATATGTTACTGAAAAATAATACCTTATCAGTGATATCTGATATTTCATGACTGACATGTTATTCCAAGACTGCCTGCTGCCAAAATAGAAAGTCACCAATCGTCTGGTCCTGTCTGCACATTTATGGCAGTTCCCTCACATCAGCTATAGTAATTGCTCAGGAACTGGAGCTGGCAGGGAACACAATTCATTTTCAGTTGATTTATTAAGCATCCACCTCACTGTGCAGCTTCAGGAGTGCCAGAGCCAATGTAAGCACAGAGAGAAGCCTGACTCCCCTCTTAGTAGCAGCAGTTGTAGCCTGCCTTTAACCAAGCATGAAATTGCACCTTGAGTCTCATTGTGCCTCTTCCAAAAAATACCTGTTTAGTGTTCTCACCAGGTCTCCTTTAATTTGTGTTAGTCTGTACAGGTTGGGCAAGTGACTCATAGGAGTAGTCATAAAAGTAGTCAGCGGGTATAAATTAAAAAAAAAAGGGGGGGGGGGCAAACAAAAAACCAAGCTGTATGTAACTGTCTATACAGTACTGATAGTACAGTGATTCTAGATGCACTCTGCCAAATGAGTCCAAAATAAGGTGCTGATATTACTGTAGTAGGCCCACAGCTAGTCCTGTGCCTTGTTCAGTGTGGCCTGCAGACTTTGCAGAAGATGACTAAATGCTTCTCCTGCTTGTTTAGCTCTGTTCCTTGTTAGCCTTACTACACCGGCGAGGAAAGTAGTGCAATTCGTATTGTATTAGTTCTCGATGGAGTCAGTGAAGTCTGGTACTTATTGGTTGGTTCAGGTAGAGCTAGTGAAGAGGAGGGGGTTCTTGTCACTTGGAATTCACCCGCGCTACCATTCTTGAGTTGGAACAAAACCTTGTAACAAACAGGTCCTGGTACACATTAGAACCCTGTTAATTGGGAGGGATGCATTAACAACGATGCTGGGGAATAGTCTGCATTCTGAAATACTGTTGTCCAAAAGACTTAATAATCATGACATTCAATGCTGCTGTGGTACTTCTGACTGAAAAATTCAGAGTATTTACTCACAGGCAATGCTACTATTCATGAATATGAAGATATAGTTGTACCTAAAAGGGATGCACTGAATTTTCATTTACAAAATAAAAAACATCCAGAATATACCATCTTTACTTATTGATTGTGGTTTTTTTGTTTTGTTTTTTGGGGTTTTTTTTGGGGGGGGAGGTTTTCTAATGTTCTGCAGTGTTTTGGTGCTCTTTGTATTCTGCAACAGATGCAGCCAATTCTGTGATTTTTAGCTGGGCTATTTTTGGCAACTCTATCATTATAAACAGCTTTAAACAGATTTAAAGTGTGCTTGATATGAAAAAAGAAAAAATCCTCTCTGGACTGAGAATCTTTTTGCTAGTTTATTGCCTAACCCGTTTTCAACCTGCTGATATTAAATCCTCAAAACAGAGCTTTTAATGGGCACGCTTCTCCTGCTCTGGGTAAAATGAAGTTGAATTGTTACAATTTCATTGTATGAGAACATGTTCATAAAGATGTTTTTAATCCCTAACAGTGCTTCATGAAAGGCTAACTGTGTAAGGATTTTATAATCCAAAAATCCTCTAACCAGAACAAAGATAATATTAGTCTTTCTTGGTGAGATATAAACCAGGCTGTTTGACAGTAATGCTGCTGCTGTTTTTAAATAAAGCATCCTTATGTAAAAATCTCAGTTACTTATTTTTAATTCAGTAAGTAATTTAGAGTTGGTCCAGGAATTTTATATAATCCATGCAAAAATTTCCAGTATAAAACTTTTACCAAAGGGTCTGTGTGTGCTTTATGGATAAAGTAAATAGAAAATTTTCATGTGTCTTCAACATGTGTATTAAGCATCTGTTGCTCCAGGGAGTTGTAGTTCACAGAATGACTGAGATTGGAAGGGGTGTCTGGAAATGGTCTAGTCAACATACCCTACCTTCAATCTCACTGTTTGTACGTGCACTGAGATAGATAAAAGACAAGGAAGAAATGTGGTGACCTTTGTTAAAATAGGGGTACTGGGTGACTAGTAATACATACTCACAGTAGTCATTAGTTCTTTTTAACGACTAACATAAGAAAATAACCTTGAAGCTAATAATTGGCTTGTCTCAACAGATTAACATAAGGTGAATTTTATAGAGCATGACAGTGCAGGTGAGCATTTCCAAAGCAGCCTCCTCAAGTATGAGGCCTGTCTTAAAAATGTCATAGCCTCAAACTGAAAAATTCACATCATGTGACTTAAGAGGTATTTGTACACGTTTTAATTCTTTTGACTTACAGTAAAGGCAGTAAAAAGTAACTTCTCTTTGCATTAGTCTACTCAAAAGTAAAAAGGACCTCAGTCTTTCTCAGAAATGTGTTTCAGATGTGTTAAGAGGAGAATACTGTTTAATTGAGTAAACACTATTCACAATATGGTCATTATGCTGGAAGTATCTGAACAGATCCATGGAGAAGTGTTCTAGCTGGAAACTGAGCCCAGGATAAGTAAAAGGACTTGATAAAAACCATCCAGAAATGCTGTAGAGATGGGTACAAATACAGATCATCTATTACAAGCTGGACTGTAGACAAACGTATTTTGTTTATGTTATTGTTTATTTGCATTACACTCAGCATATTCAGATAAATACTTTGGACCAAGCTGAAGTTTAAGTTTAGCGTGGGTCACTAGGTGAACACTGATTAGACTGCCTTAACCTAAGATCTCATAGATGTATCAAGAGTGCTTTATCTAAAGTTGAAATTTTTAGGATAGCAATTATTTTGCTACATGCTATTTTTTTTTCTAATTAGTTAACTTGATTGTTTCTATTTAAAACATCCTAAGAAGTCAGATGTGCATTTAGGGCTTATGCTGTCTTGCTAAGCCAAAATTGTAGTAGTTACTCAAACAAGAAGGATTATTAATAAAATATAAATTTGTGTGCACTCAAAGTGACAAGTCTTCTACCAAGAAATCAGGCTGTGGCCCTGCAAATATTTTTAAAATGTTCAGATGTATGAGACAAGCTGCCTTGGACTCCAAATCATACTGTAACTTCGTATTGTACATCTGTGAATGTATCCTTGAATGCTATGAAAAAGAGTTAATATATTAAATATTCTGTGCGTTATTTGGTTATGTGATTCCAAAGTTTGGAAATACTGCTTTTACAACCAGTCCTGTGTTGAACATTAGCACATGGTGTGTATAATTGCAGATATTTCTGGAACTGCTTACATAAAAGAACGGAGAAC